CCTGATAAAGACGCCTTCCGGGACGACGTTGTCAACTGGATACTTGCTCGCGCGACAGACCCTGCGGGCGAAGATAGTGCAAAGCCAAGGCTATAAATATTTGAAGAAGCTTTCTCAAACAGGCAACAAGCAAACTGGGCGACGTAACCACGATACGAATGGCCATGACGTTTCTTGGCTCTACTCGTATTGACACGCGCGTCCGCCCAAAGTATGAAACGCGGAGGATCTTCAGGTCCATTTCCCTGTGAAGATGACGACGCTTCGAGAAAAGCCACACAAGAGCAGTGACAAAATAGTAGTAGACGTCGAATTCAGACTTATTCATGATTTCAGCTGTGAAATTGAATTGTGACTTCGCACCACCATCGTCATCGTTGATAGCAGAAAACACAAACGCCTGCAAATCAACATAGTCTAGCGAATACAACTTTTCCAGTCTACCGTGTAGAATGTGGAGAGTGGTGATGTGAGCTGAAGCGAGGCGGGACGGATGTGGCGGTAGAGAGCTTGCCCCCACAATTGCCGTGTGTTGACGCAAAAGGCGCCATGATACGCCAGGAACGAGGGCCGATAGCAACCGCGGAAGAGGGTCAAAATTGTCAGTCTTGGAGAGGCTCGCAGCAAGTCGCATCTGGGATTCCCGCATAACTAAAAGGCGCAACCGCTGCCACCACGTCCCATGTTACTGCGCACCGCCTGCAGAAATGGAGATGGCATGCGTGTCCAGTTTAGCCAGCGTGGACGCGTCTTACCTTCACCCCGAACCCTGCAGGGTGCTCAATCCAACTACTACTCTACGCAACCTTCAGTGCGACCGCACGGCCTATCACGATACGCTTACAAGCCTCCCACTTGCCGGCCCAGATTGCGCGTTCTCTGCACCCAGACGACGACTAAAGGCGCCCAATACCTCAAGTCTCCCTCGCATACGGCGCCCCTACTCAACTGGTCTTCCACTATCCACCGCAAACCACACTTTTCCCCTTCCACCATGACAGGCGACACGCAGAAAAGGGAGCATGCTGGCCATTCCCACCACCACCATCACCACGACAACACGTTCCTGCTGTCCAAGAACAAGAATGACGCTGGCGTGCGCATCACCAAGATTGGCCTCTACGTCAACTTGGGCATGGCCGTCAGCAAGGGCTTTGGAGGCTACGTCTTCAACAGCCAGGGTGAGATGCATGTACGCGTTGTGTATGAACGCCAGCTAACTCCCGCCAGCACTCATCGCCGATGCTATCCACAGTCTCACCGACCTCGTGAGCGACATCATGACGCTCGCAACTGTCGGCTGGTCCCTCAAGCCGCCCACCAACCGCTTCCCCAGCGGATACGGAAAGGTGGAGAGTTTGGGCTCGCTCGGTGTCAGCGGCATCCTGCTTGCAGGAGGCTTCTTCATGGGCTGGACCGCTCTACTTGCCCTCTGCAAGCAGTTCTTCCCCGAAGCCGCCGAGATAGCTGAGCACTGGGGGCTTATACCGCATCATCACCACCATCACGGCATCGAGGATATGGGCCCCAACATCAATGCTATCTGGCTCGCTGCTGGCTCAATCGTCATCAAGGAGTGGCTGTACCGAGCGAGTGAGCACACCCCAATCGATTCAAGAAACGCGCGCTGACAACCATTCTAGCTCTCAAGATCGCCAAAGAACGCAAGTCCACCGTCCTCGCTTCCAACGCCTACCACCACCGCGTAGACTCTCTCACCGCTTTTGTCGCTCTCCTCCTAATCGCCGGTTCAAACGTGCTCAACAACGCAAAATGGTTGGACCCTGTTGGTGGATTGGTCATCTCGCTCATGGTCGTCCAAGCTGGCTGGGGAAACACCAAGCAGGCGCTCTTAGAACTGGCAGACGTCGGCGTAGACCAGGAGATGAAGGACAACATTCGGAAGGCCGCGACTAGCGCTGTCGAGGGCGTCACTACCACATCGGAGCCAGTGAACGTACGGGCAATTCAGGGTGTCAAGGCTGGGCAGAACTATCTTATGGATGTTGAAATTGGCGTATCAAGTGCGTGGACCATTGAGCAGACACGCGACGTCGAGAACCTCATCCGGGAGCGCATCGGTGCCAATGTGCGCGGAGTGAAGAAGGTGCGTGTGCGCTTTGTAGCCAACTCGGCGGAGGCACCAGACTTTCTCGATGAGTTCATACCTGGCGACCCTACTGCGACACCGAACCCAGCATCGGAAGGACAACATGATCACGACCACGACCACAATCACGACCATAAACACGAGACCACCGATACCGACGCAAGGCGAAGGAAGTGATTCGTGTATATCTATAGACAAGCATGGCTGGGCGTTCGGAGTTGGGCAGAAGGACTACCCGGCGGCATATACAAGATATTCGACAGTTGGATATCTATTGAATCTATCACCTCAATTCGACTTCAGCCCACGCTCTAGACTCGTGCTTCCCCACGCTAACAAAAATTCCTAGCTGCCATCGGCGTTTGGCCGACATGCTACTCCAGAAAATCATAGCTGTACTCACGATGTCTCGGCACGAATTTATCCGTTGTCCAATCATTCCGCGCAAAAGAACTGGCGCTGCTGCAGGCACCGCCGGCAAAATTGCCTATGATGTAGCTTGTCCGTCAATGTGGGTCTTGCGTCAGTGTGCCCGTATCTTGGGTGTGGGTGTAAGGAGGGTCCTCAACACCACGAGACGTGATCTGCTTATTTTAGCCATGTCTTGTCAAGCCATAACACTCAAATTCCCAACACTGCAGCTCGACACAGAATTGACATACCGCGACCATGGCTGATCAATTCTTGGGCTTCGACTTGAGCACTCAGCAACTCAAAGGTGAGGAGACCCCACTGGAGCTACCCCACTATCTGGACCTCCGACTGCCAGGGCTGAACTGACGCGACTGCGGTTTTCTAGGTATCATCGTTGGTTCCGACCTTAAACTTATCCACGAGGCCAAAGTCGACTTTGACGCCGATCTCGCCAAATATGGGATTGAGAAGGGTGTCCTCACAAACCCCGATGAAGGCGAGGTCTTCGCGCCAGTTGCCCTGTGGCTCGAGGCCATCGACCTGGTCCTGCAGCGATTGAAGGAACAAGGTGCCGATTTCTCCAAGGTGCAGGGTATTTCGGGTGCGGGCATGCAGCACGGCACTGTCTTTTGGAGCAAAGATGCAGAGACGCTACTTGGCAGTCTAGATGCTGGCAAGACACTGCTCGAGCAGCTGGAAAGTGGTGCCAAGGGTGAGCGGAAGGGTGCTTTCAGTCACCCTTTCAGCCCGAACTGGCAAGACGCAAGTACACAGAAGCAGTGCGATGCTTTCGATGCGACACTACAAGAGCCCAGGAATCTGGCCCTGGCTACTGGAAGCAGTGCTCACCATGTAAGCTTCCTGTCTTTTCTAAGGCCCTGTCTTTCCTCGGGCCCTGTCTTCTCTCAAGTCCTGTCTCTTCTCAGATCCTGCCCTTCCCCAGCCTCTGTCGATACTAACACCATATAGCGCTTCAGTGGCCCCCAGATCCTTCGATTCCACGACAAATATCCCGAAGCCTACAAGGCCACCGCCCGCATCTCCCTCGTATCCTCCTTCCTCGCTTCGATCTTCCTGGGCAAAGTAGCCCCCATCGATATCTCAGACGTAACTGGAGCAAACCTGTGGGACATCAAGAACGGTCGCTGGCATGAGGATCTTCTGGCACTTGCAGCTGGAGGAAGCGAAGGCGTCGAAGATCTCAGGAAGAAGCTGGGCAATGTGCCCGAAGACGGTGGTTCAAGCTTCGGTACTGTCTCGCCATACTTCAGCAAGCGCTACGGTTTCCCATCGTCAGCTCAGGTCATCGCCTTCACTGGCGACAACCCATCGACTATCCTCGCCCTCCCTCTCCGCGCATCAGATGCCATCGTCTCGCTCGGAACCTCAACAACATTCCTCATGTCCACACCCGAGTACAGGCCCGACCCAGCCTACCACTTCATGAACCACCCCACCACAGCAGGTCTCTACATGTTCATGCTCTGCTACAAGAACGGCGGTCTAGCACGCGAGCACATCCGCGACGCAATCAACAAAGCCTCTGGCACATCGTCAGACAAATCCTGGGACAAGTTCAACGAAACAGCCCTCACGACTCCCGCGCTCGGCCAAGCCCAACCCTCCGACCCCATGCGTCTAGGCCTCTTCTTCCCTCGCCCAGAAATCGTACCAAACGTCAAAGCAGGAACATGGCGCTTCCTCTCCAAAGACAACCAGCTCTCGCCCATTGCACCAGAAGCCGCGCAGGCCAAGACAGAAGACAAGTCCTGGCCCGTTCCCCAAGCCGACGCCCGCGCGATCCTCGAATCGCAGTTCCTGTCGCTCAGACTGCGATCGCAATCCCTCGTTTCACCGCAGGGCTCACTGCCCGCCCAGCCCCGCAGAATCTACATGGTTGGTGGCGGTGCTGTGAACCCCGCTATTGCCGAGCTCGCGGGCCAAGTCCTCGGTGGCTCCGACGGCGTGTATAAGCTTGAAATTGGAGGAAATGCTTGCGCTCTTGGTGCGGCGTATAAAGCGGCTTGGGGTGTGCAGCGTTCGTCTCCCCAGGAGAAGTTTGAAGATTTCCTCGAGGCAAGGTGGAATGAGGAAGGGTTTGTGAAGAAGATTTGTGAGGGATATAGAAAGGGTGTGTTTGAACAGTATGGGGATGCGCTCAAGGCGTTTGATGAGGTGGAGAAGGTGGCGCTTAGGGAGAAGGGCGAGGGGGAGAAGACGGATGTTAAGAAGGAGGCTATGGGGTTGCAGGGTCTGGATAACCAGAGGTAGGGTGGATTAGGTGTAGATTATTTTAACTTGTCCATGTTGTTTACATGCTGTGTTCCTGTGAAACTGGTGCAAGGGTATGCTACGGCTAGGCTGTGCCTGAGGCAGGCGCGCGTGGTATGACCCCGCTTGAGGCTGAACAGCCTTACGACATAAACCTGCAGGTTTATATAGCTCTAGACCGCAGGCTGGAAAGCTAGCCTTCTCAGATCCATCTCCCTTCAAACACTCTACTATACATTGTTTTCCCAGCTAGCCGCTGTTCACCCCGAAAACTGCTGTAGTTATGAGTACGACTCGGCGCGTAAACCACTTCTTCAAGCGGATTCTCAAGGGTCGTCAGGAGCGCACCAAAGATGGAAAAAGTGCAGCGCATTCGTCCGACCTTACTGAAACGTTGTGCGCCAATTGTTCAGACATCGATCTCTTTGCGATCTTGAAGGGCGACCACAAAGGCATACCACTGGAATCTGGATATGAAGTATGGATCACACGGAGCTCTGACCCTACTACCATCTGGATCTGGGATGAGCAGCCTGGTTGCGAATTCTGTGAATTTGTCTCAGCCGCAGAGCTCCATTTGTTGCCCAAAGATGCTTCAAAACGTCCGCAATATCTCCAACTTGACTGCGGGAAAAGCTTTTACAGAGATCACAACAGCTGGGGATGTTTACCGAACTTATCTTCGCATGTCAACATCGTTTTTGATACTCCAGATGGACGGCGGAAAGATTCCAGATACGGATACAGCCACCCCGACTATATCGTTTCTTTCAGTGCGTCTACGGACGTGGAGATGCTAGGTTTCCAACCATCCCCGTTGCAGGTAAACGAGGTTTCGGCCTGGCTTGACCTCAACAACACAAAACGACACCTGCAAGACTGCTTGCGCCATCATGCATCTTGCGACCAACAGAAAGAAGTATCAAGTAGCCGACTAAGCCGACTACGAGTGATCGACTGTTCCACACGATCAATCATCACGCCTTCTAGCAACAGTCCTTACGTTGCATTGAGTTATCGATGGGGTGAAAACCACAGCAGAACTCGGGAAGAACAAACGGACATACTGCCAGCAAATCTGCCTGCCACGATAGAGGATGCTATCTCAGTAACTCGGAGCCTCGGCTTCCAATATCTATGGGTCGATAAATACTGCGTCTCTCAAACAGATCAATCTGATTTCAAGCGCCAGATTCGCCAGATGCATCTCATATATCGATCTGCTCAAATAACAATAATAGCAGCTGGAGGTATGGATGCCAATTCTGGGCTTGTAGGATTTTCAACTCCACGTGCGAGTATGCAAACAAAAGGTCGATATGGGAACCTTAGCCTAACTACATTCTCTCTTTACCCATGGTCCCTTGTACTGCACAATGAAGGATGGATTGGTCGTGGATGGACGTTGCAGGAAGGTTATTTCTCCCGACGAAGGCTTTTCTTCACCGACAAACAAGTCCTATTTGATTGCGAAAGAGGTGTCATCAGCGAGGATCTACAGCTGTCCCAAATTCAGTATGTTCGCCCATTACAGAGAGCGAAACCTGGTCTTGTGGAAGAAGATATTCAATCTCTGATAGAGGATTACACTAGAAGAGTACTTACTCACTCTGATGACATCCTCAATGCATTCGATGGCATTCTTGCGGATCTTGAGCAGAATGAGCCGCCTATTAGATCATACTGGGGCATAGTCATGAAATCGGATTCATCTGGATATTTGGATGGACTGCTCATTGGGTTATGTTGGTTCCATCCAGTCCAGAATGAAAAGATCTATCGTCGGCTTGGCTTTCCCAGCTGGTCGTGGGCTGGATGGTCGTACAATCCTTGTGTATATTACAAACTACGGAGACAGGCAGATACGAAGCTTGTTATTGCTCCCAGCCTAGCCATTCGAGTTGAGAAACAATGTGGACTTTTCGAGGCTTGGAAGACGTTTGAGGAAGCTAGTCCGGCATCTACTCAGCGACATGATTACTCTCAGCGAATACATATCTCGGCACCCTCCTTGAAGGTCAGGCTTCTCAAGGGCTTCTCTCGTATGGCCTATCACGGTAGAGAAATACGTGGCCATTGCGGATGGGTAGTACGAAGTGAGGAAGACGAAGACGATTATTGGTCGGAGAGGACCTATCTTGACACCTCATTGGAAAATCTCGAGTCGTCGCCTGACACCTACAAGTCCAAAGAGACCAGAACCTGTCATGCCATATACCTGTTCTCAGCTGACAGAATGAGAAGTGCCCGCGATTTTAGTCTTGTGCATAACATATTCTCAATGCTCCTCGTATCCAAAGTGGGGACCAACTGGGAGCGAGTTGGTTTATGGCAGCAATCATTCGAGTCAGATCAAGAAGCCCAAGTCTTTGACCAATGGCTTAAAAGCTCGCCGACCTACAAGACGAGAGACTTTTGGATTGCATAAGCTGTGTATCGGCTATTCCAGCGGAACCCATCAAGAAGTTGGACATTATCGGAGAAACGCCTCTTAAAAAAGAGGTAGGGGCGAAACGACATCGTGTAATACGGTACCTGTGTCGTGCATTCAGCTTTCCATTCAACGTCTTTCGAGATCTAAGGGGTTATTCACTATTGTTGCGCGATCGAACTTATAATGCGGACCTCTCGGGCGACCTTGTTTGCGAGCTAGCAAATGAATGATGCTTAACATCTACGTGATACAAAGCTTTTTTGACATCCACTGACCCGTGGCGTCTTCCCTAGCATAACCAGAACCCTCAAACATAACTGTCGGCTCTGGAGCAAGAATCTCTCCAACTTGCAACCTCTCCACGAGTACTCTTCCCATGTAAGCGCACTTTAGCTCGACATTGTCGTTGCTTGCAATCGTGTTTTCGGAATCAGGCTTTTGCAAGAGAGCCGCAGCCGGAAACCACTCTCCTGTGGAAGGGATCGTTCGCTTTGGATCTCCTATGATGAGGCTGTCGAAAGGCATATAATCAGGACTCATAGGCCAGGATTCAGTACAATATACTCGTAACATCATCCGATCCTCGCCGACTAGATTGTTCTGCTCGCTTCTCGTGACCCAGATCAGGAAGATCGAATTGGCGCGGTCGCGAGAACCGTTCAAGACTTTACTAAAAGGAATGAACATGTATGTACCTCTCAACCCGTCCTCGTAACAATAAGCTTGATGGTCATTGACATCAGTAGAGATCTCCGTTTTGTTTGGATACATCATCGTTTTCGGAGCCCATTTGAATCCTTCAATCGGTAGCTTTGGTCCGTTGAGAATGGGAATATCCAATGGAAGATTTCCTAGCATTTTCCAGAAGTCTCGCGTCCTTTCATCTCCTTCAGCTTTCATCAAACTTGGAGTGTCCAGGTCGAGCATGCCAGCAACACTCAGGAACTCTTCCTGCGTCGCGTTAGTCAGGCGCCAACGGAAAGCTCGGTAGATATGGCCAATGTTGAGACGGCTTTTCTTAGCCCTTAGTCGATTCAGTTCTGCCGCCAAGGCCCGCCAGACTACGCTCACTGTGCGCATCATACTCGGACGCGTCTTTAGACTGTAAGGATGGAAATGATCACCCTTTAGGACGAAGATGAGGTTTCGAGACAACACAGCTTCTTCATATGTCCACATCCTTTGCATCCACGCAGACATATAGATATGGGCATAAAGCGTTTCCGTGGATGCTTCTGGTGGACAGGTTCGGATCAGTCTATCTGCCACTAGTGTGTTGGATGCGTAGATATACACGTCGCGGATACGGTCTAGTGCAAGGTAGTACACCGTCTCAGTTCTGGGTATACACAAGGTGTCGATCCAGAACATCTTTCCTCCAGTAGATTGAGGCAATTGAGCGACTATTTTGTCGAGCCATCGAACCTGACACTCGAGAAGTCCTTGAACTGGTAGTCCTCCCATGCCGTCGACCCAAACATGAGAAATGGCGGTGTAGTCATGAGGATCGGCCTGCGAGTACGCGTGCACAATCAGCTCCATTTTTGCGTCCCGAGATGAGACTGATACAAGTGGAATCCCGCCTGCAAGAAGAATGCGTTCAAGCTCGAGCAGGTCTGGCATTAGAGGAGAGCATTGGCATCTCGGATCGCGATGTTGCTGGGGGTTGGTTCCTGGGGGAACGTTATTCCTGAAACATTGTAGTGGTGTGCATTCATCGTGGCCTGTGGGATCTTGTTTTATGTCTTGGTTGATACACCATTCCATTGTACTTTCGTTGGTGGTTTCTTCCAAGAGCCTTATCTGGAAGTCACACCATTGCGCCTCGCGCATTTTTCGTCGCCTCGCAACCGCCACGCTATCTGGAATTTGCCAACCGGATATGTTCTCGACGAACATGCCTTTGTATGCGTAGATTGCAGTCTCAATTATCCCTTCCGCTAGCCGAACAATAGCAGGTAGGACTTGAGCTACAAGGTCAACGAAGCCAGGGTATTGGATATCTCTCCTGGTCCTTATGGATTCTTGGCTCCATGCGGCGAGTCTGGATATCCATGTCTCAACTAAGCGAAGCTCTTTGGTTATATGCGAGTTCATGTCTCGTTTTGTCGCTTCATCGGCCAGTCTCCATTTATGTACGATCTGTCGAAGGCAAAAATGAAGATTGCGACTGTAGAGCAACTCTTCATCGTTCTCGTTGGGTCTCATCATGTATGAGATTTTGATCTTCTTTCCCAACACTGATTCAAGGAGTCCATAGTACAACCAGGCCTGAAGGAATGAGGCTGTGTGCTTAGCGATGGTGGCGGCGGGTGATAGGGCGAGGCCTTCATGCGCCTCACGAAGCTCTCCAATCCATATCTTTTCTACTTTCCAGCCAGAATAGCCAGGGTATTGAGATAAAGATTGCGCTAAGGGAACATCGTCGTGTTTGAATCCGAGCCAAGGTGTTAGAGGGACGACGTGCCTCATAAGGGTTCTCTGGTCGCATAGGGACCAATCAATCGACAGCGTTTCGCTGTGATAAGCTGTACGGAATTCGGAAGGGTCATTCTCATCAACCTGGAAGAAAAGGTGCTCCATTAGGAACGGAATGCGGTGTCTTTAGCGTGGTATCGATGCGTTCTAAGGTTGAGCCAGAGAAGTCTGTCGTTAAGGCTATGTATCTTCGTATCTCAATAGACGGCAGGTTTTATCAGCCTGACACTGACAAAATCGTACCACGTCATCACGCATTGCTGATCAGTGATATGGATCAGAACAACAAGGCTGCCTAGCCTTACTCTGATGTTGGAGATATTAGATAGATGCACAATATTTTTATCGCAGCCTCATACCCAGACCTGTCAGCTATATGCCCCCCAGAAATAGGATCGAGCGATAAGACAAAACACAAGATCAACAGATCAATATGCGGGGAGAAAATGCGACATATTCAAGTACGCCATCGCCAAATCGATGGGGCCAGCCAACCGATGTCTTTTCAGTACTCCTAATTCTCGGCGGTGACATCGTGAACAAGGCCTTGGCTCAACTAGCTGGAGGCACCATTACACCAGTTTCCTTCTCCTTCGGTAAGTGATGATACTTGAGAACCATCTCGATATTCCTAAGTTGTGGAACTGAGTTTGGTTTTAGGATGGGTGTCATATGCCCTTTCAGCCTTGCTCGCGAGTGTGAGTAACGCGAAGTTGATGCCTTCCGCGCTTGAAGTATCCAGCATTGTCATAACAACTAAGAATGGCTACTCGCGTCCAAACAACAGTTGGGTGTTGAGTCGAATACTCCGAGACTATGAATCATGGATGGACATTGCCGTCCGACTAAAGCTGAACTCGATCATGGATGATCGTCATAACTACCTGAAGAGTCACACCAAGCCAGGTACACCAGTACCCAGACCACAAAAGAGTGGACTTTGTATTGCAGTATACGAACCTTCTCGAAGAAGTCGCGCAGGAGAACCTAGGCATGACTTGGTGTACTGGAGTGGTTTTCCTATTATTTTATCGCAGATTGCAGTCGCTATTGTTCCACTACTCTCGGCTTCGAGAGACTGGTCGGTAATGGTCATCACCGTGGTGGGTACCATCTTATCGTTCCTAGTTGGTGCTTTGTCACAGTGGCAAAGAGAGAAATGGTTCTGTCGGCGAAACGCTATGAACACCTATGCCCTTACTCGCGGTAATGGATCACAGCACGCATTGATCATCCTGGGCAACGGTCATGGCTTAGATCTTGAAGATTTGGCAGCGGGTATAGAGACTTTGGAAACAGCCGCTGCAGGTTGGAAAACGAAAACGTTTCTATTCATCATGGGTTGGTCGTGGATCTTATTACTGATTGCGGCGGCAGGATTATCGCAGCCATCATGGTATCTTCTCGCTGTGGGTGGTATTGGAATGATGCACAATCTTTTCGTCGCTGGCTGGCCACGCCATCCAAGCGCCATGGGAATTCATCTAAAATTCCGCACAGTCATCGGTCACATGTCGACTATGGAGGCTCTCTTAGCTTTGGAGGCTCAGTACACTCATGCTGGACGAAGTTTACTTCCAATCTACTTCCCTGGTCGCATTTTCCCGGAAGAGGAAGCTCAATGGGAAGCACTTCGGCTGAAGGCAGAACACGAAGAATCTGTGCAGCGTCAGAACATCCAAGCAGGGCGAGCTAGACCACCAATGCTACCCTTGGAATCTTGGATTCTACATGCTAAGAGTTATGAAGGGAAGAGGAAGTAAGCCATCCTGCAGCCTAGCGAAATGGAAAGCCTACTGGGTCATAGGGTTACTATTCGCACGGCCGTAAGCGACACATACGCATGTATCAAGACCGATACCTATACATCCCAAACGCCTGAACCCTCTCACCCCCCAAAAGCCAACTATCCGCCTCCGGCAACACCATCCCCCTCGCTCCCTCCATCTGCTGTTGCTGCTGTTGCTGACCTCCCGCACCCCCCACATACCCATTCAACACCGCACCAGCCGCTCCCTCCCCCTTATTGCCATGCCCACCACCATGTACATTCCCAGCCGTCGTCAACGACGACGACGAAGAAGAAACAGCAGGTGTGAAAGCGTAGAGCGAAGAGGGATTCGCATCGGCCCACCGGAGGATATTTCGACTCAGTGTTATGGGACTCTCGTCCCCTGCGGTGGCCATGTCCTGTGTGAGATCGGGATCCGCTTCGTCAAAGGGGAGTGTGGGGAGGGGGTCGGAGAGGTAGGATGATGAATTGAAGGGCTTCAAAGCTGAGTTTGGATTACTGGTGTTGCTGTTGGAAGTAGCGAAATGGGATGACGTGTTTGTGTTTGACACGTTGTGGAAAGGATGCATGTCTTTGGCTGCAGTAGTCATTTCTTGTTGCGCATGACTTGTTCTGGCGTGCTGTGGAGTGTTGTGATCCAAAATAGCCTGCTCCAACTGCGACGGACCATCTTGTCGCTCTTGCTCTGGGACATGCGTCTGTTTTGATAATGTACGTTCCTTCTCTTTCGCTTTGAGTTTGTATCCTGCTTTGGCATACTTGTCCGGATACCGGATTCTGAAACGATCGCGCAAGTCTGTGGGGTGCCGAGAACCAAAATCCAGATCCTCATCGTCACGCATCAGATGCCAAACAGATCCGTACTTTTCAAAGCCCTTCAGCAGATTGACATCGTCGCGTGCGCTAAAGGCTCGGCGTGGTCGACGTGTGGCTTTTGAGAATGGTTCGTGGATTCCAAGCTCGGCTAGGTCTAGATGCGTCGTGGTCTTGTTACGAGTTGCCACGCGTTGTTGAGTTTCTGATGGACTGGGAGGATTTGAAACTAGGTTATTGTCGTTGTTGTGTTCTCCGACAGGAAGAGAGTGCTGGTGGGTATATATAGCTTGGTTTGGTAGATCAAAGGCTGTGTTTTCCAAGTCCACTTTCTCTTTTCCTTTCGTCTTAGGCTGCCGTGGCTTTAGACCTTCACCCGGGCAGCACACTCGGAAACGGTCTTTGAGATCAACGGCCGTGCGATTGTTAAATCCAAAGTCTGGATCCTGCAATATCTTTTTCCAATTCCCTATACCATACCTGCTGACGCCTACAAGCAAGTCTTTGGTCTCTTGCTCAGACCATTTGTTGCGTTTCTTCCCACGCTTGGTCTGGGGCGGTGCCTGGGTGCTTATGGTATTGTTGGTTGCTACATTGGTCTCATGGGCCACGTCTGGTGCGTTAGGCTGGGCGGCCAGTTGAGAAACTAATGGGTGATCAGAGTTTTGGGTAGTTCTGCTATAGTCCAACGCACTGCCTTCGAGAAAAGCGTGTTCGTCCACGTCCTTGTTCCTTGACTCTTCGAAACGCGCATCATAACCTCTCTCACCTGCAAATGCATTCTTTTCCCCAGTAATCGGTGGGAAAAGTCTGCCCTCAGGCGGGAGCGGAGGAGGCTGATGCAAGCCCTGTAGCAATGGCGGAATTCTGGGTCGTTTTGCCGTCCTCTTAGGAGGTTGCGGTAACCTCGGTAGTTTGATGACAGATGGACTGCTTCCTGCATTTTCAGGCTGAAGAAACTGGTGTTCATGATCCCACTTTTGCCTCGCATGGTCCGGACTATCCAAAAGCAAGTCAACTAGTCTTCCACTGAAGGGCGTCGTTGATGAGGCAAATGTCGATGGTACGGGCTGTGCAGCCCCAAGCACATTCGCCTCGTTATTCAATACCTGTGCGATCGGTGCACTAGGCATCGACCGTGTGGGATGTGACCTCTCTTGGCCGTCTCTTCGGACGTCGTTCAACTGAGCGTTTTCTGGAGAGGTGTTCGCCAGCATGAGCGATTTTGGGCGTACGAAGCTATGATCAGGATGGTGCGATGGTCTTTGCGAGCCAGAGGAGCTCATGTTCGGTGCCTCTGTAATGAACGGCATGCTACTCTGGCTCGACATATCCCGTAGCGCATGCAGTCGTGGCTCCATGATTGGAGGCCCTCTCGTGGGCTATGTCGAAAGAGGTACAAGTCCGTGGCGTTCGCGTGGCTTCCGATCTGCCAAGCAGAAGCTAACGCGCATCCACTCAGCTGCCGTAGCATGTTGCGTCGCAATCAAAAACACCAGTGCGGAGGTCTTGGAGCTTTGTTGGAGTCATTCCGAAAGCTTTTTTCTGATCATTGGATTCTTCATCTTCCGTTTACGCTCATCGCATCAGCGTGACAAAGCATTCGCTGTACATGACATGACTGGTTTCAGGGTTGCAATGATTTGTAAACTTAACATTCTATAGAGAGGAATCTAGTGGTATGATGCGCGTAGTTGAGCTGGGGGACCGCAATTAGAGAGACAACACGGCTGCGCCAGAACAACGCCAACCAATGCAAATGGTTTCGGACGGATGAGATGCATATGCTAATATCGCACGACCAATGCAAGGCAAGATATCTACAATTCAAGAAGTCCCTGCGAAAAGGAAGATCAGCGCGCTATGCTCACCATATTGACACCTGGCCGTTCACTTTCAATGCGCCGAGGAAGTTGTACCATTTGTCTTTGTAGCAACGTCCGACATCTTGGTGTCGGCATGGAGCTTGTCAAGGTACTCCTTGTTGCCTGCGGGTGTCGCTTTGATGGTTTCGTCACCAGGGTTCCAGTTAGCGGGGCAGACCTAATTAATAAACGTCAGTATGCTTGCAAAGACTAAGGGGCCTAGAAATGATTCGTACCTCGCCGTATTTGTCAGTGAATTGGAAGGCATCAATCAGGCGAAGCGTCTCGTCGACCGACCTTCCAACAGGAAGATCGTTGATAGTGATCTGTCGTACGATGCCATTAGGGTCGATCAAGAACAGCCCTCGTAACGCAATACCCTCCTCTTCAATCAGGACACCATAGTCCTTGGCAATACTATGGTTCTTATCGCTCAACAATGGGATGTTGATCTTGCCCAGGCCTCCGTCTTTCTTGCTCGCATTCGTCCAAGCGAGCAAACTATACTCGCTGTCTGTGCTGGAGAAGACGACGCTGGCGCCACGGGCTGCGAAATCGGAAGCGCGTTCACTAAAGGCGATAATCTCGGTTGGACAGACAAAGGTCCAGGCCATGGGAACGAAACCGAGAACAAGCCATTGCTTGGTGGATGTGTAGGCTGTTAAGCTGAGGTCTGCGTGAGAGTTGTCAGTTCGTTGGTCTGACTGGTGTGTGGTTGGATAGGTACATGAATGGAGAAAGTGTAGGATAGTGAGATGAGCGCATACCTTCGAATGTGCCGTCGACAACCGCGGTGCCGGAGAAGTGAGGAGCGGGCTTCTGGACCCGCGCCTTGGGTGTGTATGCTGGAAAAGCCATTGCGATTGTTCGTACTCTATGGACGGACGATGCGACACAGTGTCGGAGGTTTTGGTTGTGTCAACACTCTAAAAGGATAGAAGGTCCGATCTCGCAGGACTCGTTATCAATGCTACACTTCGGTAGGATTGGCGTGGGTAAGGTTTGGCTGGACCCTTTGAAGTTAAACGGCTGCTGTAGAGATTGGGGGACTGGTGTAAGGTCGGACGTCGATCAAGGTATCAGACTAGGCGGATTTATGCTGCGACAGTTGGAGACGAGCGCGACAGGTCAGGCGAATAAGAACAAAGGTAAAAGAGTACTCAAGATCAGCAGATAATTTGCGACAGATGTCAAAACGCGATGTCGAGGGTGACTAGCCGTAGGAAGGTAAGCGTCAACGCCTTGTGCACGTTTCCGAGGTATGCCACTCTAGCTGGCACAGCGTGTCTTCGGCGACTTCGGGAATTTGTGTGACTGTCGGAGCAGGCGCGGACACAAGATTCTTTAAAGCTTTGCTAGTCTACCGGGCCGCAGCCATTGCGCGTGGCCTGACGTGCTGTAGTCACTCCGAAGTCCCTGTTAATCGGCGTCTTCGGCATGTCAAGTCGAGACTTGGCCTGCTTACAGAACAGTCCCAGGTTATCTCATCACTAACAGCTGCGCGCCGCTAACTCTCTTTCATCCAATAATCTCGACGCGCCACCACCCAGTTGCTATCGGCGGTCCACCAGCAAACGCTTGTGTATGTTGATGATACTACCTTGAGCGGCGTGAGACATTTGCTGTGCCGCAAACGTACCTGCATGCGGCGCTCGAGACGGCGTGGCTTACGCAGGTGCATAAGGCCGCCCACTATAGGCCGATCAGCACGCCTGGTCACGGGAGAGCGCGCCAGCGCGGCACAGACGTGCACAAGCGGCATGGTGCTGGTAGTCGCATAGAGTTGTGTCCAAAATAATTTTAAGCAATGGCCTATAGCTTTACACTACGCCTTTATCTAACATTGAACTATGCATCTATATCGTACAATCCGTGAGCCGTCCATCTACCCGGCAATTCTCCATGCCCTCAGTGGCAACGCCTGTATCCGCATAACCGCTGGTTTGATGTAGCCCCAGAACGTCACTACACCGATCACAATACATAAAATGTTCACAATGTAGTACCCATCTGTTGTAACGCTGCAGATACCACCACCTTGCTGGCATCGATGCTTCTCTGCCTCTAGAGAACAAGAGAATGCTTGTGTAATGAGTGGTCCTTTCAAGAGGTCTGCTTTTGGAATGTCTGTAGGCGGTATGCAGGTTGCCGACGTGAACATGTCGACGGCTTTAAGAACGAAGTAGCGTGGGAATGTGCCGCCGAGATTGGAGACACTGCATTGACGTTAGCGACATATAGGTAAATTGTGAAAGAAGGAAACTTACGTAGCGAGAAGCGTCATATAAGTACCGCCAATAAGCGGGTCTGAGATCTTTGCGTGGAACGCGCTGACCGCAACGAACATGACTGTATTCATGAAGGTTGAAAGCACATGCTCAGCAATGACCAGCAGCAGGAACCCAGTCGAGGCTCCTCCGACCGGGAATACGGACACCACAAATTGCGCGAACCCAGCAGCAACCAGACGTCCCATGAAGGACCAACACCAGATGTGCATAGGCGGGTAAGTTTGACACCACTTTCCGATGTAGTAACCCAGGAAGACCTCGACAGGGAAGTCGACGAGGATAACGAGGGAAAGCTGCTCCTGCTTGAGGCCCTTATCCAAAAGCTTCAGGCTCGTAACAGCATCGTTGGCTTGGAATCCAATCTTGGCGATGAGGTGAATGATGATGAAGCTCTGGATGTTCTTCAGTTTTAAGATGCCCCACATGGTGCGGTAAACCTCTCCAATGCCATCGCCGTTCTTATCGCGGTCTTCGCGTTTCATGACTGCCAATCCAAGAGTGACTATCAAGTATGCCCATCCCCAGAAACTCAAGTAGCCATCAAGCTCCATGATACCAGTTTCTGCAGGAGTGCTACGGAACCACTTGTTCGCAAAGTCTTTGGAATTGAAGGCTAGGAAGACGGTGTAGGAGAGGAACTGGCCTGCGGTCAGGCCAACAGTTTGCGCTGTGGAGGCGTATGCGAGGTTCTCTTTGGAGAGAAGAGTAAGCGCCCAACCTGCTTGTTGTTAGCCTGGAGCAAGTCAATATGGGGAGTATGTGGCGCCTTACCATCCACAGCGATGTCCTGCGTAGCGCAGAGGAACACGAGCGCGAACCACCACCAGGTAAAAGTCCAAACTCCACTGTCTGTCTCGCCCGCCTCCTTCATCATGCGATTGATGTTCCTCCCTAGCCAAATCATGGAGAAACCGGAGATGGTCTGGATAGGCAAGATCCAACTCTTCCGGCGTCCGACCTTGGGCGACCATACCGCATCCACTATGGGACTCCAGAGAAGCTTGAGCGAGTAGGGATAGGCAGCGAGCGAGAAGACGCCAATGGCGGCGTAGGATACGTTGTGCTTGAGAAGGAAGGGCACAGAGCCGTGGGCCAGCCCCATGGGTATGCCTTGGAGGAAGTAGAGCAGTACCAGGAGGAGAAAGTTGCTCTGGTCCTTCTTGGAAAGCTCAAAGAAGCCCTTGGAAGGCCCGTCCTCGTCGTGGCCCAGCTTGGGCACTTCATCGTCTAGGGAGAAGTTGGAGTTGCCCATGAGGGATGCAGCTTGGCTCGAGGGCGACGTGCTGTCGAAGGACGAGTGTTTGCGCCGATGTTCCAACATGACGCTGTTCATAGCAGTAGAATTTGCATTGCCGTTCTTCTTCTTTTCTTGCAACGAGTCGGTCGAGCTCTGCTCACGTAGTACAGAGCCGCGGTTCTTGGATCGCGAGGCTCGTTTGCTCATTTGGGTGCGTCGGTGGGATGTGGCGGATGGGGTGGGAACTCGGTGGTGTAGTTTGGACAAGGTTGGGCGATGGCAGGGACAGGGGATGGCGAGAGGAAGACGCGAACTTTGTGCTGTGACGGTTGTTTAGAGAGCGACTAGTGAAGGGCAAGAAACGTGTTAAGAAACAGCCGGGTTAGTACAACGCGGGCACCAGTCTATGATTATGCAGCGATGATGGCCGCGGGCCCTGAACGTCTGGACGGAACCGTGTCCTCTAGTCTCAAGCTCGCGACGAGGGCGGAGCACTAACCCCCACCCCCCTGCCCGACGCTTATTCACGTGTTAGCGCGTTCATCTTGCCCGCCCACGCGTTCCAACACCAACACCGATGCGCTTTCACTGCGGCAGACGACTACACAATGGAGACTACTGAGCAACTCGACGACGAAATCAGCGACCTGCATACCCGGATAGCCACTTTGAAAGCCCACCGCGCGAACCTATCTTCCGTCCTCTTGTCGCAACCCCACCTCGCTGCGCGTCTCCATAGTAGCGGTACACACAACAAGCCTGCCGACGATACGAGTCCAATCATCACACAGCAGTCGAAACGCATCCTCGAGAACACCTATCGCGCCTGTGCTGGCGTTACTGCATACAAAGTCAAAGATCCCGACCCACATGCGCTGAACCATGGCAACATTCTTGGCGTTAGCATAGATGTGCCACTCAGAGGCAGATTCGTCGAGACATATCACGTCTTGCTAAGCGTCAGACAAAAGGATGAAAAGACTATCCTAAGAATCAACAAGCACACTATTCCACCATGTATACCTCTGCAGCAATTGTCCGACAAGTGGCTACCCACGGGGGGCAAAGACGAAGAGAATGATCCAGAACAGGACTTGGTGCAGTTTGGGAGACTGCTGCGGAAGGAGCTGGTGAGCTGGCACTTGCGTGTCAACGCTTTGGAAGAGTTACAGAAGGAGGCTGGTCTGGCAAAACCACACCCGAACAGCGAAACTGAGGGCTTTGCACCAACTGGAAACATCTTGAACGCCTTCGTGAGCGATGATGAGACGAGCTCAGATGTCGAGGAAGCCGAAGACGAGACTGATAGCGTACGCATACTGGACATCGAAGCCGATGCTGCTGTCAGGCAAATCACTGTTGTCTGGTCCGACAGACGAACAGCGGTCATGTCCGTCACCAAAGATGGGAGGATTGAGAGGGCTGTGTGCAGGACAAGAGATGGAGTCCGAGATGACGTCTTCAGCAGGAAGGCCATAGGTCCCATCAGTGGCTTGGTCCGCAGACTACAAGCATGAGTAGACGAGCGAAGCCTGAACCAGATCTTCTAAGCCTTTATGAAAGCTCGGCTGCTGGGCACGGCGTTCATGATTTTTACGATACCCATTGATAGCGAGTCGTTCATCATATTCATCAAGCGCTCTCTCAACTAAAAGGTCACGAACCCAGGCTTTTTGTTCTACACTTCTGACAAGGAAATCACGCGACTTCGTAACGATCCATACAGACAGCCTATCTGCTGTGAGATCTGGTAGCGTCATACTACGGGTGCGCATCGCTCATTTTCTGTTACCAAATGCTGCAAGGGCACTGCGAATATCGGACAGTACATCGTTTGCTCACGACGTTGAATATTCTCCAAGTGGTGTGGAAGTGTTACAGTGCAGTGAAAGACTGAGCGCGCATTGGCCACACTCTTTGGAGGGCTGATAACACCAGTGGGGATGATCCCTTCCACCTTTCACGCGACCACGCCTTTCTCGCCAGTCATCTCCATCGCAGCAAACTTCACACTCCAAATCGCCCTACCTCTCGCCACTATTCTGCATTTGTGTTTGTCTCTCTGCAATACTGCAGTTATCCTGTCTTGCCCGATGTGTGAGAAGCCGAGGCTGCGGACCCTCTGCCTGGCCATCCTCCCGCGCTCCAGGCCTACGATGCAGCGCAGCGTGCGTGTTGATCCCGATAATTTCGACTTGTTATCCAGCCCTGGACTTTTATAGCGCGTGCTATCTCCATAGCGCTGCTTCAATCTGCAAGAACCCCAGCAAAGCATCGCGTGTCTTCAATCAGCAGTGCACGAACGCGGATAAATCTAAACAACTGCACGCTAGCAGACGTCGAGGAACGGCTCATTCGAAGCGCTAGAGGTCCATCTTTCCATGCAGAGTGGCAGGTTACAATATCGCTGCATCTGGGCCGGGTTTACTTCTGTATCTGCTCATCCCTCGCGTATGGATTGCAGCTCAATGCGGCTAGCCGTCCGTCCCGCATGCCATCCTTCCCGTCAAGCACCATCTCCTCGTGCAGCCTCAGTCTCCACTTATCTCATCTGCGATACGCCGCGGCTAACTCACAATCTATTTGCACCTGGGGCTGTCAAACTTTTGACAATATCTCTGCTCAGCCTAAGCGTTCAGACGGTCCGACGGCTTGCCACACGTATGCAGGCGTGAAAGATGAAGGCAAACTGTCACCCACGGATTGTAAGGAGCAGAGTTTACACTGTTTTCTTTGACTAGAAGCTGTACTTTTGCTTTCGGAAAGGTTTGTGCAAACCCTTATCTCTCGTTCCCGCTCAGGTGGTATCTATCCCGTGGAGCGTACTCGAGTACACACCATCACGGCCTTCACGCTCACTTTTTCCACTCGGCATTGGAAATGTGTTCCCATGTGCCGATGCGCGGTTTCACCCGCAGGGCTGCCCCCCGAGACCATGCCGCCGTGGATTAGGGGCGAAACAAGCCGTTTGGGGTCGCAACGCAACCTGATGTCATGTTGTATCTCGATGTTACACATCCTGACAACCGCGAGACCATCTATGGAGCAGTGTAGGAGTTCTCAGACACGACTCACATTTCTAAAGGAAGCTATCACAACAAGAATCTTGATGTCACTTGCTGTCTGAAAAGCGTACTAGCTTTCTTTCTGAGCAACAGACGAGCTACCGTTCTGTTTCTCGCTAGCGGTTAGGTGGATATGGAGAACATCCGGTCTGTACTGCCGCTACAGTTAGACTCAGACGTTATATACTTGCTCAAAGTACCAGGTGTATTCAACGAGCGTCCAAGGCCACTTGTCGTTTTTGTCTACAGGTCGTCTAGTCATAGCTGCAAGCGGTTCGCCCTAGAAGCCTTTAGCCGTCGCCCCCAGATCCTAGCCGCCTGTACCTGGTCGATTAAGAGCGCTCTCTACAACCGTTCCTGGGTCTAGGCATAGTACATCTTGTCAATTGTGCATGTGCAAATAGCCTCGCCTCCCACGCCGCGGGCGCGTGTGCGATGATATGTATCCTTGGGCCCTGGATCTTTACAAGCCCTCGTGCCCTCAGTTCTCTTCTCTACTGTTACATTCCTTTCAGAGAGCTCTCGTAGCATTCACTAGTCGCGACTCACTCGCCAGTTGGTCGAGTGACCATCCTTTACAGTCCTTGACCCATTTTTTCCTGATCAACTCTCTTTTACTGCGAGTCATCTTCATACATTCTTTCGAGCATAAATACACGTCTTTGAGCCTTCTCAACATCGTCAGCCCCTCTCCCTCTCTATCCAAACACTTTAGGTGGACTTTCGGCACTCAAGCGAAACCGCGTTCGTACCTGCACTAGCCCGCGCCACAGCCACGTAGCACAGTAGCGCGCCACTAGCGACATCATAAGGATGCGCGCCGCCAACATGCTCGCGGGAGTAACATCGTTACTCTCGTTCTCCACTCTTGTACAAGCCGTTGCAATCCCGCAAGGTACCAACTACAACATGACGACTAGTTCGGCTGTTTCAGGTTACAAAAACGTTGCCTACTTTGTCAATTGGGTTTGTTCGCTAGCCTGAGTGTATGTAGGAGAGGTTCGTCTGACAACATGTGCAGGCTATTTATGGTCGCGCATACAACCCTCAGGACCTTCCTGGTGAAGAGCTTACCCATGTTCTCTACGCCTTTGCCGATGTTCGCGATACTGGCGAGGTCTTCCTGACGGATACTTGGTCCGACACTGACAAGCACTATGTGAATGACTCGTGGAACGATGTTGGCACCAACGTCTATGGATGCGCCAAGCAGTTGTTCCTCCAGAAGAAGCGCAACCGCAAGTTAAAGGTGCTACTATCGATCGGCGGATGGACTTACTCTGCCCATTTTGCCCAGCCTGCGTCGACCGCCCAGGGCCGAGCCACATTCGCGAGCAGCGCTGTCGAGATTCTAAAGAACCTGGGCTTCGACGGACTTGACATCGATTGGGAGTACCCGTCGAATGAAGCCCAGGCCAACAACATGGTTCTCCTTCTCCAGGAAACTCGTCGGGCTCTCGATGCGTACTCTGCACAGTATGCCCCTGGGCAGCACTTGCTCCTGACTGTTGCTTCACCGGCAGGCCCCACCAATTACAACAAGATGAAACTTGGAGCCATGGACCAGTACCTTGATTTCTGGAACTTGGTAAAATACCCCCCCTACTCATCCAGTCGCGCTAATTGCTAACGACGAGTGTTTAGATGGCTTATGATTATGCTGGATCCTGGGATACGAATGCTGGCCACCAGGCTAATGTGCAGCCTTCTTCTTCCAACCCAACCAGCACGCCCTTCAGTACCGCCAAAGCAATCGACGACTACGTCGCCGCCGGCGTACCCGCTGCAAAAATCGTCCTCGGCATGCCCCTGTACGGCCGTTCTTTTGAAAACACCGACGGCCCTGGCACCCCATTTTCGGGCATCGGCCAAGGTACCTGGGAACAAGGCGTGTATGACTATAAGAAGCTTCCACTAGATGGCTGCCAGGTCAAGACAGATGACAGCATCACTGCTAGCTGGTGCTACGACCCGACCAAGAGGGTCATGGTCACTTACGATACGCCTGACATCATCGCTAAGAAAAGCCAGTTCATCCTCGGAAGAGGACTCGGTGGTGGCATGTGGTGGGAGAGCTCGAGCGATAAGCCGGGAGACGCGAGTTTGATCTCGACGGTAAGTGTCTTTTGTCTCTTTTATTCTTCGTAGCCCCCCTTGTATGTGCCCCTGTGTATAGAGAGACATGGACTAATTGGCCGGTGTAGTTTGTGAAAACAATTGGTGGTGTCGATAGATTGGATCAGTCGGCCAACTTGCTCAACTTCCCAGAGAGTAAATACCAGAATTTGCGCGAGGGCATGCCGAACAACTAGCGGGCCGTCCTGTGGTCGTGATGGTGGCGGCGGCGGTAGTGCTGCTGCTGTGTCAACGTCTGCAAGATACGGAAAGGTCGCTTTTTGTGAGAAATTGGCCAAAGGGAATTGGATTAGTTCTTCCCCTTCTTTTTTTTTGTGAAGGCTCTGAGCTTTCTGTACATACGACAATCGTTCATTTCTTTCTTTAGGGTGGTAGACGGCCGAACGGCGTTTGTGGGGCTAGAGGGAGACTGGTTTATGGTTGGGCGAGAGGCCAATAGAATATGGCTCGTATATACGGTTTTATGAATCCATTGTTTTCGAAGATTAGTCACGTCAAAGCTTGACCGTGAAGGACAACAAGAATGCATTGTCATGTATAACACCATTTGAACTATGCTGGGATTGGAGACGGCCCAAATTATTTACGTGGTCGAAGTAAAGTGTTGTACATTGCACAGCCTGGTTGAAGCAGGCTCCTACTCAGGATCGAGTTGAGGTAGTCCTGAATGTCGCAGTAAGGCTATAACCTATTCCCGCACCTCTATATCTACAATGTCTTGCTAGTTTCCTCTGCAGCACTGAGATCTGCGACTTCACCCTTTCCCGCATTGCCTAATCTCCGCTTCTTCAGAACGTTCTCGATAAAGGCCTCGCCTGCTTTGTAACTTGAGCGCACGAGCGGACCGGAGGCGCAGTACAGGAAACCCATATCGAGAGCGCGCTGGCGCCAGAGCTCAAACCTGTCGGGGGTGACGTAGTCGTGGACGGCCATATGGCGCTTGGTGGGTCGCATGTATTGGCCAAAGGTTACTACGTCGACATTGTTTGCGCGGAGTTCTGTATGCATATTAGTTTAGTCTGCTTATACACTGGATGGTGCGAACATACCCCTCAACGCATGCCATAGGTCCTCGTCCGTCTCGCCCAAGCCCAACATCATACTGGTCTTGGTGATAAGCTCCGGTCGTGCCTCCTTGGCCGATCGCAACACGTCCAGACTCTGCCTAAACTTGGCCCTCCGATCACGGACAAACGGTGTGAGGCGTTCGGTCGTTTCGATGTTGTGCGCAAAGACGTCGACACCACTTCGCGCAACTACCTTGGCCATCTCCAGATTGCCTCCGTAGTCACCACCCAACAACTCGACAAGCTGTGTTGGGTTCTTTTGCTTGATCTTCATAATGGTCTCGGCGATGTGATGCGCTCCGGAATCTGCAAGATCGTCTCGATCAACCACTGTGATGACGACGTAACCCAGCCCCCACCTCCGCAACGCTTCAGCTGTGTTTTCTGGTTCGTGGGGATCCAGCGGTGGGGGTGCTTTGGATGTCTTTACGGCGCAGAAGCGACATCCTCGTGTGCATGTGTCTCCCATGAGCATGATTGTCGCAGTCGCCGCACTCTTTGAGCTTCCGCCCCAACAATCGGAAATGTTGGGACATCTTGCCTCCTCGCAGACTGTGGCTAGGTTCAGCCCTCGCAGGTCTTTCTTAATTTGCTTGTAGTTCTGGTTTGCGTTTGAGGGTATTGGCGTCCTCAGCCACTCGGGAAGTCGTGTGATGGTCTTCTTGCGGCCTTCTGGGCCTACCTGCACCGTCTTGATCTCGTATGCTTCGGCGGGGGAGAGGGGCGCCTCGGGGTTGACAAAGTCGCCGAACGATGGGCCGGCATTCAGTGTATCGCTGAAAGACGTCGCTGGCCGTGATCGCTTTGTGGGTGCTTCGGGTGCTGCGGTTTGCGGCGTATCGGAGGTCGTGGCAAAAGTTCTAAGCGGCGTCCTGGAGCGAGGGACAGTCTTTAATGTGGACGGGGAGAAGAGACATCGCGAGCGTGGTATTGAGGCTGCCATTATCGCGTATGTGTGAATGTGAAAGAAGAAAAAAAAGAAGAAGAGGGAGAGCGAGTGAGCAAGTGTGTCGAGTCTATGTTGGAGGGCAGAGCCTTGAATACCCGCACCGCATTGAGTTGCGCATTCCGAGCGCCAAGACCTGGAACATGCAAGAGCAGCCCACACGGCGACATCCCTGCAGGTGGACTCCCTCGCGCTGGTCGAGGGCATCTTCAACGTCGCCAATTCAAGACGGCCAGGCAATCAACACTGCGACTTACCCCCGACACCCCCACGTCTCCGCACCCACCAGTTCCAATTGCAAGGCGGCATTTGGACACATTTACACACGCCGTCGCAAAAGGCCACGTTAGGCGGAGGAAGAGCGGGACAAGTTTACACACCTGCGGAGAGAGCTAGCCGTTCGGAGCTGCACTACAACACCATGGACAAGAAGCACGAGGATGCTGGCGGCGTCGCCCAGATTGACAAGACGTCCGTGTTCCAAGAAGGTAGGGCGACTGTCACTGAGACCATAGGCTGGCGGGGGGAAAGCTGACCTTGTCCAGCACGAGTATTCAACCAGAGCCCTATATCGCCCAGGAAATGTAGAGTGATCCTGACCAAGCTGGCCCTGCTGCTCTTCACCGGGGAGAGCTGGGGACGGCAGGAAGCCACAACCCTCTTCTTTGGCATATCGAAGCTGTTCCAGAACAAGGATGCCTCGCTCCGCCAGATGGTCTACCTGGTCATCAAGGAGCTCGCTGGCTCCGCCGACGATGTTATCATGGTCACCTCCTCCATAATGAAGGACACATCCGTCGGCAGCGACGTCGTATACCGCCCCAACGCCATCCGCGCCCTCTGCCGCGTCATCGACGCCTCTACCGTGCAGGCCATCGAGCGTCTCGTCAAGACGTGCATAGTCGACAAGAACCCCTCCGTGTCCTCGGCCGCCCTCGTCTCGTCGTACCATCTTCTCCCAGTCGCCAAGGATGTCGTTCGAAGATGGCAGTCCGAGGCTGCGGAAGCTGCGTCTGGAAGCAAGTCGGGTGGAGGTTTCTTGGGAGGATTCGGAGGAGGCTCGCATAGCGCCCTGCAGGCCAGCACAAACTACATGACACAGTACCATGCAATTGGTCTCCTCTACCAAATGCGCTCCGGCGACAGGATGAGCTTGGTCAAGATGGTGCAGCAATACTCGGCTGCTGGCGTCGTCAAGAGCCCTGCTGCTACCGTCTTGCTGGTCAGACTGGCTGCTAAGCTCGCTGAAGAGGACCCGAACCTACGCAAGGTAAATCTTAGTCGCTTCATAGGGAAAGACTTACTAACACCCATCGCAGCCCATGATGCAACTTCTCGACGGCTGGTTGCGCCACAAGTCGGAAATGGTCAACTTCGAAGCTGCAAAGGCCATCTGCGACATGCGCGATGTCACCGATGCCGAACTCGTACAAGCCGTTCACGTCCTCCAGCTCTTCCTCACGTCCCCTCGCTCCGTCACCAAGTTTGCCGCCCTTCGCATCTTGTCGCAAATGGCTTCCTTCAAGCCGGATGCTGTCCGATCATGCAACCAAGACATCGAATCGCTCATCACAAACTCGAACCGCAGTATCGCAACTTTCGCCATTACTACACTCCTCAAGACGGGCAACGAGTCTTCAGTTGACAGACTGATGAAGCAGATTACAGGCTTCATGGCTGAGATTACTGACGAGTTCAAAGTCACCATTGTAGAAGCTGTCCGAACGCTGGCACTGAAGTTCAAGGCGAAGCAGTCTGGATTCCTTGCTTTCCTCAGTGGCATCCTGCGCGACGAAGGTGGTTACGAGTTCAAGCGATCTGTTGTGGAGGCCATCATGGATCTCATCCGCTTCGTACCCGAGGCCAAGGAAGATGCGCTTGCTACCCTGTGCGAGTTCATCGAAGATTGCGAGTTCACCAAGCTCGCCGTCAGGATTCTTTTCGTTCTTGGACGCGAGGGCCCCTCAACACCCCACCCCACCAAGTACATTCGCTACATCTACAACCGCGTAGTCTTGGAGAATGCCATCGTTAGGGCTGCCGCAACCTCTGCTCTTTCCAAGTTTGGCGTTGGACAGAAGGACCCTGAAATCAAGAAGTCGGTCCACGTTCTCCTCACAAGGTGTCTCGATGATGTTGATGACGAGGTCCGTGATCGAGCTGCGCTTAGCCTTCGTTTGATGGACCAGGAAGACGACGACATGGCTGTCAGCTTCATTCGCAACGACTCGATGTTCTCGCTCCCTGTACTAGAGCACCAGTTGGCTATGTACGTCAGCTCGGATTCCCGTGATACCTTCGAGACAGCCTTCGACATCACTAAGATCCCAACCGTTTCACGTGAACAAGCAGATGCGGCGGATCTTACCAAGAAGACCGAAGGCGCTACTCCAACACTCAAGGCGCCCAGCGCGGCCAAAGCACCATCAAAGGCGGGTGCCGATGCCGCCGCAAGCGCAGCATCAAATGCTCAGAAATACGCTACAGAACTGCAAAAGATTCCAGAGTTGGCAGCGCACGGTGGTGTGCTCAAATCAAGCGACGTCGTCGAACTTACAGAATCCGAGACCGAATACGTCGTCACTGCCATTAAGCACATTTTCAAGGATCACATTGTCATCCAATATGACATCAAGAACACTCTTGAGGACACCGTATTGACAGATGTGGAGATGGTTGTCACACCAGAGGATGATGGAGACGTGCAATTAGAAGAAGAATTCGTTATCCCAGCGCCCAAGCTCGCCACCAACGAGCCCGGTACCGTTTACGTATCCTTCAAGCGCTTGGAGACCGAGTCGCAATTCATCGCCGCCAGCTTCACCAACGTACTCAAGTTCACAAGCAAGGAGATCGATCCAAGTACGAACGAACCAGAGGAAGGCGATGGATACCCAGACGAGTATCAGGTTGAGGATCTGTACCTCACCGGTGCTGACTACGTTGTTCCGGCATATGCAGGCAGCTTCGATAACGTTTGGGATCAGTCGAATGGCGATTCGGCAACCGAGACATTGCAGTTGGGTAACATGAAGAGCATATCAGGTACGTCATTTATGTTACAAGCTATCTCTAATGGCGAGCACACGACTGACAGTTTACAGATGCAACTGAGCAACTTACCAAGACACTCTCCCTCCAACCTCTCGAAGGTACAGACGTCACTCTGTCAACTTCAACACATACTCTCAAGCTTTACGGCAAGACCATCACAGGCGGCAAGGTTGCTGCGATGGTGCGGATGGCCTTCAGTGCTAAGACTGGTGTGACGATGAAGATTGACGTAAGGAGCGAGGAAGAAGGTGTCGCTGCATTGGTCGTAGGTAGCGTGGCGTAGGTGATGGTAGGCCGAGATTTGTTTAGTAGCGTGTCTTGAAAGCGTAAAAGGTCAACGGGCTTCTTAGTAGAACTCTTGATATGCACAGCTCAATGATCATAAATGTTATATGTTGACGGGATCGACCAACAAGCGCCCTGAACTACTAAATCTCCTCTGCAATTCTCTACCTTGTAAGTGCTTCGATGGCCTTGTTCACGACACTCCGTATTTGTTTCCATCTCTTCATCAAGGTCTCCTTCTGGCCTTCCGCAAGCTCATGCTCATTTTCTTCACCCAAATCCAGATCCTCAACTTCCTCCAAGGTATCCACTATCTCCCTCGAGTACTTGGTCAACACATCCGCCAGGTACTTATTCAACCTCGCCTGATCCCTCGCTCCATCATCATCCCCAGACACAAACGCCGAATACCTCCTCGAATCCAGAACCAAAAGTCTAAGGACAGCCTGCGTCCTGTAACACACCGTCTCCTCTTTCCCTGCACCAAACAACGTGTAGTTACCGTAGAACCCATCTTCTTTCAGCGCATCCACTTGCTGCTTGTCCAACAACGGGGCCAAGACGTGATCCAAAGGCAAAGAGTCATGAACGTTTTGGTCCAAGATGAATCCGTATTCCACAAGGAGGAAGTCGTTTGTGTGGGGACCATATGTCACAAACACCTCCTCGCCAGCAGAGTATGGTCGGTCGGCGGTTACGGAGTAACCCTGGCTGTCGTGTTGGGGATGACACCCGTTGTCTGAGTGGTTGAAGTAGTCGATGAGCGGACACATGCAGTAGCAGTCGTCTGCGGTCAATTTCGGGCGCCGTTTAGGTAAGCGAGGGTGTGCGTTGGGCAGGTCGGGATACTCCCAGTAGAAAGTTCGAGTATTTACTATCAACCAGGTGTACGTGTAGAGGGACTTGGTGATGGAAGGAGGTAGATGGGTGGAATGGGTGGCCCAGTCTTTTTCTAGGTTTGCACGCTGTTTGGCGAGGAGCGTTTTGCAGGCGGGTGGCAGGAGAGACTGGAGGGAAGACGGGTAGTGGATTGGCATGGTGGATTTGAAATCTTGCTGCGTGGGCCAGACGTCTTGCCAGAGGTGGTAGGAGTGCGGTTCCTGGCCACTATACCATAGGGATAGGGATGCTGCGAGTTTTCCGTGAACAGTGGTATTTTCCGGAAGCTTGAAGGCGTGGATGGAAGGTAGGGCGACATGAACGAGTGATTTGTTGGAGACGTGCACTAACTTGTCTCCTTTCTTGATGATTTAGTTGAGAGTTGAGTGGTGGATAATTCGAGAAGGGGGACTGACTTTGATGTCTTTTGCTGCTACGATACCCATTCCTCGTCCGCTGAAGCGTGCTGGAGCGATTCCATTTATTTCAACCCCATTCGACTTGGCCCAGTCGACAAACTGGGTGTGTTGTTCACCAGGGTCTAGTGCTGCAGTCATGGCTGCAGTGAAGAATTCTGAAACTTCCCAGCTTGATGTGCGAATACAATCTTGGAAATTGTCAGTGGTCAGATCTAGAGGGAACATTTTGACTGGAAGTACGGAATGCCATACTGAAGATTCCCAATAAAGTTTGCTGTACAACCAGTGTTCAGTCTGCCTAGGTACAAATTGCTTTATGCCGGATCAAGGTCTAAGCTGTTGAACAAGCAGCCTCAGTAATACGACGGTAGATGACAGTGGCAATTGCAAGTGTATGTTAGCTCATCGATGGCGTAGCAATGGATGGCGCAATTGTCTTTTTTCAGAAGTCAAAGAAAGAGTCATGATTGACATACTTTTGGTGTGGCTGGTGGCATGTGGCGTATCGATAAGATTGCATCATGTCATCAGCTCAGAACGATGCCAGCCAGCTTTCCTACGCCTCACCCAATTCTTCATAGACACGCGCAAATGGCAAGAAATGTGCGAATACATCAGCTCCAGAAGCTGACGTCGCACCCATCGTTCCAGGCGTCTTCGTTTGTACAGCCATCCCGCTGCTTTTCAGTCCTCAATCGCCCTCCGCCCAAGTATGAGGGCCACATACCACTAACACGCGTGGAAAGATTAGGGCTGGCAATAGGTTCAGGTCTTGGAAGCTTCTTGGACCCCCGGAGAGGAGGTGAGATGAGATCCAGAGATTTCACATCAGCGTGCGCTGCTTACACAAGTCAGATCTCATCGCATCCTTTGGTGAAGCGACTGCACAGCCCTACTTCATATACAAGCTTCGCGATCGCATGCTCCTGAACCCAACTGGCCGACGAATACTACGCGACCGACCGCGATTGACATCCACCTCGCTTGACATCCCCCGCCTTCGCAACCTACCGCCGAACACACTGGGCTATGCGTATGCTGCATGGCTTGACCGCGAAGGCGTCTCTCCAGATACGCGGGCGGCAGTACAATACATAGATGACGAGGAGTGCGCATATGTCATGCAACGATATCGCGAGTGTCATGACTTCTACCACGCTCTGGTAGGACTACCCGTCTTCCGTGAGGGCGAAGTTGCTCTGAAAGCATTCGAATTCGCAAACACTGGCCTGCCCATGACTGGCTTGGCTGTATTCAGCGCCTTCACCTTGAAGAAGGCTGAATGGAGACGTTTCTGGGACGTCTATGGACCATGGGCTACAAGGAATGGCGCACAAAGTGCCGACGTGATCAACATCTACTGGGAGGAAGAACTAGAAACAGATATTGACGATTTAAGAGCTAGGTTAGGCATTGAGAAGCCACCGGATCTACGAGCTATGCGCAAGGCTGAACGTGAAGCGCGCAAGAAAGAGAAAGAAGCCAAAGAGAACATGGCACGGGCTGCCGTATGAAGCAACATAAATGTACATTATCGTGTAAAAACGAACCGACACACGTCGTAAATTTAGCCTGTCAATTGTGCAGGATAAGTCTAATGCAGGTTATTCGCTCGAAGTAGGAGGCAACACAAAGATGCGGGGTCTCCACACGGGACGGAACCCGCAAGCCGGATCACCCACTCCGGACGGCCATTTCCTATGAATGCGGCCCACTCACAACCATGCATCTAGTCTGCTTCCTACAACAATATCCGATTAACGGATGCTGTCATGGCTGAGAAACGGAAGCATGATGAAATGGTTGGATCAGACCAGTCACGACTACCACCAAATGATGGCCGCCCGTCCACAAGCCCAGTGGATGATAGTCTGGCTATCGTCGAGAACTACCCCAGAAAACGTATAGCGATAGCCGTGGGTCGACATTGCTTCTTACTTCGTTACATGGTTTACTCATACTTTTTAGTGCAACGTCTGTAGATTCCGGAAGACTCGCTGTGACGCTCAGAAACCGGTTAGTGAGACGAAATTTGCTTTGCACGTACCGCTCATTGACAGTTATAGTCATGTGGCTTTTGTACTGAGCTTGGAATTGAATGTACTTATCGAAAACCAACAGTCGGCGACCGGACGAAACCAGTTGGTCCCTCACCAGAAGCTTGGTCAAGCATTGAAAGACGACTGGCACAAGTTGAAGCCAGACTGGATTCTACGCAGCAATGTGTACATGGATCCGCCGCGCTCTCTCCTAACACGTCTACTCATAGCGACATATACCCTCCACCGGAGCCTACATCTCGACACTCAAGCGCCAATAGAATGGCCATCGAGATGGTCAACAATACCACCGTGTCCATTACATCGGTCGGCACACCAGTGTCATATGACTTCGCTTACCGGCAGACAAGCACCGAAGGCAAGACCCCAAGACCTAGTCTCACAACTTTCCGCGCGCCTCCATACATCCACGTAGAGAGTTGGGACTACACAGCTGACTTTTACGATGACGAGATCCTGGCTGGTGAACGACTAGCCGATCAATGTGATGCAGTCATATTGCGTCCAGCGGACTTATCGCGACGAACTTGCCGGCGACTCCAACAGTCGTTTGTGGAGAACTTCCTTCGTTGGACACCAATCTTCGACCAACAAACGTGTATCAGCGCGCTTGAACAAGGAGACTCGGATAGTTTTGCATCATCCGATGCACCGACATGCCTAGCCTTTTTGATCTTGGCCCTTGGTGCTATCTCTGAAGATAGAAATAATAATTCAGACAACCTCACACCTGGACTGGAGTACTTTGCACGTGGCTCAAGAATTCTCGAGCATTTGTCGCTTCGTATCGGCAATCTGGCCACCCTTCAGTGTCGGATCCTGCAAGCTTCGTACTTCAAGTTTGCTATTAGACCTTTACAGACATGGAATTCTATTACGCAAGCAGCGCGTGATTGCATGCATATCCTGTCATCCAGAATAATGCAGCGATACAATCCTTCCGATCAAGAAGCATTCAATCGAGCGTTTTGGGCTTGTTCCACAATACTCCATGAGCTCGAGGCAACATGTAAGATGCATCCCATCGGACTGCGCCATTTCCACGAATTAGTTCCGCTTCCCCAGTTCGAAGAGGAAGATTCGGGCTTCTATTTCTTTCTAGCGCAAATTAGCCTCAGAAAGTTCTTGACACAGACCCTTGAAGTGGTTGGGTATTTTACAGGACAGGTCATATTTGCACCTGTTGTCATTGGCGAGTTGCGCAAACAAGTACGCGAATGGTACGATCATCTACCTTCAGTCGTCCAATTCCCCATCGATTCGACGCCGCTGTTTGACTCTAGGAAATCTTTTCTGCGAGTTCAGTATATCGCTTTACACGTAGTGCTTGGCTGGCCATCAGTGCTCAAGATACTGGAAGTTAGTGAAGAGGAGGCTGGCGCTCAAGACCACGAAACGATAGTGGTCACAAGGGATCACGCGCGACACTGCATAAAGAGTTCAGCCTTGCTTCTAAGTATAGCAGACGAGCAGCTCATCGGAAGGAAGATGGGAACGCACTTCACATTATATCCAACATTTGCGTGCTTTGCAACTCTCCTTATTGCATTCGACCACCCGGCTCTCGCCTTCATCGAAGAGACTAAGCAGGAGCAGCATATCCGGAACGGATACGATGTACTGCGACCATGGGCCCACCTTCCCCTCATTCGACGGGGACTGGAAAGGGCACGCATCTTAATGCAGCAGAACAATCTCGCGCACATATTCCACACATACGCGGATGAATTACCTCAAAATGCATCTGGTTTTAGTCCACCAGTAGCAACGAGTCACGACTGGAGATCTCCGCGTGCCGGGTTCACCATGAAACCATGATAGCCGCCTGGACCCTTAGATGGCATCTGAGTTCCCCTGTAGGATGACCGATCAGATTGCAGTACGGCACGAATGAGGGAATCCCACTGGCGCGAACCGTGCCGCAAAGACGTCATGCTAATCGGAAGATATGCACCATAGCCGGTATACACGTTCGGCCCGAACCCTTGTCACAAGCATCCAGTATGGCTGATTCCTTCGATTCTTTATCTGTTCCATCAGGGCGCCCTGCGGATGGATCCGAACAAACAGGATTGCTTCTAGACCACATGACGCCCATTGACTGCAGTCATATTCCGATGCAGCACCGTTGATCTACAGTCCAGGATCATCGCTATGTGCGGGACTCCTCGATCGCGCTTTCATTCCGCGTCTACGAACAAGCGACAGTGGAGATTCCTTGCAATTTCGTGCTTGAGCAGCCATCACGGGCATTACTACGAGTATCTGGAGTTGGGTGCAAGACTTGAGAATTAACGATTGAACAAAAGACCGTCCAATAAGTCTCACTGAATCAGGATCCGTGTTTTGCGCGTTGTGGAAATTGGCTAATGTACACTGCAAACTTGCAAAGAAGTAGACCACAATGATCGCGAATGACCAAACAAGACCAGGCCCTTGAGAAAGCCTGTGCTGTACAATGGCTTGTGTTACTGCACATTATCTCCACTGGATACCAAGAAATTGCTTTTCGAAACAATAAGGTCTGCAGCGCCGCTCATTCTAGATTGCGTGGATGTACGTTTGGTGGTGCTGCATTGTGGCCTGAATACGAGAAGACCTACACCGAAACGAGACATGCCATCGTGCAGCCTTACAATCACTGGGTTGTAGCGACCCTATCAAGCGTTTTGCGCTTATCGACTGTCAACCGACCGCTCAGGCGGGCGCTGCGGGTGTGACTTGAGTAAGGGTTGTCCTGGCTTGGAACCACTGCTGCTAGCATCACTTATGAGATGCAAAAGGTGTGACGGTCGCAAATTCAAGCTTTTACCGCGTCAATTGTACCACTTTGTTTACCATTTGTCTCAGCTGCCCATGCAGCGCTTTACTTCCTGGCATCATCCTTCAATAGCCTATATCACTGGCGTACGATCCACTTTGCGGTTTGCCATGGGACAAAACAGACAACCTGAACTCTACATAGCGGCGCTTATACCTTATGTAGCTGCTGCGATTGCACTAGTCTCTCGGCTGGCGTCTCACCGTCAGACTAGACATGCTTTGGTGTGGGAAGATATTTTGGCTGTTATTGCCTTCTCCAACGGAAGCGCCTTTACCTTCATTAGCATATACAGTACGTAGTATCGCACAGCCGAGCCAACTGCGCACTAACAATAGCAAGAGATGCGATGGGGACTAGGAAAGCCGCTTCAAGACGTGGACATGCCAGAGGATGAGATTGTGTACCATTATTTCTTGGACCTTTGGGTAGACATGTGGTTCTACACGTTCTCCGTTGGGCTGTCCAAGTTCGTGATACTAGGCTTCTACTGGAGAACCTTTTCACTTTCAATCATTAGGCAGCCTATTAGAATCCTGTTCGTCTGCTCGGTAGTTTGGATCATCGTCAGAGTAAGTGGACAACCAACCTCGGACTCCAAGAGCAACACGTTGACCTCCAAAGGTCACACTCATCTCTATGCAATGTCAACCGATTCGGAAATTTTGGCATAAAGACGTCCCGGGAAAATGCCCTCTGACACCGATGCTGTCGCTCTTTGCAGCAAGCATACCGCATTTCGTTCTTGAAGTTGCAATACTGCTGTGTCCACTCATCGAGATCTATAGACTTCACATCTCAGCCGCACGTAAGATCGTCGTGGCAGCCATGTTCGCATCCGGGCTACTGTGAGTTCTCCACACACAAAACCATTTGAATTTTGTTGACGCGTTCAAAGAGTCTGCGGCTCAGCACTTGGCACTATCATTCATACTGTCGCGCTAGGTAGAAAGAACAATCAGGACCTCACTTTCGATGGGATCGACGACCAGATATGGGCAGTGTGCGATGTAAACTTGGCATCTTTCGCAAGTCAGTCATCTATATTGACCCTCATTATTGGAGTGACTGACTAGTCCTTTCACTAGCATCCCTCCCTCTTATTCGCCCCATTCTTCGTTCTTGCGGCGGCATATTCACCTATCTGAGGTCAAGCGACAGGTCCGTTGGTCCCAGTAATCACGGCAATCCAAACTCCGTTCCGACATTTGGTAGTGCTCCCAAGAGGAGACGCAGCCAACCCTTGACAACTACCAATCTAGATAACGAGTCTACGATCGAGCTTGCTGGTGAATTACGTGGCCACAGAGGCGAAAGCCGTGGCAGAATATCTGTCCTGCATAGGAACGAGTGCGAACACGAGTGCGAGCATGGCTCGCACCATAATACCGGAGACAAGGTTGGGGCACGGGGCGGTATCCATATACGCAACGAGACTAAAGTCAATTTCAGTAACGTATAGTTTTGTGCATATGAGATCACAACAAACATCTCGCCTTGCTCAATTTTCGCATTTTTCTGCATGTACTCCAAACTCGCATGCTGCACAATTAGTCGATTGTACAGTCCAGCTATAGCGTCCCGATTTACAGACAACTCAATGTGCGTTTGTTTGCTGGAACATAGCACAACATGGTTCTTCGAAGACGTAGCCTTGAACATCCTAGCAAATCATGTACAAGGCACCCGTGCATTCAGCATGTACCTTTTTGTAAGTAGCTTCTCAAGCTAGTCACGATGGTAGACTTGGCTTTCACTAGGACCGGATGCTACACCCTCCGGTTTCGCCGACGACCAGCGCTGACAAACAATATATTTTTAAGCACTTCAGCAATACACACAAACCTCAAACGAAGGAAAAGATCAGATACGTGTTCAACGAAGCTCAAGGAAATAACGGGGTTATCTTGACTATCGCATTGTTGAAATCTAAAGTCCGCGATGCATTATCAGACAATTAAAGACCACGCCGAAGAGGCACCGGATACTCTTGATTTTGGCGACAGCTTCGAGAGAATATAAAGAGATAGTTGGTAGTACAACAAAATCATCAAGAGAAAACAAATTCAAAACATCTTTCAACCTTACATCCAATACCCACCCTGACCGAAATGGCTTCTTACCTCATTACTGGCTCATCTCGAGGAATTGGCCTTGGTTACGTTACGATCCTAGCTCGTAAAGATGCGTCTGAAGTTGGCAAGATTTTCGCTGCCGCTCGCTCCGAGAACTCTGCGCTCAAGAGATTGATCTCTGAATCGGCTGGTCGCATCGAGTTTGTCCCTCTAGAGGTGACGTCCGGGGAAAGTGCTGTGAAGGCAGCGCAGCATGTTGAGCGCTCTCTGGGTGGAAAGGGCCTGGATATTCTTATCAACAACGCTGGCGTTTCAAGTCACACTGAAGGTGGTATTGAAAACATGTGTGTCATTGAAAGCTGTGGCATCATCTATACTTTATGTACTGACAACCTACTAGGACAGATCTTACCGAAGTGCTAAACGTCAACGTCTTTGGGGTGCACAATGTCACCAGAGCCTTCCTGCCAATCCTTAAAAAGGGTCAGCTCAAGAAGATTGTAAACATGTAATCTTCCTCTCTCCCCTTGTCCGATCGTGCAGACTTAACGCGATATTAGTTCTTCGAGTCTCGGCTCCATGACTCTATCACCAATGGGCAAGTTCCAGCCTACTCCTGCGTACAAAGTATCAAAAGCCGCACTTAACATGCTTACCGTACAATGGGCCGAGTCGCTCGAAAATGACGGTTTTACGGTGCTTGCTGTATGCCCTGGTGTAGGTGTCCCAATCTGCCCTTGGTATGCGAATTGTATGCTAATAGTGCATGAACAGTGGGTTAAGACAGACATGGGAACTGAGGCGGGCCATTTGACTGCTGAGGAGAGCGTAATTGGGGGTCTCAACGTTATCTTTGGACATACTGCCGCAGATAGCGGCAAGTTCTTCGTCATCGATCTTCCTGGTAAGGAGGTCAATGGGGAGAAGATCTACGATGGTTCTGTTCGTCCATACTAGTGGCCGATTCAATGGTGCTGCTATGTGTAGGATGCATGACGTAGATCCTCTTTAGTCTACCAGTGTTAGGACACCTTGGGCGCGGAAGAGGGGACTAAGAGACTAACTGTGTATGATTGTGTAGGGTCATATATTATAGACATGGAGTGCATCCTACCGCAGCTTGTTCGAGGCTTTTCCTTGTTATAAAACATGTCTCATTATCTCACATTCTATTCTATCGTCCTATATAACTTTGGCGTAATTTATAGGATACAGGACACAAGGCAACTACATAGACGTGAGCAAGATAGAAGAGACGGCAAGGTAGTAATATCATCATCCATTGGAAATCTCAAGCTCTCAGACTAGCAAATGTATACCATTTGTCAAAACGTAGCTCTACACACGGACACACGTATACAAGTGTTATGCTTACATGGTTCACACTCTCGGCTCCGGAGAATCGGGTATCGCTGCACCAGATGATCATCAACGAAACTAACTATCTTGCCGTTTGGCAGATGGCAATAGAAAATGCTCTCAGGTCACCTCTCGTAGCCTCTTCAATATCCTCTTCGACTACGCGGCCATACTTCTCTTCGTACTCTGCCTTGACCCTGAAAAGATGCTGACGATCCCAGTGTAATCTCACAAGGCGAGAGATGAGTAATTCGACCCTTTGTTGACGTTCATGCTTGCTAGAAGTGGCTTCCCGTGATGACAGCCGGCTGTTGGAAGATCGGGAATCATTTACAGGTTCCATGAGATCCATGAGAGCGTGGTGTAGGAGCATTGCATCCCTTGCAGGACGATTAACTTGAGTGGGCAATTAGTACACGTGTGAGACGCAAATTTATGCGGGTAAAACTTACTGACGCCATTGAGGATATGTGCAATGACTTCACCAACCAGATTGTTGCTCTTCTTCAGAGCGTCTCTCGCAAAGTTGCCTTGGTATTTCTTCTCATAGGTCCTTAACACCTCGCGCAAGTGCGCGTCGCTTCGCATGATAACAATGCTGAGCATGGTGCTTTCTCCGCCTTCCCTAGCCCTGACCGCCCTGTATAGAGCGTCGACATCACGCATGCGATACTCGGGCGGCCACACATCGCTTTCCTCTTGCCGCTCACCTTCTAGTGCCATTAGCACAGCTTTTCGGAATTTGTCGGCTTTGAGCTCCTTATCCATGCATCGGGTCAGAGAGTCGCTGTAACGCTTGTCCTTGAATGCGTCCTTGATCTCGCGAATCTCGTAATTTTGACGGCCCATCAACGACTCGATGAGCAGCTCGCGACGCGCCGAGTTTGACTGATACCAGTAGTTCGCCCAGTACCCCTCCCCTTCATATTTTCCCAAGGCTGTCACGTAGGCGATCTTTCCGAAATTGCCAGACGTTTTGAGTTTGATATGCTTGGCGATGTTGATACCCCTGCCTTGTACTTTGCAGTGCCGTTTGTACTCAGCTCTCAATTCGAGCATCTGGTCATGCGATAGAGCCGGAAGGATATCGACTATAGCATCCACGTCGGGGGTTCGCGCAGCCAGAGCGTCAACAAGCGCTAGAGCGTCGTCTGTAGCGTCATACACTCTTGCTCTCCGCTCCTTCTTCTCGGGTAGTCGCTCACCGCGGCCATATGCCGCCAGTGCCAGCTTGTCATTATGCTTGGAAGACCTCGAAGGACTTGGCGATCGCCGCGAAGTGGAACGAGAACGGTGACGGCCGTGGATAGAATGGCCAGAAGCCCGAGGAGAGAGGGTGTCGAGGGCAGGCAGATGGTCAAGATCGTCGTCTAGCATCAGCGCCTGAGGCATGGGGCTGATGGATTGATAGGTTCCGTGGTAAGCTTCGAGCAGAGGACTCGGCGGTGGTAGTCCCGTTGGAAATCCTCCAGGCATACCTCCAGGGACGATAGTATGCAGGTCGGGTCGGTTTCCGCTCACCGACAGCCTGTCCATGCGCAGCCCATCAGGTCTGTCGCCTGCACCAAGGTGACCCTGTGGACGCAGCTCGACCACATTGCGACCATCGTGTGTGCTCATTGGACCCGAGTAAGAAGCAGCCCGGTGGTGATCGGGACGCTGCGCGTGGTGACCCATTGGCGGAGGTGGATAGCCGGACTGATCAGTTGGCGGCGGCTGAGGAGCCTGTGGCATGGTCGCATACTGGGACTGCGGCGGAGGAGCTTGTGACATGGGGGGATACTGGGGCGGGGGTGGAGGGGCGTGTGACATGGTCGTGTATTGGGGCTGCGGCGAAGGGGCTTGCGATGCAGCTGTGTATTGCAATTGAGCCGACGGAGGGTACGAGGGACTCATGGGCTGGGAGTTGTGTCGTACGTGTGGCGGCTGTCCGGCGCCGCCCACTGGCTTCGCCGTATACTGGAGGGTTGGATTGGCATACTGAGGGCCCCCGTTCGAAGTCGCTGTCGCCGCCGGTGTCCTCGTAGGCGCGTTATGTGAAGCTGGGGCTGCGGTGTAGGCAAAGTTGTGTGCGGTCGGCGCATACTGAACATTGCCAGGCTGGGCATAAGAGACGCCCGCCGACGGGCCTGCCGTGGGCGCGGGACGCGCAAAGGACGCGGGTTGAGAATAGCCAGGTCTCTCGTGCGGAGGGAGATCGGTGTAGTTCCCCATGGTAATGGGTTCGCTCGCTGGTCTGGCCGCCATGTCTCAGTTTAATCCGTGCGATGTCTGTCGCAACATTTGGCAGAGTCAATTCTCGCAGTACTCACGTCGCATATTGCTGACCCTGACCCGGCTGCCTAATCTCATACTGCGGGGTTGCAGCTCCGTTGTCAGCTGCACCGTATCGCTGAGGCTCGCGCCCATCATGGCTGCGTGAGCGCGAACGCTCTCGACCGCGCCCAGGCGACTTGGACCGCGAACGCCTGGAGCTGTCGTCTGGCCGTAAAGACATGGCTTTGTTCTTTTACTTTCGCAATTGACAAAGCAGATATCAATTCAGGGTGGTCGAGAGTTACGTGCTGCCCAGTTCAGTCCAGTCCAGTACACGCGAGGACCAAAATTGCGATGGCGGGTAACTGGCACACCATAGTCGCTTCTTTCAGCCTCGCTCATATTCAAGTTGGGGGCCGGAATCTGTGCTCAGGTCGCACTTCTCGCTAGAATTCGAAATCCGACACGCGTCCGAGCACATCGTGGAGCAGCTCCGTAGGTTCATGTTGTAGCATTATTGTGCAAACTGGTGTCGTTGGGTTTGATGTGTTGGAAGCGGGGAGCGAGGCTTGCTCCGATGCCAACACGCACATCGGCACTGCACTACAGCCATGATTCTTATCCCGCGTCACAGCGTCGGCCAAGTGCCAGGAAAAGGTGACGACCATCAGTCAGAGACTTATGTTGAGCCGCTCCAGTTCCGTAATGCGCCGATATCAACGTCGCCATCGGCGAAGACATAAACTGTGGGTCTCAACTCACCGCTTTAGCTACCCTCCACGGAAATTCTAAGCACTCCACACACTTTTTACAAGCCATGACTGGGGAATGCTAGGTACCTTAATGCTTAGGCTATCCGTCCTGTGAAAAGATTTCAGCTCGGGCTGAGGTGCTGAATCGGCGGAACGCCACGATGCATAGATAAACAAAGCATGACAGTAGCTTATGGGCCGTGACCGTCAGCTAACGCCTTGCCGCTTCACACTGTAGTTAAAGCTGAGGTGATACCACCTTCAAAGGTTGAGCTTTCTTAATATATACTTTGCTACAATCATGGCTATTACCATATCACCCCCTAGTAATCTTCAGCCACAATCGGCACTCCTCCAACTGCCTGCAGAAATCAAACACATCATCTTTGGACTTTGCTTCGTTGCTGAAGCTCCCATAATCGACCCCCAGATTTACAGCTCGAAAGATCAACAAGATGGCACGGCTCTTACAACACCAGGCGCTGCTCTGCTCCAAACATGTCGCAGAACCTATCACGAAATCGACCGCCGTCCACTGTTCGCGCAGAACACCTTTCGCTTCTCAAATCTTACTGGAATGCGCACCTTCCTCCATGCGCTCCCTCTCGACTACAGAACGCGTATTCAAGATATTGAGATTGACCTGCGCGAACTAAACTCGGATCGCCTTCATATTGCACGTGAGTGGCTACAGTACACTGCGCTGGCAAACAACGAAGCCATGGGTTCACTTCGTGCCGATGCAGTCGGCCTGCGGTGTTTACGAGTAAACCTAGAGGCATGGCCTATCAGTAGGTGTTTTCCTATAGGGATTTGTATGAGACTTACGCTGACTTCGTGATTCACCTTTCAGTACCTATGTTCAGAAGTGAGCTTTGGCAGTTCATTCGGAGCATGCTTTCAGGTCTCGAGAGCTTGGATAGAATTGTAGTGACTGGAGCTAGTAAAGGCAAAGCAATGGATCGGAAACTGCCATGGTCGCCTGTACATTTTGTTGGCGGGGACGACGTTGGAGCTCACGACTTGCTTGCTCGGATGAACAAGTGTGTCAGTGGTAACTCTAGCGACAACCTTGTCAGGTGGACAAGACAAGATGGGAAATTACAGCTAGAGGTACACTCAAAGTCGAGTCTACAAAGTAGCACTGCCGCGCGATGGGCACAGGCTTCTGGAATCGATGGTCGCACGGAGACCTGGCCACCAAACGGAGTCTGTTCGTTCTTTGCTTGCGAGAACCGCTACTCCTACCGAGAAGAGTCCGAAGATAAAGAGCTCAATCCCAATGCCGCCGGATGACGGGTCTTGCCGGATCCCATGGACCATGAATCTCATTCTTATACTTCTGGAGACCGATGAGCCACCAACTGCAGATTCCCATGCTCAAAAGAGTGAGGACGCCTCCTACGATTGCACCCGCCAAGAATGCGCCGCGGCCTCCTCCTGTCAAGGTGATGAAAAGGCCGCCCCATGCGCCTGTTACCAATGTAATGGTCAGGGCGAGGTGCCCCCACGGAGATCGAGCGCGGAGCTGACGACGGAATATTGGAAACAGTCCATAAACTTCAATGGAAAAGAGAGTCAGCGAGAAGACGTGCGTAGTGGATGGAAGACGCGAGGCAAGAACAGCCGACGCCATCATGGCCGAATTTGTGGATATCGAAGCTGGTAATCTAGAGACACATGACTTAGCCGCATGTATACTCAAAAGGAGAGTGGTCCTCATACTGTGCACCTGTACCTCCACTGTAGTCAAAGAAGGCAACGTTCATCAGCAGCAGCCATGTACTCAACGCCCATATTGAATCACTTGTCGTGGAGCGTGTCAGTGACTTGAGAATCGGACTGAGCCCAAGTAAAGCCGCATAAATCAACAGGGCTGATTTGGCAGTTGCTAGACGCTGTTGAGCTCGTCCTGAGAGCGCTGATGAGGGTTGTGGTCCAGCTTTGTCCGTATCTGAAGTGGGTGTCGATGCCACGTTGGAGACGGTCGCGAACTCCTGGCCCATCCAATGGTCCCATAAGAACCAGGCTAGAACTGTGCATAAAGTGGCCCACCCCACTATGGCTACAGGCGAAACTCTATCATGAATGATGGCCACGAAACAGCAGGCAAATATGATCACTGTTGCAAGATGCTGCACGATGACCGTGGCGTCACCCATCAGTGACCAAAATTCGTAGGGCTGCAATCTTGGATTGCGCTGAAGGTGGTCAAGAAAGGTGGTCTCATCTGTATAGTTATCGGGAACTGTACACGTCAGATATATCCTATCACAGGGACCTACGTGAGTACCTACAAGGCTGTTTGAACCAAAGTAGCTTCTTGTAATTGCCTTTTGCCGACCGGTTTACGATCCGCGGCCCGCCCTTCTTCTTCCTGCTAGTGGAAACAAGAGACGCGCCCGTTGGATCCAGTAGCCGGTTTTGATACATATTACGCTTTTTAAGGGTTCTAGGAAATATGGTTGATGATGGAGAGACAGTTCAGGTGCGAGTTGGAGAAACGGGACGCGATACTGCACGTGCGCCAATCACAGACGTTTCCGGTCCGGCCAATCACATTCTCCGCTTTCGTCTCATGCATCACGACTTTGGAGATCCTGCAAGCAGGGCAGTTCATTGGTACTGTTACAAGCATTAAAGGCATAAATCTCGCAAGTTGTATTAGCGATTAAGTGTTCTCCAAGCAACCATTATCCTCCTCGACTTGGGCACAGTAGCACGTCCAGCTTTGACTTTGAAGTTGGCCTGTCCTAAGACCCTTCCAATCTCCATGTAACTCTCAACCGCGACCCGGATAGGGCCTCTCGCCTCAATTGGCAAACGCTCAATCGCATCTTTGGCCTCTTCATATAGAGAAAATGCATCCTTCAGAAGACGCTTACGCAAGGCCTCGATTTGCGGGTGATCTGGCTTCTTTAATACCTCGTCGTAACTTAACCCCACTTCAGCAAGCCACTTCAGAGGAAGATAAACACGCCCAATCTTAGCGTCTACTTCTATGTCGCGCGCGATGTTGACATACTGTAGGGCCACGCCCATACCGTTACCAGCAGCAACTATAGTCCGTTGCTCTTCAACAGGTAAAGCGCTAGGATACCAGTTGAAGATGAGTTCAATGCACATTTGAGCTACAGTGCCCGCCACACGCTCCGAGTACAAACGCAAATCCTCCGTGGTTTTGATCAGAGGCTCCTTGTCGAAAGCAAGGTCCATCTCAAACCCGCGCAAAAGATCCTCCAACGGTTGGTGCGAGAGCTTAGCAGCTGGAAGCTGTAGGAGTGCAGATTGCGTGCCGGCCGGAAAGTCTTCCCGGACTTGGGCTTGTATAGTAGGCTTAGATGCAGAATCGCTGTAAGTATTATTCAGGAACTTGCGCAATTTCGCTATCCAGTCCTTGGCCTCATCGGCAGAGGAAGCATTGTCCACCAGATCATCAGCAACGCGGCAGAAGGAGTAGAGTAGCAACAAATCCGCCCGTAAAGGTCCAGGGAACGTTGCGGAGGCGAGGTAGAAACTACGGCTCTTTCGCTTGAGACGATGCACAGCCTCGCCAAGGCCTACAAGACGCGCATCGTCGTACTTGGAGCATGAAGTGAGCAAAGCGCGCATCAAGACCATGGGTGATGGGAGCAGGGAGGGCTTCGTGAATAACGCCGGAAAGGTGTATAGCACTGCAAGAGCATTGTCAAACGCCAATTGACCAAATACTATAAGCGAGTTGGTAACCAAGAAGAAGAGGGCTTCTTCAATTTCGAGGCCGTCCCATAAGTGCACGCCATATTTTGTACCTGTGTTGATTACCCATGTTCCTCTACGCAAGGCCAAGGTATCGACGATCCAGAGGTAAAGTGTCGGAAGGATGATGGGTGCCGCGGTATTGGTTAGAGGGAGCGCCAGGATGAATTGGTATGCAAGACTCCTGCTTCCAGTTAGTGGGTGTTCAAGGCATAGTGATAGTTGCCATACCAGAGCAGCAGCAGAAACGGGCCGGCCCATATCAAGATGAGTCCAGTGTAAGTTCCTTTGCTGTCATCTTTGATGCAACGCCATCCCCACGCAATCACGCCCAAAAAGAAGATTTGGCCAGCAAATTTGGTGTATCGCCATCGATGGCCGGATGCGCCGCGTTCAGGGCTGAGGTAGACGGGCTGAAAGGTAGGCCTGCTGAGGAGAAGATAGAGGATCGATGTGTTGTATGTCTGCACGACGAAGAAAAAGACCTCTTCTAGAGGGATATCCAGCAGCTTGGGTCCAACAATGACATGGGCGGGGTAGCTCCAGATTCCGGTGCGAATGAGGTACGAGTCCCATGGTATGGTCGACAGCACAGCGACCTGGTCTGTTAGCACGAGAAGTGTTGGCGAGGATGCGCGTACCAACCAATATCAGGTAAACGACCTTGTACACGTCAAGTTTGGTGAAGAAAGGGCGATAGAGCCAGGTAAGCCCCACGGCTGGGGGGATCGTGTACTTGAGATGACTAGCCGTTAATGTCAGCCATAGTGGTGGAACGCAGGAAGAGGGCGCGTCACGTACACGAGCGCGTAGTCGAAACCCATGATGGCACCGTGTAAACAGAAGGGAGTAGCCGGAGAGATGTGCAATCAGCGTCACTCATGGACCCAATGCTGCAGGGGAACAGACTAGGCCGCGGCGGGCGTCAGGCACAAGAGATAACGCGGAAGAGGCCATGATAGAATATTTGCAATGTCGTTGAGACGGCGTTGCTCGGGCGGAGATGGAGGATGCGCGCTGCCCAAAACAGACTAGTCTTCATGCAAGCTTCAACATGACATCACGATTGTCTGGCCGCCATCACGAGCAGACGTCAACCGGATACCCGTGGAACTGGGCAGCAGCCTTGTCTTTATTGCATCATGCCACCACTTCCTGACACAGTCCCGCTTTCGCCGCGGCGACATGTGAAGACAGATCAAACCCACTGTACTAATGAATTGCCTGCGCCGTTGTCCTGAGCCAACCCACACGCGTCTTTCAATGCCGCCAAGACAATAACACCGCCGTAATGTCCAAGACTGGACCGCACAGCAAGTCGACGACGCCAAAGCACCCGTAAGCATGCCCTCCTAGTTGACTCCCCAAAATCCACGCATCGCCCTGACTGATTCCTTGTAGATACCTCGCCGGCAACTTTGCGCCCATCACTACAACATGTCCTCCCACGCCCGTCTCATGGACCGGCCGAATCCCAGAAGAGCTGCTGGGCGGCATGTACGTCCGCAACGGCGGTAATCCCGTGACCAATTCCGACTTGGGACGTGAGGCGCATTGGTTCGACGGCGATGGCATGCTCTCGGGAGTATGGTTCAGCCGCTCTCTCACCGACCCTACGAAACCCATTGTCAACTTTGTGAACCAGTTCATTCTCACCGACGTGTACCGTACTGCCGTCGAAAACCCGACACTTCGCACGCCTATTCTGCCTAGCATTGCGACACTTGTTAATCCAGCATCCAGCTTGCTGCTCATTCTATGGCGCATCATGCGTACTGTTCTGCTTGTCTTCTGGACGCACATCTTAGGTTCTGCACGTGCTGTTAAGCGAATCAGCGTGGCCAACACCAGCATATTATATCACGATGGACGTGCACTAGCAACATGCGAGAGTGGGCCGCCAATGCGCATCGCGTTGCCAAGCCTCGAGACAGTAGGCTGGTTTGACGGAAATCGTGCCGAAGGAGAAGCTGCACCTGGCGACCGAGACTCCCATGCCGATGAAAAGCGTGAAGCATTTGGTGGAACTGGCTTGCTGAGCTGGATGAAGGAGTGGACAACGGGTCATCCCAAGGTTGACAGAGAGACCAACGAGATGGTTCTCTTCCATTGCAACTTTGTTGCACCCTATGTCCACTATTCTTGTCTCCCAGCTGAAAACTCGGTCGCGAAGAGAACTAGCTCGGAAGGAAGCAGAATCATTAATGCACCAGTCCCTGGATGCTCTGGCGGACGACTCATGCACGATTTTGGCGTATCCCGACATAACACTGTTATACTCGACTTGCCACTCTCTCTTACTCCTTTGAACCTGGCAAAGAATAAGCCCATAGTCTTCTACGAGCCTGAGAAACCCGCTAGGTTCGGTATCTTTCCCCGACATCATCCCGAGTCAGTACGTTGGTTCGAGACAGACGGTTGCTTGATCCTCCACACAGCCAACACTTGGGATGAGTACAACAGCGCCGGTGGTATCTCTGCTGTCAGCATGTTAGCCTGCCGGCTGACGTCTGCATCCTTGGTCTTTAGTGCTGGCAACATCGAGCCTCCCCCACATCCGAATCACAAGGAGATAGTGCGCAGTAAACCCATGTCCTTCTTCGCCAAGTACGATGACGAAGAACAGGTTCAAGATCCTGAGAAGCCTTTCCTAGACGACACGTCGCCTTTGCTGGGACAACACAATGAGCCAGAGTCATCAAGGGCGCCTCATAACATCCCCATCTCATACGACGACGAAGAACAATGTCGATTGTATTACTACCGGTTCTCACTCGCTCCGGGCTCGTCTAACACCATCACTCACGAGTTTGCATTAGCAGCCATTCCTTTCGAATTTCCCACCATACATCCTGCCACGGAAATGTCGCGCGCACGATACATTTATGGATGTAGCACTTCAGATGAATCGTTTGGTGCGGCATTAGGCAAGGCGACCAAAATCGATATACTTGTTAGGGTAGATGTACAGACTCTACTCAGACGCGCTCAGCAATCACCTCCACAGGCTGTCAACGGTTGTGTTGACAACCGCTCAATTGATGAGATACTCGCGTCAAACGACCACAACGATCCCATAAAAGCATTCCAACTTCCGCCGAATCACTTTGGCCAAGAAGCTAGATTCGTGCCTCGTAAGATGAAGGAGGCTGAAGCTGATGATGGCGCTGGCGCCACCGAACAAGAAGGTTATTTACTCTTCTATGTCTTCAACGAAGACCAGCTAGACGAAAACGGAGAATGCAAAGCAGATGCAGAGAGCGAGTTGTGGGTTTTGGATGCAAGCGACATGCAGACTGTCATTTGCAAGATTCAACTTGGGACTAGGATACCTTACGGCCTACACGGAAACTGGTTCACTGAGGAAGATATCGCTCATCAGCGAGAAGTCGCGACAGTGAGATCCGAGTCGGATGTGCAGTCCGAGACGGGATCGAGCAATTTGCGGAAATCTCTCATTAGTTATTTGGGCTAGCAGCGCCTGTGTGTTTGAACCACATGTCTAATAAACCGGTTGGACTCGCGACTTGAACGCTATCATCATTTTACGTACTCTACGAAGTCTTTTTAGCAAGATTTAATTAATATTCAAAGCATTCAAACAAGACTTGTCACACATGCGGTGCGTTGTTTTGATGGAGTGAGGCACAACCCTAGCAACGCTGTAGAATCTAGATTCGCCCCGCTTTGACGAAAGCTTGTATGTGCCGATCCTTGCCGTAGCGGTCGATCCTGCAGCAAGCATATCTAACGCCCTCCATCGCACTGACGTAAAAAAACACCGACTGGATCGATGCCTGCCTGGGCAGTAAGTGCACAAGAAGATCACACCACCATGCGATGCGGTAATGATCAACTGTCCCGCAATCGTTCCCGTTATGCGGCACATTTGAAAACTATGCTTACGCGTTCCCATGTCGAAATACATGTGTCAACACCAGCAGACCTCAACAGACCGTAAAATCGAGGCCAGCCTAACAGTAGCGGACATGCGATTGACGCAAGTCGATGTCAAAGTAAGCTTAACAGATCGACGTCATAAAGCTTAATCCTAGTGGCCCTCCACTCATGAGGTGGGACGGAAAGCCCGGGCGCTATGCTCAGAATCTCTAGCGTCGGTAATGAGCATAGTGTGACATCTCTATTACACCGAGAAGCTGCAAGTGGTCAGTGATCTCAGCCATTGAGGAATCAGAAACCGGCAATGCTAAACTGTAGCGCATGGTTCTGACTGGTCGTTACTTGTTTGTCCAGCGATCGTGGCCCTTGCTCGATTCGAGGTTTCGAACATGTGCATGATCAAGCTCTATTCCCGCGCGCGAGATATGTCGTCATGACGGCATGTTTGGATCTCGTGGGCTGGCTTCCAAGATATAACCCAGAGCTTGCAGCCACATGGCTGCGATAAGCTTCTCTTGGTACATCTCCATCCTGTGCTATCAATTTTGCAATTGACAACCTTCTTCGCAATGGATCTCGCTCGTAGAAACAACGTGCTCCAATATAATGGTATATCTCCCTCCCTGGGTGATTTGATGTGTTTTGGACATCCTCCTAACATGTAATAGACAACACCGTCAACGGTGCAACGGCAGACATTGCCATCACAACACATGGATCCGACTTCTACTTCGCTATTTGCGCTGCGATGGGATTCTCCGGATTTGTTTTCCTAGGTCTCGCCTACCGCAAGCAGCGTCGCGACCGTCTTTTCCACTACATCACCGCATCTGTAGTCTTCGTCGCATGCATCGCCTACTGTAAGTCTCCAAGCCTCACACTATAAACACGCGAGCCATATACTGATAAGGTTCCTTACAGTCACAATGGGATCCAACCTGGGCTTTACACCAATCGCAGTCGAGTTCCACCGCAGCGACCCCAAGGTAGCAGGAAACTACCGTTCGATCTACTATGCTCGTTACATCGACTGGTTCATCACTACGCCTCTGCTGCTCCTCGACTTGCTTTTGACTGCTGGCATGCCATGGCCGACTATACTTTGGGTCATCATGGTTGATGAGATTATGGTTATCACTGGTCTGATCGGTGCCCTTATCGACAACCGTTACAAGTGGGCCTACTTCGCTTTTGGTAAGCATTCTCTTTTTTTCTCACTTTGTCTCCGAGTATCCTGCTAGATCTTTTCTAACAATACGTAGGCTGCTTTGCTCTTTTCTACATCGTCTACCAACTAGTCTGGGAGTCGCGCATCCACGCCAAGGCATTCGGCCGCGATGTTGAGAAGGCGTTCATGATGTGCGGAAGTATGACCGCTCTGCTTTGGATCCTGTACCCAATCGCATGGGGAGTCGCCGAGGGCGGGTAAGTCACACTCAGATCCGAATGTTATATAACCATACAGTGGCTAACATCAGAATAGTAACGTCATTGCCCCTGACAGTGAAGCTGTTTTCTACGGTGTACTTGACTTCCTAGCCAAGCCATGCTTCGGTGCCCTCCTCCTGTGGGGCCACAAGGACATCGACCCGGCCCGTCTCGGCCTCTCTATCAAGGACTACGATGGTGATGCCATGGTTCACGAGAAGCGCAAGCCTGATGCCGTGAACAACGGACAGACCGCTACCCACCCCGATGGCTACAACGGCACTGCTCCTCATGTCGACAACACTGTTTAGACCGAGGTTTGAGTTTTGCTTAAAAGATGATCTCTCATGAACGGGGAAGATGTACCGCAGGTACGGTGAAAGTTGTAATGTGGTAATGATAGTTTATTGGGTGTGGCGCAGATTGTGATTACGATTAAGCGTGGGATACCCTCTCTGATAGTAGCATAATAAATCCTTCCTCTTTTTCATCATCATGTTTGAACAATGATGGAAACACATCTAATATTCGCCGTCTACGTTCCTTTGACAATAGCCGTCTACAATCATGATCCATGCTAGGCTGACGATAAAAAGTGGGTATTGAACTATGTAGATACAGTTAAGGTGGTATGATGCATTAAAAGCCCATACCTCAGCAAACTGTGCACCAGCACATTACCAATCGCCCATCAACCCGTTGCCAGCCTTTTGATTTTGATAGTACAAAGCACCAGGTACAGTCGTAAACACGAGGAAGATGCTCAACAGTATCCAAACGAGCCAACTGAGATATGGTCCGTTTTGTGTCCGATCCAGAGGACCTGGCGACGCCTTGGTTTCTTTGGTGCCTAGTGGGCGCCACGGAATGCGACTCTCTTGCTGCCGGTCGTAGAGTATTTGTTCAGTAACCAGTTTGGCACCAGCGAGCACAATAGGAACTCCAGTACCTGGGTGAGTGCTTGCACCGACAAAGTACAGATCTTCGATGCTGCGATGCTTGGTCTTCGGCCTGAAACTGAGCACGTTAAAGAAGGAGTGGCTCAGTCCCAAGATAGCGCCACGGTCGAGGTTGAATGAGGACTTCCATGTAGGCGGCGTATTGATGGTTTCTTCAATGATGTGGGGACCAAGTGAAATGTTGAGTCGTGCTTCCATGGTTTTGATGACAGTTTCGCGCGCTGATGCTACCATAGAGTCCCAATCTTGAGTCAGGCCTTTCGTGTGCTTGGAGCCCTTGTGCGAGTTCGTCGAATCGACTTCCAAGTGCCCAACCGGTACCAAGATGACGATAGAATCACACCCCTCTGGCGCCGCAGAAGGGTCGACGCGGGACGGGACATTGACGTAAAAGCTGGGTTGATCTGGTATCAGGTGCTTCTTGAAGATGCTATCAAAACTTTCCTTGTAGTCTTCGGCGAGAAAGATGTTGTGGGCGCTTAGTTCAGGAAATTGTCGGTCCAGTGCCCAGTAGAAGGATATGCTGGAGCAAGAAGCCTCTTTTTTCAAGAGGGATCGCCCGAATGAGGAAGAGGGAAGAAGTTGATTGTATGCATATGCCAGATCTGCGTTGCAAACAACAACATCGGCGGTTAGCGGTTCCTTGGTGTTGTCCTCAAAGACAACGCCTGTGGCACGCTTCCCATCATCTGAAAGCTGTATGTTGCGGATCGGACTATCGAACCTAAACTCAACGCCCAAGCGCTCACCGACGTTGACAAGAGATTCCACCACCTGATCAGGTTAGCGAGAGAAGTTCCCACGTTGGAATATACTGACTTTGTGGAACCCGCCAATGGGATACCAAATACCCTCAGCCAACTCCGTGTATTGCAACAGACTGTAGGTTCCCGGGGCATCAAATGGACTCATACCCATATACATGCTTGCAAATGTGAAGACTCTTCGCAACCTCTCTGTCCAGAAGTACTTGCTCGCTCGGTAGTAGATACTCTCGAACGGATGTAGCTCGAAGAGATGCAACAAGAAATCGAAGCGAACCATGCTCAGTAACGAGTAGAAATTCTTCTTCAGCACATGGATGATGGAAACTTCATAGTGGCGATGCGATTCTTGCAGGAAACCAAGGTATCGCTCGAAGCCGTCTTTTCCTTCAAAACGCTCGATTTCACCCTTCATGATGGAGATGTCGGTTGAGAGCTTGAACGTAGTGTCATCGTGGAAATGAACGTTGTAATTCGGTTCACACTTGACCAGCTTGACGCCCTCGGCATCGAGTGAGGTCCCAAGATCCTCGAATGTCTCATGGAAGAATCGAGGAAGCAGCAACAAGCTCGGGCCTTGATCGAACCTCTGCGTAGCGATTAGCGATGGGGTGCGATGCACCGCACACTTGTCAACTCACATATCCGTTGCGATGTATCAAACTGCATCTCCCGCCAGAGAAGTCGTTCTTCTCGACTACAGTAACCTTGTAGCCTGATGCTGCAAGTCGCGCTGCAGTCGCGACACCTCCGGCACCAGCACCGACAACGATCGCACTAGGGCGCGTGCCCTTGTTCTCGATATGGTCCCCCATTTGGTAGACTGGTAAATGTATGAGAAGCGGCACAATTGCGATGAGCGTTGTAAAGAAGACGCGTTGTAGCGCGCCACACTCGGGTATTCCTGGATCAGTGCACCCAAGACTGCTAGTCATGACGTCTACAAAAATCAATAGGGCTAGGTGCACCTTGAACACTTGTTGAGTCGCATCGGCACATGTGTTTCGCACGTGAACGCGTCTTGCTGTTCGAACATCAACATGTGCATTGTTCCAGGTGCTCCTCCGCCCCTGCATACGATGTTGTAGCTGTCAAGCCACGCGGGTGTAGCTTGACACATCAGATATTGCGACTCGCGCCAACACTACAGTAGAGCGGAAGGCGGCGGAATATGGATCTGCCCCAAGACTTGGCACCATTAGAAACAATCAACTACTCAACCATCCAGTGGTGTGATATTGAGCGTTATCCAGTTCATGATGATCGTCAACGTTTTAACAAGTGCCCGCGATCGCCGAGCCCACTAGCGTCATTTTTCACTGAACGGATCATGCGGGAACGATGATTGGCATATTACAAAAATGGTATTATATCATCGCGACACTAAGCGTCGTCTTAATTATACAAAGTAAGAATGTCAGTAGAGTTTGAGTACTCCGGTTGGCACTCCTCAGTATATCCGCCAAAAAGTGCGGCTCTTTCTTGAATGAAATCCTGGAACGCGCTCTTGGAACAGCTCTCTCCTGGGCCGTCAGCACAAGACAGCGGTTGTGGATCCTTGTTAACCAGAACTCGGAAATACTCGTCGGCAGAGAATCCGTAGCTGTCGCAAGTCATCTTCTCAATGGCAATGTTGGACAAGAAAGGTAGAATTCTTGATGACCTCCATGCTCTCGAGTGGTTGGGCCTGTCGAGCGGCATCGTGGCGTTAGGGTCGTTCGATCCGGAATAGGCAGAATTGTTGTACAGGCCCATAGCGACTACGACGGTAGGAGGCAACTCGCGATGCGTGAAGGAGACGTAGAGATCCTGGTCGGCCTCGTCGGAGAGCATTTCGACGGCGGAAGCGTTGAGCCAAGGAAGGCCAAGGGCGCCCGACAGCTGCGTGCTTCCATAACCGGTGTTGTAAAAATACATGATATCATTCATGTACTCGAAGGAGAGCCACTCGTCCTGGGAGAAGAGGTCGAGAGAACAGAATGGGGAAGAGCCACGGATGACAGTCTCGTATCCGCACAGCTGCTGCATGCCCACAACATCATCGGCGGTGAAGTTGAAGGCAGGGGCATACGCATTCAGACGATCGACGATGGGCTTGGTGTACGTTTCTTGGTATTGCTACAGGAGTGTTAGTCGTGGTCATCTTCTGTCACTCGGGATACGTACAGATGACTGGTCACTACCGTAGGAAGAGCTGTACTTGGGGCAACCCTTGTAGGGTGTCAGAGAATCCGCGCCCCGAGCAGCATCTTCGCGCATGGAAACGCGTTTGGTGTTGTTGCTCTCAGCCACGAGGCCGTCAATGAATGAAGATGCACTGAGCTCGGTCCTCTCAGCAGTTGATGTCCATACACGCTCAGGGTCCTTGAAGGTGGGATAGCGCAGACGGACGTCGACACCCAGCTTGTAGGATTCAAGCCTGCCGACGGAAGTGAGGTCTTCTAGCTCTTCATCGCTTATGGGTGTCTCCCACTTAGAAAGGAAGGATAGGGGTCCAGCACTTCGCCAGTTCACTGTCGTGTTCTTCAGCTTGTCTGTGAAGGGCTCAATGTATTCCTCAAAATCAAAGTCATTGGCGTAGATGGCGGCATGACGGATGAGGTACGAAGCGCGCGTCACGTTGCAACCCTGAGGTGGCTTCGGGTCAAGGCGCGGATCTTCGAAGTAAGGGGCAATGCCGGCAAGATGCTGCAAGGGGTCGAATGAATAGGCCGCCTGTGCGGTGGCCGCATTAGCAACTGCGAGGAGAGACACGAGAGCCGACTGCATGGTGGACGATGAAGGCTAGATCGCAAGCCGTACCTGAGAAAGTAGGGAGACATCATCGGCTTTAAAAGACTGCGCGAAGCAACAAACGATGTCATTGTCCGGATTGAGCCTGCCGTACGCTGTGGGGACAGCCCAAAGCAGGATGCGCTCGACGGCTATGGAATGATATGACGATGTTTGCCAGGTACCAAGCAAGGAAGCGAGCTAAGCTTTGACTACACCAGCCACGTCAGCCACCATTCAGAGCCGCCTCACCGTCTCCACACATGCACGCTGACGCACCTAGGCTTTCCGGCTCCGCAATGCATTCAAACAAACAAAAAAATATTCATTCATGGGTATTCGGCAACAAACTCAATCCTGGCATTATACCGCCTCCATCACACTACGTTTGCGCGTCTCTGCAGCGTCTGCACTTTGAGCTCCAACACTTGGCACTCGTTCTCCTTGCGGTGTAGATCTCTCATGAGTCCCTCCTTTTCTGACCGGAGAGCCTGCAGCTTGCCTCCGATGCTCTCACGGTAGCTTGAATGTTCCTCCAGTAGCGCTTCAATCCGGTACCAGTCCATCTGCCCGCTTCCCGCAGAAGCACCCTGGCCCCTTAGACGCGAGATCTCAGCATCCTTGGCCTTGATCTTTGATTCCAGATCGGCAACTGTCCCTTTCCATGCCTGGTGAGCTGTTGCCCGGTTCAGGTCATCGATGCTACCACCTCCCGACGTTGCCAACTGCGCGACAAGGTCCGAGTTTCTCTTTTCTAGTTCGAGAGCTCGTTGCTCAAGAGCTGCCACCTTGGCCGCAGTGAATAGATCTGTTGTATCGCGCCGTTCGAGAAAACTGCCTGGACGCCCTCGGCTCGGGCTGCTACGTCCGGTCTGTGCATGCAGTCGCTCCACTTCTCTGGTCTTTTCCGCAAGCTTGCTCCGTACAATCTGTACGTTTAGAAGATCTTCATCGCGTAATGCTTTGGTCGCGTCTAGTTCGCGTCGACAGCTAGCTAACAATCCCTGCACCATATTAGCACACGACCTTCGCCAACTCATTGTCTCTTGCACTTACGCGAATCTTGATGTTGTTCTCCACGTCTTCGTCTCGAAGGCTCCAGATGGCCTCGTGTCGCTTCCACCACAGCTTCTTTTCCTCTTCCAGCGCTTTCAAACGCGCCATCGTCTGCTCATATTCCTCAGGCTTGACCGTTATGATAGGGTTCGCTTGTTCGATATAGACAAGCTTGGACATCAAGGCAGCAAGCTGCGACTCTAGAGGGCCGGGAATGTGCGGTGCGGGTGCTGGAGATGCCGGTTCCTGTCCTGTGAGGCTCATTTTGATGGCAGAATGCGCCAATGACTTTTTCAGTGGATACGGGACATCCTCTTCGTTGCCATCCAGCGTAGAGGACCGCGAAGTCGCATCGTCGTCCACTGGTCGCTCAACAAAAGTTCTCTGGTCTTGATATTGCGGTCTGTTTGTGGGGGCAGCATAGCTAACGTCGTTTCCTACTTTTTGAGGGACCAGGTTCGCTGTGGAGTTAGGTTGCTGTCGTTGCATTTGCGACATAGCTGACATTGAGGTGTTTTGTGGACCTCGGGTGTACGGCTGTTCGTCTTCTGAACCTAGGTCAGAGTAGTTGTCCGATTCATAGCTCCTCGATTGTCTCTGCATCTGAGGCGAACTCATCGATACGGGGCGGCTCCCTGATTGTAAAGATACGATCGAATGGACTGATGAAGTGCGTTTAGCACCTGGGTGTACGCGGTTCGGTGCCCACATCCTGTGCTGGCTCTGTGGTCGGGATAGTGCTATTGGGAAGCGTCTGCGTATATGACGAGACCAGGGGGACGGAACGAAGAAGCTGGGTTCAGCTTGGTTTGTTCGGATTCAGAATGAATTTGATGGCCTTTGAAAAGTTGAGGTTCGAGTCTACCTCTATGTAGTCTACCATGGCCATGCTTTGAAACGATGCTGAGACGTAGGGGTCAGAACACAGATATCTGCGACACAGACATATGAACGACAGCCGTATCAGGCTAAAATTGCTGTTCAGCCTTGAATTGCAAGAGTCCGACATATCGTGCCTGCACTTGGTACAACAAGTCAAGTCCGTACGTCGAAAAGGCCCCACTTCAAGCCCTATCTCTCGCTGGTGTAACATCAAGTACTGCGCGAGTCATGTTACGGTTTTCCAACAGTTCAAACTAGAAGGAGTGGGGCGCTACGGATGCTGGTCTGAAACACTTGGAGCCGCGATCTTGTATCAACACTACCCGTTATCACATTGTGTCTAACTCGTATCCACGCCCTCTTGCAATGGATGCCTCAGCCAAGCTGCAGGCACACAATTGTGATGAGATTACGGACTTGTGCGTGCACAATGTCAAGCAGACCATTCTCGATATTTAATATGACTATACTACGCCGTGATCTGAACCGAGACATACTGTCTTATCACATATCGTAGCGGTCTGTACTATGCTTTACGGGCGTGTATAGAAAGTAATCAAATGACGCTACCTTTTCTGTGCCATTGATATCAGATGCTGCCATGCCCACAAATGCGCCAGTAAAGCTCCCGTGTCTGTTTTCGCAAAGTCAGCATACGCATGTAGTGTGGCTAGAGGGGACAATGAACTAACGCTTGATGACCGCCACACTCATCACTCAAGATCGAAGCATCGTAGACAGGTCCAATGTCTGTCAGGTCCGCCTGTCCCTCCAGAGCGTAGCGAAATTGGAGCTCTTTACCCCGAATGCTCAGCGCCAATCTAACTTTGCCCTCTTGCGGCAGCGGCACCGGATCTGCGAGGGGGAGTTTCAGATTTCCATCCGGCCATGAAGCTTCCGAGCTTAAGATGAGGAGTTCGCGCTGACCGTCAGAGTCGGCAGTAACGGTCAGGTAAAAGAAGTTGAATCGACAATAGTAAGCAGTCAGGCCTGCATAAGTGCGTTCGTCGTCTGGACTGAAGCTAACGACTGTTTCGGCGTCGTACGAGAAATGCGTTTGGCGACGTGCAACAAGAGCTTGCTCAAACCAGGATCCGATCGCCTCGCGTCCAACGAGGTGCAGACCATTTTTAGTACTAAAGATACGTTCTGGTTCTGGTGTACGGAGCCATTGGAAATCCTTGTGGATACCGTCGCTGCTGTCGAAAAGGTAGCGCTGCTCAGACCAATAGGAGCTGTCGTCGCGCTGTGCTGGCAGTTCGACATGGAGAGACGGAACAGGTCCATTCTTGACATACAGCCAGTCATCCTTGTCCCAGTAAGCCTCTTGAATCGCTGTCTCGCGTCCAAGAACGCAGCGGCGGGCCTGGGTAGTTGGGCGACCGGTCAAATGAACGAGGTATGTCTTGCCTTCTGGGGTGTCGACTATATCTCCATGACCAGCTCTTTGCAGAGATGCCAGTGGTGCGTCTTTGGAAGTAAGTATGTACTTTTGAGGATGAAGTTCGTATGGGCCCCAGATATCCCGGGATCGCGCCAAAGTGCAGGCGTGCTCGTATGCTGTGCCACCTTCAGCAGTCAACAAGTAGTACCATCCGTTCCGCTTGTGTAGATGTGGGCCTTCTACAAGAGCCAGATCAGTACCGGGGAAGATGGTCTTGCACGGGCCGACAAGCTTTTTCGCTTCAGCATCGTATTGCTGTAGCCTGATGCCCTGAATAGAGATACACGAGGTCAGCGTCTGTCATATCGATTGACCATGATAATTATATACTAACAGCGAAGAACCGCGGACGCCTTCGATGGTCTTGTAGCATGTTCACGAACCATTTCGTGCCATCGTCATCGTGAAATAGGGACGGGTCAAATCCTGAGGAGTTGATGTAAACAGGGTCAGACCACGGACCCTCGATGCGATCAGCAGTGACAATGTAATTGGGCGTATCTTTGAATGAGCCATCTTTGCGTTTTACGTCGGTATACACCAGCCAAAACTTGTCACCGTCATGTGTAAGACAAGGCGCCCACACCCCTTGAAGATTCGTTACAACAATGCGCAATTACAGTCAATCTTGATCGAGTACGTACCGCAACTATCGGGATCACCGCGCATGTCCAGTTGGCTTTTCCTATTCAAAGGGCGGCATAGGAGCTCCCAGTTGGCGAGATCTGTCGAGTGATGGATCTGTACTCCTGGATACCACTCGAACGTGGACGTTGCAATATAATACTAGTTTGACGTTGTCAGTTGATGTCACATGGTAGTCTCGATATACAAAGTTGGATTGTTCTTTAATCGTATCAGAATAGCCCATACCATGACTCTCATGGCACCGTGGCTATAAAACGGAACAAAATGTAAAGACTGTAAAACTCACTATGTCGTCCAATTAGCTTACACTACCCAAGCAGAACATTGCGATGTCTTACCGTCATTGCCAACACGTAGAACGGAGGGATCCGCGTTGAAGCCTGGAAGAATAGGATTACGAACCAACGGCATGATGGCTACAGACTTTTCTTTCTCAGTTTTAGGTTGCGACACTCTTTGCACGATTGATCAGCTATATATGCGGCTTTTGAACGACAAGAGATGTAGGCGATTGCCCGCAACGAATTAGCCGGCTGCGAACCGCCTCTTTTGCCGGCGCCTACTTGGCCACAGTGTTCTCTCAACCCCGCGCCTGAGCCGACATGCAACGTCACGCAGAAGGAAGCATAAAACTGGAGCTGGTGATCGCATGCTTATAGCTATGTCTTAAAGCATGTTGTTACGAGGGGTGCAAAAGAACGTAAAACGACCAAGAGCGAACCGGTTCAGTTTTCAATTGTAAGTGAACGAAGTCAAAGCATAATGATACATCACCAACAGCCATCAGGCAGTTCAATACTAGTCAGAGTATTTGCAATGATCGTACCAATTCCAAATGGGGAAATGCCACGCTACAAGCTGCCTAGTGACCCACATGCGGCTCACTTGACACAATTTAGCAAGCATTTCTACCTCGTGCAGTAGATACCAGAATCGGGCTTTTATAGTCCCGTTCACATAAGCGGTAATCCTTGCAACGCTCCCATGCTTGCCACAAATTGAACCGCTCGGTGTTCAATTAAGTTCTCTAGTCTTGGTTTTCTGACACACCTTCGTTACCTACTTCTCGTCTTTCTGAGTCTTGATTGTTGGCAGAATCGTGACTTGTTGTCTGGTCGGCATTTGCAGAAGCGACGACACCTGCAGGAGGGACGAAAGTATCGCCTTCGTCCGTATCTAGCTGCATCAGGAAAGTTTCCCAGATCTCGATGAGCTAACACGCAAGTTAGTAAGCCATAGGGTTTGATGCGATAGATGAACTTGCCTCTTTTTGTGCTTCTACAGCACTTTCCAGGAACGTTTCGACGCCTGACTTGAAGTCTTCGACCTTCTCCCTCTCAAAACGTTCTAGTTCGCTACGCATCAGCCGACCCATGTCATCGAAGAGCAACCTTGCTTGATGAACTTTTCGCTCAGCGTCTGCAACATCGGCGCTGAGTTGGTTCAGACGATCTTGCTGCGATCTGCCTTGCCTCAAAAGCTTGTCCTGATTCGTTTTCCGCTTCTGTAACTCCTGCTCAGCAGAATGCCAGGAATGATAGGCCTTCTGTCGCTGCTGGAACGCGGTCTTTACGGAACCTATCAAACGAATGTACTCGTCTATTACGATGCCCATGGTGAGTATGTCTTGCTGGGCCTGACGCTCGTAAAGCTCACGAATGCGAATCTGAATGTCGGACAGACTATCAAGCGGCGCGGACAAAGATGGCGATAACTCAACAGCGGATAGAGAATGTAGAGAAGCCGAGAAGTCTCCACAAGCCTCGGCTAGACCTTTCCGTTGTGTGACTACAGCATCTGTAGCTTTGAGAAGAGCCTTTAGCTGCGCTTCAAGAGCATCGAGATAGATTCGACGGTCATGGAACCACTGCAACACCGTTAGCGAATTGATCTGTTACAGAAACTAATATACGTACGTCATCGTGTTCCACGAATTTACCACTGCTACCAGAGAGCATGGAGCCAAACATGCCTTTGCTCTCAGTGAGACCGGGGTCTTTGCGCTCCTTGTTCTTGATGTCCATGCTGAAGGCTTCGCTTTCAAGGAACAGCTTCAAGTCACTGTCATGTTGCAACACTGGATGAGCAGCGGCCTTGTTAAGCATGCGCTCCAGAGCAGAGCGTCGTGACTCGACAAAATCAGCTTCAAAGCGACCAACAGCCTGCTTCTCTGGCGGCGGAGGAATAATAACTCCGGGGTTGTTGTTGTGCAGTTGTGTGTATAACCAGAGGAAATCACGGTAACGGCGCGAGACGGTGAATTCGGGTTTGCGGTAGCCCTTGGAAGTCGTCTTGGTAGTGACGGCGTATTCTGTGTGCGAGCTCGTGAGGTCACCGACTTTGTGAGGGTCGCCTACAGAGATGGCAAAGGACGGCTTAGCGGCCTGCTCAACGCTGACGCTCGGCTGTGTCTGGCGCTGAGGTGCGGTGGAAGACGGCGCCTGGACTGGAGGCGGTATTCTGGCTTGAGAGGAGGGCTGCTGCTCGTCGTTGTCGTCATCGAGGTCGACGGAATCCATCATGCCGCGTAGCGAAGGCGTAGAGGCGCCGCCCGGCGCGGGACGAGTGTTGCGCGACGCAGCGGCTTCTTTCTGAGGCGGCGCTGGAGGGGCAATCTCGGTGCCTGTCGTCGGCGAGGGAGCGCCTAGAGGGCCCAGGGGATCATCGACAGCCTCGAGTTTGGTGGACTGCAGGCCATACTGCCGCCGTCGGGGACCGCGTCCAGCGGGTGAGCGCGGAGCAGAGGCAGCAGTAGGGGCCGGGTCTGCAGACGGCTTGGTGGAGGGCGCGGGAGAGTCGGTGTCGAGCGTGTCGTTCTGCTCTACCTTGGACGCACTCGGCGCAGGGCTCGACCGTGAGGGCACATCTGGAAGCCTGTCAGCTTTGCGCAGTATCGTCGACAAGACAGTAGACACGCACCTCCCCACGGGGAGCTCTCTTCATCTCCAAGGTCCATTGGCGCAATGCTTGGTTGTGTGCGGGGGTGGGTCGAGTTGAAGTCGCGGGTGTAGTAGTAGGAAGCCGCATGCTCATGGCAGCTATGCATTGGCGCTGGGTTGGCTATGACATACAGGGTCCACTAGTCGCGAGACGCCCATTCCTTCACAACATCAACTACAATTACAGACCAGCACTACCCAGGCTCACTTTCCCATGTTCGCAGGTATAGCACACTTTGCCGTCTTCAGATTCCAGCCTCATCAAACCCCTCGTCTGACCCAGTCGCTTCCCAAGATGCTCGACCCAGCTCTCAACGAAGACTTTGGTACCTTCAGCCGCTGGCCTCAGGTAGGTCGTGTTCACTTCAAATGCGTCAATCAAGTCATCGGCACGCCGACACTATCTACAAGGTTGCACTTACTGCCAAAGCATTAGCAATCATGTCTCAAGTCTTCTTGCAGAATCACCATACCGGGTACGTGAGACATGCCCACTATCCCAGAATCCGTCGCGCATACACGGCGTAATGGCCATTGACGTCGTAATGTCAAAGATCAAGGCCACGGCGCCGCCATGAAGCATGCCAGTCGAGTTGCACAACTGTCTGGGCACAGTGAAGCTTATAACATTGCGCGAGTTGTGAGGATTGCTGCTGGTTGGCGCAAACGTCACTGATTCGAGCTTGAGGATTCGCCCAAGGATAGCATCGTGGCCCTATGCAAAATATCAGAGCCGCATCATCGGTTTTGAAAGACAACCTGCATCGTAGTCGCTGGAGCTGATTGCGTCGAACTAATGCTTCGTGTTAGTCTGGGTGTTACTGCAAAGTATCCACGGCGGTCACCAACCCAGTGTTGGACTTTTTGAAACGGTGACAGGTCATCATCGCCTCCGCTCTCTGCAATCTTCGCGCTGTGCTTCCGTGCAAGACTGCCCATCTTCGAGTCTTGTCAATGTAGAGGATCATTCATTGTACGGATCAAGCAAGTATGCGCGATGCATTAGGACCTCGGCATCTCCAGCAGCGCTAACTTGTTTGAGCCACTGTATCAGAAATCAGAAAATATCCCCGGAGAGCAATAAGACCAAAAGTTCCATCCCACGCGCCTCAAGCCCGCCTGTTGAAGCAACGTCTAATCATGGACTCGTCCAGTCTCTTCCGTCAGCTACTACGCATGCCGGTAGTACATCGCACTGCTCTAATCGCGCCTACGCGTCCACATGCGCGCGCTTTCGCCATGCTCGCACCCCCGCTGCCGCATTCACGCTTCATGTCTATCCCCCGCATCATCCAGCCGAGCTTCTGGGCCTCCATGATACCCAAGCCACTCAAGACCCGCTCCGAGCAACCTAGGCGCAAAGAGTGGAACCCCGCTACCCCATACATCATTCTTGGACTGCTCGTCGGCAGCCAGGCCATTCAGATACTATGGTTGAAGCAGGAGAGAACACACAACCTTCGCAGAGCCGAGGCTAAGATTGGTGTATTGAGAGAAGTTATTGAGCGTGTACAACGAGGCGAAGACGTCTCGGTTGAAGCAGCTTTGGGGACGGGCGACGCAGCAGATGAGAGAGAATGGGCGGAGGGTAAGTCTGCACTCTGAGACACGAATACTAAAGATGTGTTGAAAGCTGACATGTCTTAGTTCTCAAAGATATCCAGAACGAGGAGGCTCTCTTCCAGAGTAAAAAGAAGAGAAAGGCCCTGAGAGATGCTGCTATGCAAGATGTCGCCAATACGCCGGACAAGGACCAACAGGAAACAGCAAAGCGTAACTTCACTAAACAACAGGTGGAGAGCGTGGGCGGAGTCAAGTTTTACTGAACTTGGAGATAGTAGGTGACATGACAGTTGACATTGAACTGGTATAAAAGCTTCATACTTGCGCGGGCCAGCCGCCAAAGCGAAAAAGCACAAAGCTCTAAAAGGAATGAGTATCGAACAGCAGTGAAGATCTGGCATCCAGCCAAGGCCAGTCTCTCGTTCCCAACCCGTCATCATTCGCCTCCATCATCAAGAACACTCATGCCTCTTCCTCCTCAGATTCTTCCGCCTCCGCCCCCGCTTCCGCCCCCGCTTCCGCCTCCTTTGCGGCTCTCAGTCGCTCTCCACGCTTTGCGTTACCGGCGTTGTTGGAAAGCTTAGTAAAGCCCCTCGCCTCAGGGTTATCGCACAGAAGCGCAAGAGTCACACCTCCACGGAGAGCGTCATCAACCGTCGCCTTCTTCTGCTGGAGACAAAGACAGATGCGAGCCAGCCGCCTCTCCAAGCACTTCTCGCTGACGTCTGTGAGTTTGCCACGTACCACCTTTTTGTGGTAGATGGTAGGTCGGACCCAGCCCCGCTCGTGCACAGCCAAGGCTTCATCGAATACATGGTGTGCTGCGGCTTCCAGATCCAAGGGATTGAATGCTTGTTCTACCATGAACCGCGTTCGGTGGATGGAGTTTGCGCTGTCACTGACGTTGGAGATGTCGATCATAGACTCGTAGATGCGGCGTACCCAGTACATGCCTAGAAAGCAAATTCAATCAGTTCATGTTGGGAAGCTTGTGATTCTCCTGCTACTTACGTCCATAACGCTTGACACGCTCGACATCCGATGCGAGAGACTTGGGTGCTATGCGGTTGCGCTTCCGGTATGCTCTAGCAGCTGGGCCAGACTGGAACTGTCCGGTGTATGCTGGATAGATCGGTTGAGGGGGTGGAGGAGCGTTAGGATCTACATCCGGCTGAGGCTCCCAAGCGATGGGGGTGTAGTTGTTCTCGTTGAGGGTCTCGGATGGAATGGTGGTTGGACCGGTAACAGGGATGGCAGATGGAGTTCCAGATGGCATGTTGGATGGCACGGCGGCTACATCATCGAGCAGAGTGGCGGTTGGAGCAGAGGAGGACACCGGACGAAACCCGTGGGAACGCATCAGGTCATGGTACATCTTGTCCATGTCGAGCTCAGACATGCGGCCAATGGCCCCAGCCTGTTGACCTGGACTGAGTGCCCCCGACAGTATGCGTGCAGCGACAATCTGAGGGTCGTCCTCGCTGTCAGAGTCGTCGTTACCTGGCATCGGGTATTCATCGTTGAGCTTTGCGGCAAAGTCATTGAACATAGTCGCTGAAGCCTCGTTACGGTCTTGCGTTGGACCGAGTGCAAGCCCCAAAACCTGATCGAAGTCATCAGGAATATAGTCGGCATTGTTGTAGTGGCCGTCAAAGTCGTCGTGTCCAAAGTCGATATGGCCAAAACTGTCGTGTTCAAGGTCGTTGTCGGGTATTGCAGGAACCGTTGCAAAGGCGTCACGTACGTCACTGTAGCTGTCGTGATCGTCGGCGTGTTCATGATGACCGGCATCATTATGCTGAACAGAGTTGTCGACAGATGACTCAGGGAGATCTGCAAACACGTCGCGTACACCAATGTATGATGGCGAGCTCTCGGATAGAACAGGTGAGTATGGGGCAGAGAGCGAAGGAGTACTGATGTCGTCGTGCTCTCCAAGGCCTTCAACAGGTAGCGTGGGAAGGTTTGCGAAGGCGTCGTTTACATCAATGTGCCAATCTGAGTTCTCTGACCGAGCGGGAGAGTTTGGAGCATGGGATGAAGACATTGTTGCTTGAAAAGAGTGGTACCAGACCGATGATAATGTAGAATGGAAGGATAAAGTGTTCAGTGACGACCAGCGTCAGAAGCAAGCAAAGTTAAGAGAAGAGAGAAGTTGGACGACGACCGAATTGATGAGTAGAAAGTAGATTGTTAAGAGGAAAAGAATAGAAGCTGTCAAGACGTTGTACTGGGTCCATGTGCTGCCCAAGCATATCATACTCCCATTGTCGAGACGTACGACAATAGCGCGCAACTCTTCGCTGCAGATGACCCTATTAAAAGCTGGAAAGGTCTCGCAACTCTCATTTTTCTGTATTGTTTAGACAAATGCGGCGAATCAGATTCAGTCGTTTCTATTGTACCAGGTGGGGAGCGAGAAGGTTCACCCGCTAGTAGTTTCGAGCCGCCTTCACCTTCACTTATTCCCAAAAGGTGTGGCTTATCGATGCAATAGCTCCTAATGTTCAGCAGCAACAACTCAGATTTGCATGTGTAGTATCCACTGCTTGATAAATTGATCCGTATACATTAATGTGTGTTGATGTCCTACATTTGCCTGTGATTGTTCTCGAATCTTAAAAACTCCCCTGACATGACATGCCGACTGCTATATGACCCGTGCGAAAGACGAGCAACGTCAAACGACTGCCAGAAACTGCAACAAGACGCAGAAAGTTCAAAAGTCTTCAGTCATAGATCCTCTTGCAGTAGTAACAAATGGTATAAAACGAAACCCCATCAGAAAATGATGGTACCATAATGAAGAGAAATTAGAAACCAGATTACGCCTTACAAATCGCTGAACACGTGTCCAATCCATTAAGCAGCAGAAAAGCGGTTCAAGGCTCGTATGCACCTTTATGAAGATCCGTGGAGCTGTGTTGGCGAGGCCATGGTAGCAGCCGGCTGTGCGGACTTTGCATCGTGACTACCTGCCGCGGCCTGGAACCCATCCTCGCTCTCCACCTTGTTCCTCCATTGCGAGAGTTCATTCAGATCCGTGTTATCATTGTCGGGCATGCGTTCGAAATCAAAGCGATCACTCAAACGGTAGGCTTTGTTGGTAGTTTCCCAGTGACTCCTGAGAGCGTCCAGCTCAGAGGCAAGGTTATCCAGAGCCATGGAGTTACGCGTAGCAGAAGATGAAGGGCGGGGGACGGCCTCTGGGGTACTAGAGCCGTCATTGCGGCTGTAAAGAGATTCAGCGGATGCGATGCTATCGTGGGCACGGTGGCGGCTGTGTTCAGGAAGGGTGTTTTCGGTTGGTGCCTGGGACTGGCGGCGGTAATTATCGACCGATGACTCAAACTGGTCAAGGAACATTTGGACCCGACTCTCAGCTTCGCGGGCACGTTCCTCCGTCTGTGTATGCTGACGACGGAGCGCGTCAAGATCTGTCTGGAACTGGGCTGCTTGATGCTCTGCCTGCTTTGTAGCATTCGCTGCTGTTTCGGCATCGGCGCGAGCAGAAGCCAGATCAGATTGCAGTTTGGACAATTGGGCCTCGAAACGTGTAACGGTAGCTTCCATCTCCTCTCGTGCCTTGTCCAGTTCAGAGCGAAGTGCCGCGCGTTCTGCGTTCGACTCAGCTTGATCGGCTTCATCAGTAGGACTACGCTTGTCTTGCTTCGCTTGGGTGAGTTCTTCCTCTAGCTTGAGATTTGCACTCTTGTAACGATCGAGCTCCTGTTTCATCTTCGAAAGCATCTTTTCGGTACCCCGGAGGTACTTGACAGCAGCTTGGTGATCGTTGTGAAGTGCCTGGAGTTTTTCTTCCCACTCCTTGCTGACCTCGTGCTCACGCTCCTCAAACATAGAACGCATTTCCTCATGTGCTTTAGTCATAGAGTCTACCTGTTGTTCCAGCTCGCGAACTCGGTTGAACTCCGGTGTGCCGAACCTTGAGTTCGGACTGTCCAGTACCCTTGAGCGTCGTGAGTCGACAGGGTTTACACCTCTTTCGTCGAGAAGATTGCGAAGTGTCTTAAGCTGAACTTCGAACGCATTGCTCTCAAGGCGCAGACGCTCGTGTTGCTGGCGGAGTTCGGTTCGTTCAGCCTCGGAGAGCTGTACATCTCGCATAGCCTGCTGTAACTGTTTACGAATGGTCAGCCCCTCGCGACTGGATTGCTCTTGGTAGGCCTCGAGACCGGCGATTCGTTCTTCAGCACGGCGAAGCTTTTCCGATGCTTGGTCAGCAGCTGTCTGATTCTTGCGAGCCATGGAGTTTGCAGCTTCGACTTGCTGCTGCAGTACTACAACCCGCTCATCATGGTTAGCACCATCTTGCTCGGAGCGCTCTGTAATCGTTTGAAGACCAGAGAAGACGGTGGCTCGATGAAGGCGTGCCTCTTCTGCATGGCTCTCCGCCAACTCCTCCGCATCACGAAGCTTTTGTGAAGTAGTCTCCAGCTCCAGTACGCGTGCCTCATATTCGCTACGAAGCTGACCCAGCTTCTGGCGCAGGTTTTCACTCGTAGCCCGCTCTTCAGTGAGCTTCTTCTCCAGCAAGGTTGACTTCTCCGTGGACGCGAAGACAGCATCGCGTAGAGACTGAATAATAGAAGACTGAGCTTTGTGCTCTTCGGAAACCTTAGCAACCTTGGCGCTCAGCTCTTGTTTGTCAATCGCCAACAGTTTCGATGCCGATTCTGCTTCTGCAGCGCTAGTAGATACTTCCCTTGCGACACGCTCAGCCTCGTGTAATTCGGCGCGTAGACTCTCTGATTCAGCTGTAGCTTTTTGTCGGGTCGAGTCCAGTTCTTGTACACGTTTTTGCGCAGCTTCTGCGGTCTCCTCCGCTAGTTGTTTTGCTTTCTTTTCGGCATCAATCTCACGGGTCAGATGCTCCACTTTAGTAGCCAGGTCACCTTGAGCCGCCAAAGACATCGCTAGTCGCCGACTAACATCTTGGAGGCGATCCGCGTCGGGTGTGTTTGTGCTTCGAGTCCCATCTGGCTGTGGAGTTCCATTCTGACTACCACCTCCGTGAGCAGCCAATTTGGTTTTAGCGTAGATGGCTTCGCTGACAGCCGCGTCCCGCTGTCTCTCAACTTCAGCGATTCTCTTCGCAGCATCGTCACCTTGGGCTTTGATGGAGGTTTGTACTCGTTCAAGTTCGGTCTTCATCTTCAAGAGTGCCTCCAACAAGGGTCTATCCTCGTCTCGAAACGCGTCGGCCGACCGCTCATCGAATACTGGACTCGTGGAAGTACCAGAGCTGTAGCCTGCTCGACGAGCAAGTGCGAGCTCCGAGGCGTACCATGCGTTGCGACTTTTGACGTGCTCCAGTTCTTTAATAAGTTCGGTGTTTCGTTGATCATTCGCCAGTGACGCATTCTTCAAGCCCTCATTAGGTAACTGTTCAACGTCACGCGCAAATCCGCGTTGTTGCTGTGTTTCTAAAGATTGTCTGGTTGCCTGCTCTGTGCTATCATGGGAAGGCTGCGGGCGGTGCGATTTGGACGTGTTTCGTGACAAAATGCTACCAGAGCGAGTAGTGTCCATGGACTCCTTCGGGGTCCGTTGGCTTACAGCGTCCGACGACATCTTTCGTTGCATGTCGTTCGTAGATGGACTTTCGCGGGTCATAGGCGACATGTTTTCTCTATCCAAGGCGGATGCAGCTCCAGTGTCGATAGGCGGGCCGTATCCACGTTCATTTTTGGTAGGAGTCTTGCTTCTAGGTTTTGCGGCACCTTGTACGCCAGCACCATTCTCACGGGGCTGTGGAGGTTGCTGAAGTGGTGGAGGACCTGGTGGTTGACCCGCTGCACGAGGCAAACGTGATCCTGCGTTCGCACCATTCCCCATGTTTTCTGGGGCTCTCGTGAATTGTGAAGCAGGCATCATACTCTCGCGCGTTGGAGGGGAGCCGACCTTAGCGGGAGGCACATTGCTTCTCTCACCGCCACTCATCTTCCGCTGTGTACCCTGCGGCTGTGGTGGAGGAGCACTTTCATTGGGCGGATACCTTATCTTGGAGGTGTCCAGAATGTAACTGAGGCTGAGCTCATTCCTGTCACTGACAGAAGAGCTGGGCTCGCCAGCTAAAACAACGATGTGTTTTCCGAAGGCGGTCATGCTATGCCCCGACCGGGCTGAAGGGGAGTGTCCCATATTTTGGAACATGTACCAACGGCGTGACGAGATCCGAAAGGCTGCAAGGTCGCCCAAGTCGACGCCTTCTTGGGTGCGTCCGCCAAAGATGTACATGGTGTCGTTTACAAGGGCGGCAGAATGACCCTCGCGAGCTACGGGAATGTAGCCAATACAGTCAAGCTCAGTCCAGGCGTTGGAGCGCGGCTCATAGGTCCAGACATCGTTGAACCAAGTAATCCCGTCGGTTCCACCAAAGCTGATGATAGTTAGCAAGTTGGAGTGTGGAGGAGACAAAGGGCTGTGACACGTACAGGTAGAGCTTGTCGTTCCACGTTACCACGGAATGATTGGTACGTGCTGGTGGTGATCTGCCTTGTGGAGAAGCCTGCTCCTTTGTGTTTGGTAGCAACACCTCCCATCGGCTTGCCGATGACTGCAACGAGTTCAAATCAAAAGCTACAAGGTCATTGAAAAAGAAGCCCTCGACCTGTCCACCGAAAATGTATATCTTGGAACCCAGTATGTTCAAGGTATGTCCGTAGCGACCAGTGGGACGGGGTCCTTGTGGTAGAGCGCGCGACCAGTGCTTTGTGGCTGTGGAGTGTCAGTTGAGGTCATAGGTGATTCCGAGTTGTACGCACAGGTATTGAGGAGATATAAAGTATCATCCAGGTCGTCGTTGTCAGCCAGTTTCGTGTCTCCTCCAAAGACAATGAAGGCATTGCCAACGAGCAAACTAGCATGACCTACGCGAGGACCAGGGCCGTCTCCAGTTGTGGATATGGGATAGCAGGCCATGCTGCCGTTGCCCATCTCTGTCAACCACAGATCACCCTTGACTGTTGCGCCGCCAACAAGTCCACCCATGAGGTAAATCGTACCATCCTTGCTAGCCGTGGCATTTATAGCAGCGCCGTATCGGGGGAAGGGATTGCCTGCGGTGAAGTTCAAGCGTCGGGAGGACCACGGGTACGGGGAGTCTGGCGAGTTGCCGGCAAATCTGGGGTTCGTATTCTGAGGCAGGTAAGTCAGCACACGTGCAAGCGCAATGGGTTTGCCGAATAACGCACCTGGATGTTGGTGTCGGCCTTTTCTCGCAGCGCTTTGGGCTCGGGGGTAGGCGCATTTCCAACGTTCTGGAGAGAGTTCAACGAGTTGTTTACGCTGCCTCCGGGGGTGGGTGTCTGGGATTGGGGGCCTCCACGGGTCTTCTCAATCTCACGAGAGCCGGATCCATTGACGGCTGGAGGTGGTTGCCCCTGGCCTCCCGATGAGGTTATGTCTCGTGTGGCTGGGGGCAGCGCGTTGTTGGCCTGCTGCTTGCTCTTCTTGCCGAAGAGAAAAGACATGGCGGCGGCGGTGGTGCTGCTAAGGCGTTGGTGCAGTAGCGGCCGGGGCCTATCGCGCACTCATTCGGCCTGGGACGCAGACTGGGAGAGGGAAGGCGGGCTGGCGAGGGTGAAGTGATCAGGCGAAGCAATGGATGAGGCGCGCGCGCATGTCGTACGGCTGGGGGAGGACGGCAGATGGGTGGGAGCGAGGGATGGTGTGTTATGGCGGCGACCAGGGCAGCGCGATGCTGGGGATACGGGTGCAGAGAGGCGTAATGCCGTCGGGACTCAGACGGCGCAGCACTTCCAAGGGCGACACTTCCAAGGTTGAGCAGGCCAGATGTATGCACGAGGGAAAGACGACCAGGCGGACAACGATGGTTAGCCTCTCCCCCAGCCCTGTTCACTCTGCGCGCCGCCCCTGAGCAGTGTCGGGAAGATCAGCGGACGCCGACAAGGCTAGGAGTGCCATTGGCTGCGTCGCGCCCGGAGAATGCAGAGGGCCTGCAAAAGAACCTCTTGTATAAGAGGGCGCGTTGACATGTGTGCAGATGCTAGCGAGCGTATGCACCGTTGGCCAGCCAGCATCCCTACCCGAACCATTCGAGACTGCATCAGTGCTGCCAAGTTGCTTTTTTGCTCCCATGGCCGAGTCGTCAATTCGCGGTGGAGCTCGACTCTCACCGCGGCGCTGCTTCGGGCCTAGCGCCGACGACATGCACTGTCGAGCTCTCACCTATGCCCGACGTCCACGAGAACAAGTTTGATAGACGTGCAATTGTCACCGCCCTCCCTCGCCCGGACTGCCGACTTCTGCTCTCTCTCACTCTCTCTCACCGAAACGCGTCTCTCTGCCACGCGCACCGCCCGCCTCGCGCTATGGGCCCCGTCAACACCGTCACTGCTCGCTGAAGCTCACCATGAGAACAGCCAACGAACTACCTCTTGTCAGCGGCCACACCCACCCCAATCCGCTTGCTTCGCACGCCCCCGCGCCTGTCGACATGAACGGCTCCCATCCCTCTGACGCTGCTGCCGCTGCCTCGCGCCCCAGCACTGCGGCCGCCGCTGATGCGTCGCCCACCTCCCACATGGACGAACACGCGCCGCCCGCCCGTCCTGCTTCAATAGGCCCACAGTCTGCCCGTCCCAGCTTCCTGCGCGCGAAGAGCGACTTTGGGCCCCGCCATCCTGTCTTACCACCAGAGAGCGCCGATGAGGGAAGCGTCGACGGCCACTTCAAGATCCGTCATGGCTGGGACGACCAACTGAACTCGGAAGAGTACAGCAACCTGCTCACCTCCAACTTCTTCATGTACTACACCGACAAGAAACACGAGACCGGCGGCCACCCCAAAAACGAAGACTGTGCCTTCCCTGTCCAGGAATGGCGCATGCGAGACCGCCTCAAGACTGTCTCGGCTGTCCTCGCCTTGTGCCTGAACATCGGCGTTGACCCCCCGGACGTCATCAAAACCAACCCGTGTGCCAAGGAAGAGTGCTGGATCGACCCGACCGTGACCTCACAGACGCCCGGTCACACGCCCATGAACCAGATTGGAAAGGCTCTGCAGACTCAGTACGAGCAGCTGAGCATGCGCACGCGCTACAAGCTGCTGCTGGACCCTACAACAGAAGAGACAAGAAAGTACGCTTCCACTCTCCGGCGGAACGCCCGCAACGAGCGAGTTTTGTTCCACTACAACGGCCACGGCGTACCCAAGCCCACTTCTTCCGGCGAAATCTGGGTTTTCAACAGGAACTATACCCAGTACATTCCATTGTCACTCTACGACTTGCAGTCCTGGATTGGTGCTCCAAGTCTATTCGTTTATGACTGCTCCGATGCTGGGCTCATCATCAGCAATTTCAACCGCTTCGCTGAGAAACATCAGGCTGAGTTTGAGGAGGCGCGCCGGAGAGACCCGAGCGTCGAGCATGTCGATTTCAGTGATTGCATCCACTTGGCTGCATGTAGAGAGCGTGAATCGCTTCCCACTAATCCAGAGCTGCCTGCTGATATCTTTACTTCCTGTCTGACCGACCCCATAACCATGGCGGTACGCTTCTTCATCTTGCAAAACCCTCTTCCAACTAAAGTTAGCTTACGAGATGCCCACAACATTCCAGGCAAGGTCTCTGAGCGTAGAACGCCTATTGGTGAGCTGAACTGGATCTTCACGGCCATTACTGATACCATTGCTTGGAATTCTCTCTCTAAGCCGCTCTTTAAGAAACTATTCCGTCAGGATTTGATGGTCGCTGCCCTCTTCCGCAACTATCTCCTTGCACAGCGCATCATGCGCGCATATCACTGCAACCCTGTCTCGCATCCCGAAATTCCTCAAACACATAATCATCCGCTCTGGCGCAGCTGGGACTTGGCGGTAGAGCTGATCTTGGCCCAGCTTCCGGACCTGCAGGCTGAAGCTCGGGGCGAGAAGGATTTTAACTACAAGCACTCCGACTTCTTCTCCGAACAGTTGACCGCTTTCGAAGTATACTTGACACAGGGCGCAGCGGAGCAAAAGGTACCGGAACAACTTCCCATAGTGCTCCAAGTACTGCTCAGTCAAGTCCATCGTCTCCGTGCGCTTATCCTGCTATCGAGTTTCTTAGATCACGGCCCTTGGGCTGTAAATCTCGCGCTCAGTATCGGCATCTTCCCATACGTCCTCAAACTACTTCAGTCTCAAGCAAACGAGCTTAAGCCTGTCATGGTATTCATCTGGGCTCGCATTCTCGCAGTTGACCAGTCCTGCCAAGCCGATCTTCTCAAGGACAATGGCTACCAATACTTCATCAATATATTCAATCCTAATTCTGGTATACAAACTTGTCTCCAAAAAAAAAACTGTACATTGGCTAAAGTTACACAGGCATACCTATTCAGAACGCAAGTGAACACCGCGCCATGTGCGCCTTCATTGTTTCCATGTTTTGCAAGGACTACAACCAGGGACAACGCGCCTCACTGAGTACTGAACTCGTCGAGAGCTGCCTAGATCATCTCAAGGATATGCAGAACCCGCTGCTCAGGCAATGGTCATGTCTCTGCCTAAGCAAGCTTTGGGTCAACTATGAAGAAGCCAAGTGGGTCGGAATTAGATGCATGGCACACGAGCGGCTATGTGAGCTCATCGTGGACCCTGTTGCCGAAGTTAGAGCTGCGATGCTGCATGCATTGGCGTCCTTCCTTGGGATTCGCGACGTCACTCCCCAAGTGGCTAACATTGAGGAGTCTATCGCGTCAATGATTCTTATCATGACAATGGATGGTAACAGTATGGTGCGCAAAGAATTGCTCATATTCTTCTCAACATTCGTCGCTCGCTACAAGGCCCGATTCATAGTAGCTGCATTCGAACAATTATCCGAGGATCATGCCAACATGGACACAAAGCAGTCAGATGACAAAAGCACCGAAATGCTCTACATGAAGACACGTTCAGGAGCGACAGACGGCGCTTCGGAATCGACGTCTTGTTCACAGAACACCATATATTCTGCCATATGGAAGGAGCTTTTGGTCATGTCCGTGGACCCGCACCCGGAAATCGCAAAAGACGCTGGAATAGTCGTTGACTGCATTCTTATCGCTCTCATCGAATCCTCCCTAGGAAAATTCGTACAGCCCCAACTAGATGAAGCCCTCCAACATGCGCCTGCTCCTCGTCCCACGCGCCGCGCAGTGGAGGAGACCTCTGCGCCGCAAAAAACTTCCAATCCTCCAACACCGACGAAAGACTCGACATATCTGTCTCTTTTCGGTGGTATCCGCAAATCCACCAGCGTTGGTGCTTCGCTGAAGAATCTCTGGGCAGGTCAAGAATCAGCAAGCCCTCGACAGAGGCCATCCGGGAGATCTGCTGCTGAGGACACCACTGTCCCGTCAGCGTCTCGTCCTCAGACTCCGGAGAAATACCACACCGTAGAGCAGCCAACTTCAAGAGGTTTCAAGAACAGGAATCTGTCAGAAAAGCCAGAGATTCCACTCAAGAGTGTGTTCTTCGAATGGTCAGTCGAGTACTTCCGTGAGCCCCAAATGAAGCCCACGGAGGCCGACGAGCCCGGAAGCACCGATTACAATGGCCGACTCTGGCGGAGGAACCGTAACGACAGGATTATTGCCGAGACTCAGCCGTTGAAGGATATTGCTGTCTCTAACCGCTGGGACGTGCCCCGAGGGTATTTTGACAATCTCAGCCAACCTGCGAAAATGTGTTTCCATCAGTTCGAAGATCATCTAGTCGTGACAGATACACGGGACACCGTCAATATCTTTGATTACTCAAAATCGGTTAGCAGGATCAATTCTTTTTCTAACGGGAACCCTCCCGAGTCGAAGATAACGGACGTTCGATTCATCAACGAAGACGATCAGGCCCTGTTAATGACTGGGTCTTCGGATGGAGTCATCAAGATCTTCCGCAACTATGATCGTAAAGGAGAGACGGAACTAGTGACTGGATTCCGAGCCCTCACCGATCTTGTTTCAAGCAACAAGAATGCCGGGCTAGTCTTTGATTGGCAGCAGGGTAGAGGTCTGATTCTGGTCGCTGGCGACGTGAAGGTCATCCGCGTATGGAACGCAGGGACCGAAGTATGCACCAATGTAAGTTACACTCTCTGCGTCTCTTGAAATCTTAGCTGACTAGAGTAGGATCTCCCGGCGCGTTCGGGCTCTTGCATCACATCCTTGACCTCTGATCAAGTCGAAGGAGATGTGTTCGTCGCTGGCTTTGGTGATGGCGCCATACGAGTATATGATCAGCGCCAAAAGCCTGCCACCGCCATGGTTAAGGTCTGGAAAGAGCACAAGCAATGGATCACCAACGTCCATCTACAGCGTGGTGGTCAGCGTGAACTTGTGAGCGGCTGTCGCGGCGGTGAGGTCAAGCTATGGGATATCCGCTGGGACCGCAGTGTAAAAACTATACAAGCGACTTCCGACACGCTCAGGACACTTAGCGTCCATGAGCACGCTCCGGTCTTCGCTACGTAAGTGCTCATAAACTGTAAACTGACTGGAACATGCTGACATCGATAGCGGCACGCAACGACACCGTGTGAAGATTTTCAACCTAAACAACGGTCAACCCGTATCTCACCTTGAACCCTACTCGGGTTTCCTTCGGGATCGATCTGCTCCCATCTCTGTTACTGCCTTCCATCCCCACCGACTGATGATTGCCGCAGCGGCCGTCAACGACACCCACGTCAATATCTTCTCGTGTCACGAACCAAAGCATTCAGCTGTCAATAAAACAGTGAAACTTTGGGATGGGAACGCGAGTACAGCCGCGTCTAGCAGAACATCTATCATCGGCTGAGGGTGATCTGACGACTCCTCGCAGAGTCCGAGATTGAGGGAAAGGAATGCAGTCGCTTTGGTGAAGTCGTCTCAATGACCTGACTTTTTTTGAGACGGTGGAGCACAGCAGTTTATTTTGTTGCTGGGCGTCAGGAATGCATTGGGTTCGAGCAGGACTGTCAATTTCTATTATACCCAGGCTACATCAATTAGTAATTGCACACAAGTTCAAACACACGTCCTCGATGATGTTAGCCAGGCGGGCTGCCACTAATTGGCTATGACGCCGCGGGGGGTAGCGGGGCTGTGACTGCCCCACTATGGAAATGTGAGTCGTCCGCACGATACGACTGACCACTGCACAACGCGACTTGAAATCCCCAACACTACCACAATGAGTGACGCCGCACCTACTGGCGCCGAGCCGCCTTCCAAGAACGCGCTGAAGAAGGCGCAGAAAGAGAAAGAGAAGGTCAGTAGAATCCCCTTCCTTTCAAGTTCATAATGCTCACGATAGCCTAGGCAGAGAAGAAAGCTGCAGCCAAAGCCCGCGAACTTGCTGAGCGTACCAAGAAGGAGGCCGACGATGCCGCCGACGTCTCTGTAGGCGCATACGGCGAACTTCCCCTCATTGGCTCCAAAGAACACAAGCCTACGGGAACTCCACGCACCGAGCTTGCCGATGTCGCCAGCAATGAGGACAAGGAGATCACATTCAGATGCTGGGTGGAGAATGCAAGGGTTCAGTCTGCGAAACTCGCTTTCCTGAACTTGCGACAGAACCTCAACACTGTGCAGGCTGTTGTTGCGGCCAGCGAGAAGCTGAGCAAGCAGATGGTCAAGTTCTGTGGCAACGTCAGCACCGAGAGCACACTTGTCGTTACGGGCATAGTCAAGCGTGTGAAGGAGCCCATTAAGAGCGCCAGTATCACCGATTTCGAGATTCACATCCAGAAGTTGTTCGTCGAGGCTGCTGCGGAGATTCCGCTACCACTTCAGGTGTCCGATGCTGAACGGCCCATGCCAACCGAGGCTGCCACCGAAGAAGACCAGAAAGAGGAGGAGGGTGGCGAGCGACCACTCGTCAGTCTGAACACGAGGCTAAACAACAGGACGATTGATCTTCGGGCGAAGATCAACCAATCCATCTTCGTGATCAAGAGCGGTGTATGCGCCTTGTTCCAGGAATTCCTCTCAAAGAAGGGTTTCGTCTTGGTGCATACCCCAAAGATACTGTAGGTCATCTCTACGAAAGCTCAATACAGATGCTGACCTGGCACTTAGTGGTGCTGCCTCTGAAGGAGGAGCCAACGTCTTCGAGTTGAAGTACTTTGGTCGTCCCGCGTATCTTGCTCAGTCACCACAGTTTTACAAGCAGATGCTGATCGCCTCCCGCTTCCAGAAAGTCATGGAGATTGGCCCTGTGTTCCGCGCCGAGAACTCTAACACCGCTCGTCATTTGACCGAATTCACAGGACTGGATCTTGAGATGGAATTCCAAGAAAACTACCACGAAGTCATGGGCGTATTGGAGGACCTTATGCTCTTCATTTTCAACGAGCTCAACTCACGGTACCGGAAGGAGACTGAACTCGTAAGAGGAGTGTACCATGTCGATGAGTTCAAGCTTCCCCAGTCTGGCAACGTGCCTAGAATTCCTTTCCAAGAAGGTATTAAGATGCTTCGCGAAGCCGGAGAAGAGCTGGGCGACTACGACGATCTAACGTAAGTGTGGTGAAGAAAGTCTCCAAGGCTCGACTAACGTTTCCAGAACCCCGCAAGAAAAGCTGCTTGGCCGTCTCGTCCTGGAAAAGTACAACACCGACTTCTACGTCCTGGACCAATTCCCTCTCGCTATCCGTCCCGCCTACACTATGCCATCACCTGCCGACCCCGCTCTCTCAAACTCGTACGATATGTTCATGAGGGGTCAGGAAATTCTCTCTGGCGCGCAGCGTATCCACAGCTCGGAGCTCCTCGCAGAGCAGATGCGCAAGCATGATCCTCCAATTGATCCAGCCGGTGCTGGAACCAAGGACTACGTAGACTGCTTCAAGTATGGCTGCCCACCGCACGCTGGAGGAGGTTTCGGTCTAGAGAGGATTGTTCAATTCTGGCTCGGACTGCCCAACATTCGGATGTGCAGTCTCTTCCCCAGAGACCCACAGCGAGTTGTACCTTAAGATCGTTCTGCCTGTAGGAAGTGATAAAACTCCTGCTTGATAATGCTTGGCAGACACGGGTTACCAGAATGGACATGGACTTGATACTGCACGTGTACGCGGAACGCAGTAAAAGGTTGGTCCAGATCTTCACACATCGCATGAAAATCCGACAGTTGTGGAATGGAGGAGATACTGAGGGCTGATGTAAGGGCAATGTCGCGTCTCGTGGAGTCAACGACCAGCAGAGTCAATTGTACACTAGAGACAATGAAGATATTATACATACTCGCCGTTTAGTCTGTGGATGCGACTATTCAAGTAAGTAGCTATTTTCCGATGCATACTTGCTTTCGATGGAGCATACCGCCTTTGGGGGCATGGTCGGAATATTTCAGACATGCCTCCAGTGAAGCCCTCTGCCCCCATTTAACTTCGCTCATTAGAACCCACACTTTCATCGAGTGCGGCCGGACGTCGCAGTCAACGTGATCCGGTGACGTACGGCCTCTGTAATTTCTATGTTTACAGTGCCAGAGGTGCCCGTCCTTTATGCGTACTGTATTGGGCGCAAAACCACACTGATACCCCTTGCAGATGATTGTTCCCAACGGTTGATAGCCTGCATGTGTTCAGTCATAACATGCATGGACCGACGTGCGTAATAATCGCGATACCCATCCATCCTGCGATTGCGAATTTTGATATGACAGCCATGATTTCTCCATCAGCATTGTTTCAAAGTCGCAGCAGCTAGCTTTTTCTGTGCCTCGTCTCCGAGGGCGGCAACATCCACCTCTTGTATAGCCTGCCCTATTGCCAATGTCGCCTTTATGTTCCCCCCGTCGACGTGTACAAGTCCGTTTCGACCGACTGTGACCTCGAAGCCGATTTTGGCACCCAAGGTCTGCAGTAGAGTTATGCCACCACGTGCTGCAAGCATTCGTCGAGCCATGCCCAGGCTCACCTTGAACAGCATGCCTCCCTTCAGAAGACCGAGTCCTTCACTCTTGCCTGTGGAAGGATCGACGCAGGTGAGTTCTGATGGCAGATCCTTGCCAGCGCTGGCAACGCGGCAGTACACCAGAGAGTTTGGAGGAAGCTGGGGTCGTGTCTTCTTAGTCGCACCCTCGAAGGCCAAATGGGGGAGGGTCGCAGGCGGTGTGTTCGGGGTAAGGAGGCAGTTGAAGTTCTCTGCGGCAGAACCATTGACAGTCGCAATGACGAGGTCGCCCGCGAAAGGAAGGTACTGTGACGAGTGTTAGCAGGCCGAGAGCAAGCAAGGCGCAACAAGAGCTTTCTAACCCTTCCAGTGTTGTATTCAACCGAAGCAGCATTCTTCTTGTTGTCTGTCACGAGCGCGCCCGCAATTGTAGCAGTGACCGTGTCTGGCGGCGTGTGTCGCAAACCTGGTCCGAGGGTGAGCGTCTTCTTTTTGCCTGTGCCTGTAGGCAGGGCGCTCTTCGCGATGTCGTCGCCCGGCAGGACAATTGTGGCTGACGCTGCCATGGTGGTGCTTGCCGAGTCGTGTTTCCTTGGTTGTTGGTAGAGTACATGGTAACATGTGCAATCCTAGGTATAGTGAGCTCATTCCGAAGAAGCCCGTGCGCTTCCGAGAAAAATGCACGACTCTGAATTTCTTAGCCGCGCAGAAACACACGCGCTACAAACGCAGCCACAGTCGGGTATCCTCAATTCTTCCACTTTTACCGCTTTCTCGTCAATACCCGATCGTCTCACTCTAACTCGAAACCCGTTCACGTAACCAAACGACGTATACCCGCGCAAGATGAGTGCGCAAGCGGACCCCGCGCAGAGAGTCGCGATAGGAATATCCTTTGGCAATTCATACAGCTCTATTGCCTTTACCAGCGGTGTACGTAATGCATGTCTATAGCCGTTTTCTCTGAGTGTTTCTGACACATAACAGGAAGGCAGAGCACAGGTCATCGCCAACGAAGACGGAGGTATGCTGCTTGCCCCACGCCCTGGATCCCCTCCATTGCTAATTTGTCCTCAGATCGCCAGATCCCCTCCACTCTGTCCTACGTTGAAGGAGAGGAACTCCACGGTGGACAGGCCAAGAGCCAATTCGTCCGCAATGCGAAGAACACAGTCGCCTACTTCCGCGACTTTCTCGGACAAGAGTAGGCAGCCTGATCAACCCTCCATGTCCGACGAGACTGACGCTCTGAAGCTTCAAATCGATAGACCCCTCGCCATGCCACCAGTCGGCTCACCCCATACAGCATGAAGACAGCGTGGCTTTCACCATTCGCGACACCGAAGAAGAGAAGGAAAACACCGTTTCCGTTATCGATATCACCACACGCCACATGAAGAGACTGCGAAGCTCTGCCTCTGACTACCTCGGAAAGGACGTCAACGCCGCCGTCATCACCGTACCCACAAACTTCAGCGACGCCCAGAAGGAGGCTCTCAAGAAGGCTTCAACAAATGCTGGTATTGAGGTTCTGCAGTTCATCAGCGAGCCCACGGCTGCTGTCCTGGCCTACGATGCCCAACCTGATGCGAAGCTAGCCGACAAGATCGTCGTTGTCGCTGACTTGGGTGGTACTCGTTCGGATGTCGCCGTGGTCGCATCCCGTGGTGGCATTTACACTATCCTGGCCACTCTACACGACTATGATGTTAGCGGCTTCAAGCTCGACCAAGTGCTCATGGACCACTTTGCCAAGGAGTTCCTCAAGAAACACAAGTCGGCAGGTGACCCCCGGGAGAACGACCGATCGTTGGCCAAGCTGAAGCTCGAGTGCGAAGCCGTCAAGAAGGCGCTATCCATTGGTAGCACCGCCAACTTCTCCGTAGAGAGCTTAGTGGGCGGCACTGACTTTACCGCAACCATCAACCGTACCCGTTATGATCTCCTGGGAAGCAAGCTGTTCGCCGCTTTCACTCGTCTTGTAACGCAAGCTGTGGAGAAGGCCAACTTGGACCCTCTCGACATCTCTGAGATTGTATTGGCTGGTGGTAACTCACATACCCCCAAGGTTGCTTCGGCAGTACGATCAGCCTTCCCAGACTCCACGACTGTCCTCGCGCCTTCCACATCCCCATCCGCCATCAACCCTTCGGAACTGGCAGTCCGCGGTGCCGCCATTCAGGCCAGCCTCATCCAGGAGTTCGAGCTTGAGGACATTGAACAAAGCTCTCACCCCATGGTCACCGTTACGCCCCATCTTTCTACCGCTGTTGGTGTGTTGTGCATCTCGGGTGACGAATCCTCCGGCGTTTTCCACGCCATTGTTGATACTGAGACACAACTCCCCGTTCGACGCACTGCAACCATCACGACACCACGAGAGGGTGGTGATGTGCTTATCAAACTTGCCGAAGGCTCACGACACATCAAGGTCACGAAGCCAGAACCAAAGCCCAAGTCTGAAAAGAAAGATGACGACTCGGAAGACGATGATAGCGATGACGACAGCGAAGAGGAGGAGGAAGAGCTGAGGGAAAAGACATGGAAGGTCGGCCAAGTGCTAAGCGAGGCTGCGGTCCGTGGAGTGAAGAAGGGAGGAAAGGTTGAAGTGCAAATTAACATTGGCGCCGACCTGAGCATAAACGCCATCATCCGTGAAGTTGGCGGCAAGGGCGGTGTCCGTGGTATGATCCAAGGAAAGAAGGTTAACGGCAGCGCCTAAGGTGGACTCGACTTCTCCACTATACCAATTCACCAACCGCTGGACGAGAGCCCTTCCTCATATGCGATGTAAACGACATAGACAGCTTGTTTCTTTACTTGACCGCTACCAGTAGCTTGTATAGGCCTATTGAAAGGCTTAAACTTTTGAGCTGGCTGCAATGAAAATTATCTAGACCCGCAATCCAACGTGCCAAGTAGTCCAGTCATCGATTTTTCAAAAGTCGAAATCGCGGTCTCATCCTTCTACCCATTGCTGTGTTTGTTCTCCATTGCTCGTATTCCATGTCTCTCGTATCCGTAAAATCCAAATCTTGATAGTGCCATCTGCGCTCCAACCAATTCTCCTTGTCCAAGTCATCTATGCTAGAATCCAGCGCACCCAAAACCTCATCCTCACTCTGCCACTCAGTACTCCATCCTATACTCAAATAGCGTAGACGGCCTAAGAAACGCTCGTCTATCATGGTAAAAAGATCGGTCATGGTGAAGCTGCGTGACGGATCGCCAGTTCGTCCACAGGCGACAAGGGTGAGGCTGTACAGTGGCTTGGCTTCTTGCCATCGCGCCGGAGAAAAGTCTGGTGGCATATTTCCGAACCGACTGTCAATATAGTCGAGCGCAATAGTCAGAGATACCAAATTAGGTAGCCAGTCTAGCACACCGTTCAGTCGACCTTGCTTGACGGCTGGCAAATCACGCAGTTCGACAACAGTCAGCGACGCAGCTAAGCTGTTGAGCAGCGGCCTGATGCCTTGTCTGTGAATTGAAAATCAGCATTGCGCTCATCAGGTTCAGTCAACCAGTGACTTTCTCGAGGCGTGACTTTGACATACTGATCTAGCCCAGGACTATGGTAGATACCTAGTGAGGAGAACGTCGGTGGGAAGTTGTCTGGTTGTCGTAACATGTCCCATAGGAACTGACCCGAGACTGATCCGGATAACGCAAGATGTTCAAGCTTGGGTGGCCAGCGGATGCTGGGACCACCTGGTGTCGCTGGTGGTTCGTATCTCGACGAACAGCGAGGCAAGTAAAGCTCACGCAAATCTCCCAACTGCCGTATGGTTTGGTTCAGGCTTTGGAAGCTGATACATTCTGACACCCTGATATTGAAATTGCGCGTCAGTCTACGAGCCGAATGCATCATGTACTTGGGGCTTACTGACAGGCTCAGGTCAAGAACGCGCAGTCGAGTGCATTTGCTTAGACTAGCCCAGCAATTAATCGCAAAGCTAGCTTGGGGTGCTACAAAGACTTCAAGAGATGCTCTCGTTCGGCCTAGTAATCTAGCCGTTGTGGACTTGGCGCCTTGGTGTACGATGTGGGATAAGTCAAGGGACTTCACCAAACTCGCCAACGCTGTCGGCTTATAACAAGTTAGCAGATACCACTGATTACCTTTGATGCAACTTACCTTGATGCGAGCTAGTACAGAAGGACATATCGTGCGAACAAAGAGTTCGTATGCGCTTCCAGACAGATATGGTGATTCATATAACGGTTGAACTGCTACCTATTCGGGCAGCGAGATTAGTTACGGTACATCTAATGTCCAATAGATAGACATTTACATACATCATACCACTGTCTGGTCTTGTAAGCTTATGTGACTGAATTGTCAGTGCAACGATTACCTATTGACTGCTGAGAAGCGGGCTAGCGTCGTTTGCCTCTCAAGCTTGCCCAGCGTTTCGAAATGAGCCAAGATCTCAAGAAGTAGTTCGCTGGGGAGATAGTTTGCATAACTGGTAATGGAGGCAGGCATATCTAGCACGGTCGCGTGTGGGAATGCGTGGCTCGTGAGGAAAGTCGCCAGTATACACGCGCCATCATCCGCGCAGAGATGGAATATGACGCACTAGCGCGACTATTGGTTCGCCGCCGAACTATAATGCCTGTTATCTCCGAATAGGGCCGAACCACAAATGATGTTCGACCCCCGCCCTGCCAATCGTCAGCAAAGGGCCGTCACACTCTGTTACATGTAACAGCCGCTCCTTCAAATCTGACATGCCAACCAGAACTAGCCGCGTTTACAAACCTAAGACCACTGGTATGCTTGATAGCGATCAATGTGAAACATGTAAGGAGCACCACCATATACACATGCATGGAAACATACGCTGTGAATGTTCATGAATTCTCACAAAGAATTATTTCACACTCCCTTACATTGTGTTTCTTTGCGTGTCATAGTCTCTTCATATCTCTCTCGCATACAATAAAAATCTCACCGACGACAACGCTCCTTCTGCTGATCACTACCACATAAATTTCGGCCCCTGAAAAACAATACTACTTTGCTTATTTCTGGCTACCTCAACACTTCCGAGTCTTCTTTCTTACCAACAATGAACACTTTACTCATCGCTTTGTCAGTTATAGGGCAAGCAGCTGCCGACCGGCTGCTGGTGGCTTCATACGGAAATGAAACTCATGCTGGCGCCATCCAGACGCTCGAAGTACTGCCTAGCACAAGCGCAAATTCTAGCCATGCGATGAAAGTTACCCAAGAGAACCACGAGTGTGGAACTTTGCCTACATGGTTGGATGCGTCCCTTGGCCTGGATAGGATAGTCTGTCTAGACGAATCAGCTGCCAATGCTAGTCTCACAATGTTGAGCCTTGGTGATGACGGCAGCCTCCAAAAGGTGTCCAATACCAGTGTGCTGGGAGGAGCAGTATCCTCGGCGTCCTACAATAACAAATCCGCATTAGCCCTTGCTCACGTACGTACAACTTTCCTTCTTCTCAAATTTTTATCCGATCAAGTACTCACTTTATGGTAAACCTAACAGTACGGACCCGAGCCAGCCATATCACTGTTTACTATCGATGGGGAAAACAAATTTTCGTCTTTGCAAAACATCACCTTCCAGGCGCCTGAGCAAATCCATCAAGCGGTCGTCGATCCTACGGGGCAATACATGATATTCCCCAGTCTCGGTGCAGATACAGTCCACGTCTATTGCATCGATCCTGTCAGCCACTTGCTCACAGAGCATGCGCCACTCAAATCCAAGCAAGGATACGGTCCGCGACATGCAGTTTTCTGGACAGGTTCCAATTCTACAAAGACGTACCTTTTTGTAGTCCATGAGAAGAGCAACAAAATCACTAGTTACGAAGTTTGTTATCTGGAGCAGGGTGGCCTAGCTTTTACCGAAGTCGACGAGGTCAGCACATACGGCAATCAAACCGTCCCACCAGCGACGTTCGCTTCGGAGATGACGCTCTCGCCTGATAACAAGTTCTTGATCGCAGCAAACCGTAACGGCACAGTTTTCAAAGTAGAGAATTCGGACCCAACCAACAGCACTCAAGTTCCAAGTGATTCACTTGTGACGTTCAAACCGTCAGCCGACGGGAAGCTATCGTTTGTCCAGCTTGCAAAATCAGGGGGATGGTACCCTCGCCACTTCAGTATGAACCAGAATGGATCGTTGATTGCGGTCGCAAATCAACTCAGCAAAAACGTCGACATCTATGCCCGTAACCTAGAAACTGGAATCATCGAAGACAGCAAAGCGGTGGCAAGAGCTAATAATCTCGGGCCCGGCGATTTGATGTAAGTTAAACACCCTAACTTGTGTGCTGAGTACTGACATTTCTGCTTCATAGGTTCGTGCAGTGGGTGGGGCAACAATAGATCATGATTGAAATTCTATTCAAAGCTCAAGCAGATGAGCAGTAGACCTGATATTTAGCGGGTTACTCCACCCATGTTCTATATGGAGATTTCTCAACCCTATTTTTGTGCATAGCATGGCGGAATTTTGTATTGTAGCATAGCATCAAGGAGTGTTAGCTGAAGATACCCAGTTTTCCTGTTCAACAGCCCACGAAACGGCATCCCAGACATCGCCCACGATCTTGCGAGGCTGAGGTGTTGGTTTTGTGCCCTTCTGATAGACACCTGTCTCTACTAACACACTAGCCCAGTCTGTGCCGTACGGGCTCCGGTAATCATTACCGCCAGCAATATCACTCGCCGGATTATCACCGACCATATACACACGCTTGAGATGCCCGAGAGGACTACCGTAGCGTTGCATTATGTTATGCCGATGCGCTATCAGGCGCTTCTCTGCGAACTCATATGTAGGTTGGTGTGGTTTACCCATCACGACCTTTTGCAGCTTGACACCTTGTGCCTCGCCACCGGTTATTGCAGCCCAGATGCCTTCGAACGCTTCGCGAAATCCTCCTTGGCCTAGGCGTGGTAAGTGGTATTTCGCCGCCCACAGTAGGTCTGGGTTCGAGAAGTAAAGTGGTGGTTGCCCGTCTTGCTGATAACCACGGTTCTCCAAAGCAGGGTTGCCGTTCTTCTTTGACAGAGTCCCAATGATGCCACGCTCTGACAACAGAACATCCTTAATGATCTGCGCATCCAAACCCCAGTCCCGCGGGTCATTGTACACAAAGACAGCATCGATGCGAAGCGAGGTCGATGGTGTGGTAACATCGATTGGGGTCGGCAGCGGTCGAGTGAAGGTCTTGTAGTATGATAGCAATTGCTGGGAGAAAGGCCATACTTCGGGATGAGCAACTAGAATGTCGCCAGGGGTGACAACGTTTTTGAAGCTATGCGACTTCGTTAGAATGTTGCGGCACAACGTAATTGCATGTTATCGTACCCGTATGCTTCGGCAACTCTCCTGCATTTATCCTCCACTCCACCAACAACCATGACTGTCTTATCCTTTAGGTCGTTCATGTCGGCAAAGGGGGTGTGACTCTGGACAAACATGGACGTATCGATAGCCACGTCCAGTTTACTGCTCAACTCGGCCACGCGCTCGGATTCATGTTTGCCGCCGCCATTGGTCAAGAGTATGAAGGGAATGCGCTGCGTTTGGAGATAAGTGAGGGCCTTTCGAGCTCGCGGTAATGCGTCCGAACTCCTCAGGAGTACTCCGTCGATACTGACAGCCGTCAGCTGCTGTATTGAGAGGCCGATGGCGTGCCGCCTTACTCGAAAGCGAAAGCAAAATCGGAGGCACGGCTGTTAGGGGCAGCAGCGGTTTGGAATGCGCGGCGTAGAGGTAGGCGGTAGCCGCAGCGAGGAAGTAATTTCGTCGCGTACATTGCTGTTGGTCGTCTGAGAGTTCGTTGTAGAGGTATGATGTCTTCCTAACTTGCAGCAGTTAGCATGACGTGGAATCTTTAGTCATCATCCCGCTACCCGCCATTGGAAGTCGCACGCACCCTAAGGCTCTCTCACGACTTACGGCATATCATATCGGAGCAAATAATCCTTCAACAGCATAGACCCCATCGAACTAACGATCATCTTCTTGGCATGCAAAACATGCATATGCAGGGGTTTCGCTTTCTGTCCAAAAGCACCGGAGACTTACAGCATCAAGCGCTACATAACGGTACGGGAGAATGACTTGCCAGAACACTCGCTCATCTGTCTTCAACATCTCTTCAAGAAGCATCTACCTGAAGGTACTATACTATTGTTCCTTGAGCTGAACAATCTGCTGGCAACATGCTTGGGTTCGCTCAAAGTTACAAGCCATATTGTTAACGATTCCCTGTGCGGAGATTATTCCTTCGCTTTCCTGGACTCGTAAGATATGCAGTATGTGAAGATTTTACGATCTGCCTGTTCGCACATGATGGCCAGTTCTAGATATGACAGCCAAATCGGTATACCTAGGGCATCGAAACCTACCACAACTGACTCGTTCTTGAGGTCGTTGAGCGTCCAGGCCTGCACTACTATGTTTTGCCGGTCATCCAGATCACGTCATTACCGGAGCATCGATACAAAGGTCATTGAGGCGCTTTTCTGCTGCTAATTTTTCTTTGTTATCACTGCTAACAGGAAGGGAGGTGTTCGTACAATGACAAGCCAAAACCTTGGCACAACGGGTCATGTATAAGAACAATAGTAGTGGCGAATCTACGAACAATAGTAAGGGTAACAGGACTCGGTGTTCTCTTATCGCGAGCAAGCTCTGGACCTTTCGCATCGATAGCCATAAGGTTAGCTTCATTGTTTCGTCCTGTGTACTTCGCTGCAAACGATGTATAAAGGAGGCAGTTGTCCTCTCCCATCTGACTCCAGGCCATAAGAACATTCAGTCATTTAGCAACTCCAATCCTTCCAAACATTTCTTGACCAGTTGCCAACCAACCAACCAATCAATCGAAACGTCAACATGATGTTCTCCTCCAAGCCCATCCCTGGTATTTCATGCACTGTCAGCAAGCGTGGCGACCCCATTCCCGGCGGTGGTTGCACCGTCATGCGTAACGACATCATTCCTGGCGGCGGCTGCACAGTCCAACGTGGAGACCCCATCCCCGGCGGTGGCTGGGGCTGCACTGTTAGCCGCCGTTAAACGGTCTTTCGAGAGACCAATGGTAGTTGGACAAACGCAACAACTACATGTTAACGGGTTCTGGCTTGCCCCCTTACTTCGATTCTTCCCACCCTTTTCGACACAACAGAGGATTATGTCTAGTACTCAAGCCAATCGACGGGTACTTGGAGACAACATGCCTCACAGCCTTGCTGCAACACCGATAACGGTTCGACAAACACGACTATTTTTCGATACCACCAATGATCAACACTACATGCGGCTATACGATCGGAGTCGTGTTTTCGAACAGCATGGTTTTTCTTCTTACAAACTTTGATTCATGTAATTAGTAGCGGGTCGAGTTGAGCTCTTGACGGTAGTAATTTTCCTATAGAGCTTGATAATATTAATACTTGACCACTTCAAACGTCCTCTGCTTCTGAATGCTTGGGATCAAAGCGTGAAAACTGTGCCTCCATGTGTCGATGCTGCTTACTTGAATGTTTGTTTGAGCATGACGTTAATTTTACACTACCATACTACCGCGAATCTATGACTATCCTGCAAACACCCTATGCCGATGCAGAAGTCGAACCATCGCAGCTTTACGAGGATACGGGCGCCACTAGGTTTGGATCAAGCCGCTTCTCGTAACAGACACTGTTGTCTGCTTCGTTGTAGTTTCCAAACATATCGCGTTGAATAAACCCACGTTTTTCATAGAAGCGTCTTGCTTTCACCAAAAAGGTACCAGTCTCCAATAGCAACGTCGACCAGCCTCTTTCTAACGCCTCGTCTTCCAACCTGTTGAGTATCAATTCCGCAATGGAAAGACTCAAGCCTTTGTTCCCACTTATCGGCCCTCGGTATGATGGGTCAACAAACATTCGCTTGATTTCAGCAGCATTGCTGAGTGCACTATCTAATGAAGACAGTGGGCGTAGGCCGCCGCAGCCGACTGGAACGCCAGCGCAATAAGCAACCAGAAAGATTGGAATGTCAGCGGCTGATGGTGGAGTGCCGGGGTCTACACCTCCGAGGGTGGTAATCTCGGTTCGCTGGGTGGTACGGAGTTTAACACTATCTTGATGATCCCAGGAGACGGGAAGAACGACAATATCGTTGACTGACAACATGGTGATTGGGGTAATTATTGAGAAGGAAAAGCAAGGTTCGCAGACGTTAGTGATGGATAGCCTACCTAGGTAGCTCTTAGTACCTCTGTAATAGGCAAAGCATGTCGGAGTACGACCATAATCACTTGTCATGGCCCCACGAAGCAGGGTGTTTTGACTCAGAACGTATGGCCGTGAGCGAATGCTTTGATTGGCAGATTAAAGCTGCCATCTTATTAGGTAGAGTGATAAGGTAATCGCCGTTGCATACTGCGGGCCCGTGCGAGGAACATTGAATTCCAGAAACGTCCCCCCAGCCAAGTCAGAGAACAGGGCGTCTTGATTCCGTTAGAAATCACTTCGGGCTTTCATTGTAGTTCTTACTAGCAGAATGTTCTATCTGCAAAAGAGAAGCCAGCTTTGAGAACGAGATTCTAGGTAAACAGAACACAATAATAGTATTGTTAAAACGTATCACAACAGCTACTTGAGGCAAGAAGCCGTCTCTCTCCACTTTCCATAGTTGATAATGGAAAAAACTATCTGTACATATATCTACCCACATCCTTTAGAAAAACACTGGAAAGAGCCTAGTAAGAGTACATCAATCGATGCTCTTGGACAAGTACTACCGCAGAACGTAGGTTGGTACAAGTCTGCGGTATACGGGAAGTTGATAATAGATCTTTCACCTTCCCCGTACACTCCGGATCGAAGATTTGCGAGACACACGGCCTTTCACTGCAGCCATATCCTCTTGGGAGATGGGACTAGCAAGGGGTGATTTCCTCGTTGCACTGCGCAAAGATGCAGGAGTTATGTTCGGTGAAGCATCTTCCTCTGATTCCAGCATGTCCGTGTCCGTATCACGAGTAGGCGTGCTTGGTCGTTGAGAACGAAGTGCCTTTCTGTTCTTAAGCGTCGATTGTAGTCGAGAGGGCTTAACCTTTTTCAATGCACCAGGCCTAGAAACCTTCCTTTGATAGGTGACAGTTGTGCGTCGGGTATGAATGACAGTAGACGGTTGCACCGCCCGCGAATTGGTTGATCGTGTGCGTTTATCAATGTTACCAGAACTGGAGCGTTTGAGCGCGCGGTTCTCGCGAGACGCATTCTGGCGCGACAGCTCATTTGCCTCTCTTTCAGCTCGCTCGCGAGCAGACTCTGATCGAGCAAGGGCATTCTTTGCCTTTGTGCTAACTGAGTTACCAAGAAGCATTCTGCGCTTCTTGGGGGAGCTTTGAGTGCTTTCAGAACCGGATCTCCGGGAACCCAGCAGATCTTGAAGCTTGCGTTTGGTGCCAGCGATGAGAGCCGAAGCTATGGACTTTTCCTCAATGGGTTTCTTCGGTTTGGGACCGAGGACACCTCGACACGACTCAGTGCCACAACGACATTCCTGGATATTCTTCTGCGAAAACGGACTGCGAATGTCAGATTGGTCCAACGAGTATGCTGTGAAAAATGACTTACTCGAAATTGTAATCGTAGGTTAGCTCGTCGCCGGTCATGATGCCTCGAGGACCAGCGAAGAGTGCCATTCGTGGTTCTCCGCCCACAGTCCACTTGATCATCTCACAGTTAGGTTCACATGAGTGGTTGACGAAACGCGCAATCGTTCCACGGGTTGCGTCTATGATCATTTTGTTGTCGAAACTCATAAGATAATAGCACTGTAGCGGGTCAGTAGAAGTGGGCAAGCAAAGATATAGACAGCTCACCTTGTCTTTCTTGTAAACCTGCTTCATGCGTCGCTCGCATTCAGTCTGGGTAATAATTTCTCCGGCATATTCTACGATAATTTGGTGGGGGTCGAAAGTTCTCATAGCACGCACACCAAAGCCTCGGTCTTTCGTATCGAGAACCTCCACGCCGTAATCGTAACGGTTGCCTTTAGCACGTCGCTTGAGCTCTGCAAATGGCCGATTGTTACATAATTCCGGAGGAAGGGGACAGTTGGTGTTATCGCATTCGTATGCCATGATCCGGTTATGACAGGCTTCTCCGCAGCCGTCTTCGGCATCGCAATAGCACTGGGAAGAGTCTTGCTTGTCGCGTTTCCACAGTGCAGACGCGTCGCCAATGAATCTGTCTACAAGGCATTAGTGGCATTCACCAGATTGACAGCGCGGTCGTCTTACTTTTGTTGAGCTTAACCCAGCCGTCGACTTTGACTTTCCTGGGTAGAGGGCTGTAAGTGTCGAATGGCAATTTGAAGTCGCGAAACACAAGTTTGGGGTCCTCGTTCAAGAGGCGTTCGCAAGCAAACATCGGGAGGGGTAAACTGTGAGCCTTCCCTGGTTTCTTGGCTCTCTTCTTCGCGCGGTTCTGGCTCTCTGAGAGGCGAGGATCAAAGTCGCGATCCTGGCCCACATATAGACCCTGCTTGAGCCAGACTTTCGACTTGGGCTTCGAGAAGATTTTCTCTTCCTGCGCTTGGTTGTTAGGTTGGCGACCTCCATCTTCCATTGTTGCGCGAGAGCGCTTCAAAGAAGCCGCGGAAGCAGCTGATTTGGATTTCAAAGAAGGTTCTGAAGTGCTACGTCGTAGAGTGCTTTGATTGGAAGCCCTTCCGTCCGAACTATTGCCTGTTATGTTGCGGAAGGCCTCCTTGCGAAGATCCGTCACGCGCGAGGAAGTGCGACGTCGTGCTGCTTGGGCAGCTTCGGTAGCCAGCTGCTCCTCGATTTGATCGCTGGCATCCGTCATCTCGGACTTCCGCTTCAGCATCTTCTTCCGTACAGGTGTCGCATTCTCCGCCTTCGCAATGCTCTCAAGCGAGCCATGCACGACGTTCTTGTGATGCTTCTCGAGGTACTTGGTCGGCGTGTGGATGGCTGTTCCGGCGAGAATCTGCACATTGTACGTGGTGACGGATTTGCGCGAGGCCCTCGCGGGCCGGCGGATCTCACTGCTGGCGGCATCGGGCGCAGTGGTTTGCGCGGGGGCTGCTGTGTCGCTAGTCATCTGCAAGCCAGGAGCCTCCTCGTACACTTCGACAGCGTGTTCGATCTTGGTTATCTCAGACATGACGCTGGCTTCGTCGCCGAGACTGGTAGGAGGCGTCGAGATGGAGGGCGACGCGCTGGACGTGGCGCGAGCATCGCCGTGCTTGTCCGTCTGCACCGTGATGTTGGAGAGGGTAGAGGATGTCGAAGTGGGTGAGTGATCGCGCTCGGCCATGGTAGCGGAGAAGGAGGGTTGCAGCACGCGTCGCGGTCGTTGTCTTGAGGGGCGAGGCACTGACGCGCGAAGGAGGTCGACGGTTTGGGCGGGTTAACGGCGCTCACGAAGCAACACTGCCAAAGTCTACGCGCAGTAGGCAGAGGGCAGGCGTAGAAACGTGCACAACAGTTAATCCGGTTCAGTAGAAAAGGTGAGCATGCATTGGCAGGTGCAGCGAGCCGGACTTAGGAGATGGATGGACGGATGGAGGATTGGAGGTAAACACATGTAGCTAGTCAGTCAGCCAATTAGGCCGTCCCTGTCTATCCAGTGTTACCAGCACCAGCACCCCTAGCACTCCGTCTCAACCCTAGCACATATAAGCACGCCTCTGGGTGCAAGTTCACTGAAGAAAAAAACACTCTAGGTAAATAGGCACATTGAAATAAAACCACAGTCCATGCATACAAGTGGTCGAATGGTGCCTTGCTATGCAATCGCGTATCATGAAGGAGTTATTACTTAAGATGGGCTAATCTATGATTAAGCTGATCAGAACCGTCGTCTCATGCCACAGTCGCATCTGCAGCGTCATGTCCAGACCTGCTACTTGGGCCCTGGAACGCCTCCGACCCGCGAACATCCTGCATCTCCACTCCGCCGCCCTGCTGCTCTGGAGCCAAAGGTGCAGTGCGTTTATCTCTGCGCGGGCCAAACCTCTGATCGCCTTCCTCGTACCTTCTCTTGAAGTGCAGATATGTCGGCGGACGCGGTCGTTGCAATACAGCGATCCAGTTTTTCAAGACTGAGCCCTGTGTAAAAGGTCTATGTCGATCCTTTTTAAGGAACTTGTGCGAGTTGAGATATTCACGTGTCGTCTCGCCCCTGCCGACCAAGAAGAGATGGTACACACCAAGGCTGAAGGGATATGACCATCCCAGGAGTCCATATATACACATGGCAAAGGGCACACGCCATCGATCAATAGCCTCACCAAAAGATGCTCCATTTTGTGCTCGCCAGACCAAGAGATGTGCCAGGCTAGCGCCTAGGAGAAAAAGCCCTAGCAAGGTGGTGGCACAGACGAAGACGAAAAAGTAACGGTAGTTGCGGCGTCCCACGCAGTTGTTGAGCCAGACGCAATGATGATCTTGCGTCTCAATGCAGTTGTCACACACACGGCAATGGTGAGCACGTGGGGGTCGCCAGATATTGCAACTCTTACAGTACTTCGTCGGCACTTCCATAGCAGCATTGGTGCCGGTTGCGGAAACGACCATGGTCCACTCAGTGGTGGGAGGTCCGAGATTGAGCGGGTCGTCATTAGGATTAGGCGGAGGAAATGGATGTAGATTCCGGGGCAGTATCTGTAAGAGTCAGTGATGTTCAGAATGTAGAGGGTGCATGACATACGCCGGGATCCGAAGCGGACGCATGGAAAAACGAGGAAATGGAAACTAGAAGCAAGTATGCAAAGAGAATGGGTATCGAAGGAGAAACGTGGGTCCATAGCCAAGGTGCCCTGTAATGATAGTTAGCATAGGTGACAGCAGCCGCAGGGAACGGTGTACGAACGAGAACCCGAAAAAGAGACCAGCAGGTAAAATGATTAATATAGCCGTGGCTACGTTAACCGGCCGGTCTCGCGTATTTTGTAGCCTGCCGCCCCAGCAAAACGCAGTATTGCCAGAGAAGTACTGATAGTTCTTGCCCAACTCCCGCTTGACTGCTTCTTTGGTAGCTTCCTTGCGGGCTAGCCTAGGGGAGGATTCGGCGGACGTAAGCTTCTCATGTCCTTGATGGGGTCGCATCTGAGCTGAGCGCCCATCGCGACTAGATAGCATAAAGCTGGATCCAAAAGAACGAGGGGATTTGTTGGGCGTTGGGTCCTTGTTGGAATTATGGCCATGGGTGTTGGATAGGTCGAGATGCTGAGGCCTGGGCCGCTGCAGAGGTGTAATACTTTCGCCACGACTACGCACTGTCTCCGCGCCTGTGGGCGTGGTGTTGGCAGTGGTGCGGTCAGGCATGTCTCTGTCGGTAATGTCTGTGCCGCGCGAAGGCGGAGACTGCGGGTCATGCTCGTGGTGGAGGCCCAGCGTCGGGGCACCCCGGATTGTTTGTGTCGACCCTGTGCTTTGGCGGTACGGATTGCTACCCTCCTCGTGTGTAGCCTCTGAGTAGAGCGAGCTGTGACCGAGGAGGGAGGTGGGGCGCTGGTTGCGCTGTTGTTGGAGACGCTGCGAGCTCATGGGGCGAAAGAATCCGTGGGCGGCCAGCGGAACATGAGTTCTACTCGTCGATGTCGTTGGGCGACTCTGGTGTCCGATACTGCCGGCGACGCTCATGCCGCCTCGTCGCGCGGGGCTGGCCTGCGACCATCTGTTCTGGCTGCCCGAGTTTGCAGTCGCAATGGACGACGGCCGGGACGGCGGCAGGCCGGGCTCTCCTGCTGGGCCCGTCATGCCCAGCACGCGGCTGCCAGTGGAGCTGCGCTTCTGTTCGGACGGAGTCATGGCCATGGTGTCGTTGTTGTTGCCGGCGCTATCACTATCTCTACACGCAGCATGACATCAAATCGTTGCAACTTGGAGCTGGAGGGGAGGCGCGACCGGATTTCAGCGCGTCGTCGCGACGGGTACGGAGAGCGCAGGTGGGCGAAGACGGCAGGCGGAAGGGGAAGGAGCGACTGGAAGTGAGTGAATGGAAGGGCGGCGGCGCCAAAGGTTAATGGAAAAGTCGACTAAGACGTGTGATTGTGCTGAAAGGGGCGCATAAAGTTGATGCTCGACCCTTCGACGTTGCCCGGCGCACTGCAAGGTCCGCCTGTCTCTTTCCGGAATGGCCGTCGCTGTGACGCAGCCGCGAAGCTTGGCGTCCGCGAGATTCAACATCGAACCACTGCTCCCGCGACGCACGCAACCCATTTCTCGCAGACCACCCACGCCAATTGCACCCCACCATGTCCTCCATCATCGCCCGCTCGGCCTTCCGCGCCGCCCCGCGTGTCGTCCGCCCTACGCCCGCTTTCCGACGATGGGCCAGCGCCGCCGCTGAGGGCGAGAGACAGGCCGGCAAGGATGCCCTCAAGACAGGAGCAAAGCGCGACCCGGAGCTCTACGTACGATGCCGACACGCCCGCCGGAACATATGAGACGGACAGCTGATTTCCTGCAGGTGCTCTTTGCTATCATGAGCGGCGTTTTCGGTCTTGCAGGATGGCACTTTTGTAAGCTCCCTGCCATTTCGATTGTGCCTCGGGCGCCAACCTTCGCATACTGACAATTGCAAGCCCGCTCTCCCACCAGCGCCTCGTCGGAACGATCCGTCGCCAAGGCCTCAAACAGTGAGCCCTGGAAGCAGGATGGCGGAGCAGGCCCCTACCAGTACCACCCTGGAGGTGACACCAGCGTCAAGAAGGATGCGCCTTCCGCTCTTAACGTCGTTGTCATCCCCAATGTCACTCTCCCCAAGGTAAGCTGGAGCCAATTGTGAGCCAGAAAGTTGACTGTACTGATGAGGACTGCAGGAGCTCCACGACACATACAACAAGTGGGGCAAGGATGGCTACTAAACATGCAAACTGCTGTCCACTACCCAATTTCCAAGTGAAGACCCATGGCAGTGGGGTACGGAATTCTCTTTTCGTTATACATCTGTATATAAGAACTCCATTGATGCCACTGCATAGATTAAACAAATCTTTTTTACTTTTTTCCTCATATACATGTGCATCATAATTTCGGTGCCATTGGCAACGCATGAGCAGCAAGAACGCCAGACGAATTTTTATCGGGAAGCACTACAGTCGTGTAGCTCACTATACCCCGAATGCGTATATGTACATCATGACCCACGTAGGTAATGCTAGGAAACTCTGTGCCCCACCCAAGTAGAGAGATACACGCCATGCCAGAGACCATAGGACAAGAGTGTCCAGGCTTTTGTCGTCGCAGGCTATCCCTATGCCTAGTCCTTCGCGGATACTGCTGTGAGCACCCGATTAAGTGAACCGGTAGAAAGTAGTCTATGTATGGGTATCTATAAGTGCGCTCTCAGTCCGCATGTCCGGCCCGTCAAAGACAATCAAGCCGCGCTTGGTAGCCTCCTCTTAATCTCGTCGATCATGTTGCTCCGCTCGACCGGTACACCATTCTTCTCAGTGTCGTTCTCGTCCTTGATTCCGAGGGTTTTGATCTTGACCTTGCCGTCTTTGAGTTCGTCCTCGCCAAGAATGACGGCGAGCGGAACACCTGCTGTTTCAGCTTGCTTGAATTGTTGTGGAAGCTTGGGCTTCAGTTTGTAAGAAAACTCGGCCTTGATGCCTGCAGCCCACAGCTCTTGAGCAACCTGCATACGCTCCGTCAATAGGCCGGTGAAGCCCTTGCCACCAAAGGCCATAACGAAGACATCTACGTCCTTGGCGCGTTGTGTCGACTGGCCGCGGGCCTTCATGATGCTGATAATTCGATCAATGCCGAAAGAGATACCAACGCAGGGAATGGGTTTGCCGCTGAACATGCCCACCAGCCCGTCGTAACGACCACCTGCGGCGATACTTCCTACACCAATCTCTTGTTTTTGGCCTTTCCCAGTCGGCGCCGAGCCTTCTGTAACAACCTCATAGATCAGACCAGTGTAGTAGTCTAAACCACGAGCGAGTGAGAGATCGAAGGAGACATTCTTGCGGGCGCCAAAAGCGTCGAGGTATGCGAAGAGCTGCTCCATCTCCTTAACACCTTGAATGACATCTTCTGATTTGGAGAGAGTCTCGTTCGTCTTGAGATACTCGATGATATCGTCTCCACCCTTGCGCTGTACCCACTCTCCAATTTTGTCCGCAATGTCCGCAGGCAGTCCCTTGGTCTCCATCTCTGTTTTCACCTCAACCCATGGTAGCTGCAACGCGTTAGCAACTGACAGAATACTATGGTTATTCTTCTTACTTTGTCTAGCTTGTCCACTGCAGAGCTGATTGGCCGTATCAGTTCGTCCTTGACACCAGCTGCCTTGAACATGCCGTCCAGGATCTTCCTGTGATTTATCTTGATTGTGTATGAGTCCCACTTGAGCGCTTCGAAGACGTCGGTTGCGATCTTGAGGACTTCCGCATCGGGAATCATGGCGTCGTACGAGCCCGCAATGTCGAAATCGCACTGGTAAAACTCTCGCATACGTCCCTTGGTCATTGCCGGTTGGTCACGACGGTACACCTTGGCGATTTGGTATCTCTTGAAGTTCTGCACACTAGGGTTCATGGCGAGCCATCGTGCAAGCGGGACTGTAAGATCGTAACGCAGTGAGCAGAGCTCACCACCTTGATCCTGTAGATCGTATATCAACTTCGAGTCTTCTCCATATTTGCCGCTGAGGATCTCTTTGAGTTCGAAGACAGGCGTGTCGAGTGTCGTGGCTCCGTGGCGCTTGAAGACTTCCGTCACGGTCTGGAACAGGTGATCGCGAAGTGCGGCATCCTCGCCGGTCCCTTGGACAGTCAGTCAATCATTTGCGCGCATAGAAGCAAGACATACAGTCGCGTGTGCCCTTGGGCACCTTCAGGTTGAACGACTTGCTCTTGTCTTCTTTGCCCATATCGTCGAAGCCTATAAGCGAATTTTGTGTGCAGAAGCGGCGGCGGGGTGCGAGAACGCGAAGGCGGATAGGTTTTGGGCTGACTTTGCGGAATGCGAAAGTGTATCGGAGGGCGTCTTGGAAGAGCGCGGGGCAGACAAAGTGGGGTGAAGTGCGCTGCATGGACCTGGAAAGTGACTCAATCGCCCAAGAGCAAGCGCGCATGTGCAAAGAATCGTTCTATTCCGCGACTTGGCCCGTGCATATACGTACCGACGTCACAGCCATAGCAAAAGTATAGTCATAGAATTACAATAATTAGTTTGATGCATGGGTATCTAATGATGGCTGTGCTTGCAGCTACCATGCTGCTCGGAATTCTAGCAGGTCCTTCTGTCCGTAGCACTCTGCTACTACCGTCAGAATCATGTCGATGGCTACCTTGGTGTTCCAGTCACTCTCGGTCAATGGAGTCATGGCCTGTGATCTTGTCTTTGGCGGTCCGGAAGCGGGTGTCGATTTTCCAGGAGTCATATCGCATAAATTCACTCCTCTGCGTATCTCTTGCCGCTGTCTCTCAGCCTCGGCTCGCGAGAGATGGTGGAAGGTTTGTGTTGGCGGCGTATCAGGTACGGGCATCTGGGAGTGTACCAAGCGATCGCCGAGTTGTGCAAGAAGACGTGCCCGAGCTTTTTCAAGACCTCCGTCATCCAATACACCCTCGGTTTGTTGTTCGTCTTCGGATATGATCATTTCTGCGCCAGAATCATCCGCCTCTTCAGTTACTGTGTCTTGGGCCAGCACGACGTCGTCAGACTTCGGAAGAGCAGAGTGCGATACAACATCTTTCTCGTCAGAAACACAGCTTGGATTATATCCCTCTTCTTTCGTGGAAACCTCTTCGTTGCGGGTATTGAAATCGGGAACGTCTGATCTGGTATCTCTGTCTTCTGGTACATTGCGCGTCGATTTCGCTTGATCCGTGCAGAGTCGCCGCGTTAGTCGACCAGCACCGAGTCCCAAATCCCGGATCCTGCTGACGCGTTCATGGTCCAAAGTTCCGAAATCTCCGACCAGGGCTAACAAAGTCCATATCCAACAGCTCTGTTGACGAGATACCTCGACTGATCGTCCCAAGGCTAACGTGCATCCTTGGAGAGCAATATACAGCGTCGATTCATCCATGTCGGCGACCTCTTCGAAGTTTGGGAAATTGCTCTCTATGATTTCCGACCATTGGTACTTTCCAACCTTTAATGTGTTTGTAGACTTCTTTGCTGGTTTTGATACCTGTCTATGCTTCCGGATCTCAGCGAGCTTGATGCGGAGATTCTGAAAGCGCTGAAGAAGCATGTTGTTGCAACCTTGTTGAGGATCAACAACGGACGGGTCTTCCTCCCACTTAGCAGCATCGTGTTCTCTATCCACAGCAATCCAAGTTCCCTCTTTATATATGACGCGTTGCTTGTGCGCAGGAGTTGTGTAGTGCGGTTCGTCATCATCTGAATCAACATCACCGGCGTTGAAATTGTTCGGCGCCACGAGCAACGTGGGAATCGCTGATGCTTCGGACCTGTCATACACGTAAGCAATATACTCAATATGCCAAATATGCAAGAGCGACTCTCAAGCGACGAAACAAGTACTCACCGGACACTGTGAAGGTATGCTAATGCTTCGCTCGTAGACTCGTCGGACAACTGCTCTTCGCCATCGAGCCCGGGTAGCACCGTCCGTGTTCCATACTCTTGGTATGAGTCCAGAACGCGTGGTCGTCTTTTGGAGTGCGCTGTGTTGCGCTCGATCCTGGCGCGCTTAACTTCAGGTACTTCCTCTTGCGCGCATTTCCTTTTGCCGCTGTATGTCGTTGGAGAAGCTGCCGGAGGGCTTGTAGGAGGTGGCTGTGTCGATATAAGGTAACCGTCAGGGCGCTGTAGTTTGTTGTAGGTCTCACCGTCTTTAGTAACAGCCAGGTTGACCCCCAAGTTTGACATCTTTGCGTTGAGGAAGTCAGTCCTGACTTTAGTTGACAAGTGATTGCGGAGACCAACGCGGAGGTGAGCTACATCGGTCTAGCGTCGCACTTGCAGGGAATGCAAGGTACGGCCGCGAGCTACCAGCATCAACACAACGACTCGTCAGAATAGGATAAGTAGTTTATCTCATGAAATTAATCTATATAGTTATCGCATAATTCTGTCATATTCCTCCTAAGTTTCCACAGCCGACCATTGTATCTGTGATAATATAGCTTTAATATCGCGTCCTTGGAAACGTGATATTAAAGCTTAATCATCATAGATACAATGGTCGGCTGTGAGACCTCATGAGGAATATGTCAGCCAACCGTTCCACCACGCGAAGACCAGTGTGAACGCCAGCAGGCGTGCAGAAGAACTTCAGATTGAACAGTTGGTACAACCAGTCTGGCCTCGTTTGCCCTTTCGATGCCTCTCTTCGTGTGAGGCTCCATGCCTGCCTATCATTGCTCTTTCCTTTCCATGTTCTCTTCTACTGGCTGGTAAGGGTATTTGATCGTGAGACACCAAATGTCCAGATAATCGCAGATTGTCCAGATGACGTCCACGATGAAGCTTCCGTGTACACCTACAGCGAGGCCTAAGCACATGAACACAAAGGCGACTTGGTAAACATCGTTGCCTAGGGCACTTGGCCAGCCCACTCCGATGTGCTCCTGCAGCCAAGGTCCGAGCGAGTCGATGACTCCGTATATCAGAGGATACATGAGCACGTTGCCTCGCGGAAAACGTGATTTCGTGAGGTGAGAGATGATCATGCGACCGACCGAATACGCATTGATGAGACCCGCGTAGAAGATGAAAGGTACCAAATGGTGGTGCAGGATCATTGGCTGCAGGTACAGGTATGCAACGATAAGGACCCAGGCGGAGCCGAAGGTGAGGAGACCGAGGAGAGCAACGCGTGTCTTTTCACCACGGGCACGACGTGCCTTCATTACATTTAGTGCGCTGTTTGGTTGTCAGTTTGCTCTTCCGTATTGACTCGATTGTTCATACCTCGAAACAGTGTTAAACACGAGCACGACACCTCCATAGACCATATACCACTCATTCCATGCCATGTTGTAGAAAATTTCCGGGATGATGCCTTCTTTGATTCCGAGACTTTGGATCATGGAGCGTTGCCAGAAGCTACCCCCACCAAGGTAGGCTGTTAATGCATACACGATGCATAACGTTATGATACCCTCAACTGGTCCGGAAATTACTCCGAGAGTCAGCGTATGTGTGTGGTATTCATCCCACGTTTGCACGTAAAAGGTCAGCGAAGCTGCAGTAATTAGTAACAAGACCGTCAAAACTAGGCGGGTAACGGGTCTATGCTAGCTTACATGCAAATAGCGTAAGAACTGTCTTCCAGCCTTGGCCAAGGTTCATCGTTGCAGAGAACAATAGAACTTCCAATGTCGTATTGATCGCATCGACTCCATGATCGAACAGTTCGCCCAGAGGCCCGCTCTGGCGGGTCCTTCGGGCCTGACTTCCGTCTACAGCATCGAATGTCTGGTAGAGGAAGAGTCCGATCGCCCAGCTGGCGTATACCCAAGGCGGACAATCCTGGTCGAGAGTTGGTGTATACCAGAGCAGAGTAAGAAAGTTGGCTACGACGAATCCGAAACCAGAAAGAGTTATCTGTGGAGTTGTGTAAGTGGAAAAGCAAGCATTTGCAGCGGGACTATAATGTTCGCTTCAAGCCAAACTTACGAGGTTGGGTCTGATACACGTTAGCATTGCTCTGTATGAGACACCAGTAGTACTTACGCCATCCACATGGGAAAACATTTTATGACCACATGATTATAGAAGGGCTTGAGAACGTATTGCGAAAGCAGACTATGATCCACGCCAGAGTACTTGTACTCCCTGAGCTTCGGTAGCTTGTCCTGTCGTATGTACACCATGATTTGTAGCTCCTCTTTTGACCAGCAGCTGTCGGCGAGCTGTTGTGGGGTTCTGGCAGCGAAAACGATTTGGGCGGCGTTTGTTGTTGCTTTGTGGGTGGAGTGCCAAGCGCAACATCGTATGACGTAGCGTCTGGCCGCCCGGTTTTGCCAACCCTTTACGGTAGCGCGCAAACCGTATGTGTTGAGCAAGGAGCATACCTGTCATACACGATCCAAGGGTGTTTTACAAAAAAGCAGGATTGCTATCATCATTTGATATTGGTCAGAGGCTATCTCGCAAATTTGTAACTAGCACTGGTATGACCCTTTGCTGAAAAGTAGCATCACATGCTAAACCACTTCCAACTCCGCCAATCAGACTAGCATCATTCTGGAGTATCATAACCTATTTCCTTCTTGTTTGTGGCTAGGCATGTATCGCGATCACCTACTGTAGGCAGTGTATGGTCGCGTTGTATACCGAGATACACGGTGTGTGGGGCCAGCTCGGTCTGATCGAAGCCTAAGCAACAGTGCTCCAGGAGCAAGGAATTAAAATCCTGCTCTTCATGGTTTGGATGAGCGGCACTGTCTTGTGCACTGTTTCGCCCCAGCCCTCCACGCTCCAGCTCTGCTCGCGGCGAACCTTGCGTTCTTCTAGGTTCGCGAACTGCCATAGATGATGTACTGTGTTGAGATCGCCGATCTGAACGAACCAAGCACCTACACCCTCCATGACCTCCCGCCGAGCCTTCAAGCCACGTCTCCAATGTGTCTCCCATTCTAGCAGGTTGCCTGGATGCAGTGTATACGAGCGCAGTTCGAATAAGCCACCGAGTTGGCGGGGTGGTGTTGTTGGCCAGAAGGAGAACTCCTGCATGAGAGAGTTTTTCTTGGACATGATCAATTTCTTGAGTTTGGCGTCGAACTCAGGGAACTCTGGGTGAGACTGGATGTTGTGTAGCGATTCGTGATAACCCTCGTAGCGTTGGTATTCCCAGATGTGCACTATAGCGCATAGTCAGTACACGTGACAACTACAGCCCCGGGAGCGAATCGCAGTCTTACCGAAAGTGTTGCAGTCTCCCACTTCAGTCCGCCAGCTACCTACAAGATGGACCTTGTTCTCGGGGATAGAAGCCATCTTCGGATACCAACTTCCAACCAGCTCAGTGTATTCTTCGACCTTGTCTGGCTGTACTTCGTGGAACACAATCGAGTGGACGTATTTACCGCGAGCCAGGACCTGAGAAAAGCTGCGCTCAATGTCCTTGTCGAGTTCGCGGCCCTCGGGGGTACCGTAGATGAGAGATGACAGCGCACCGCCCTTCTTCTTGCCGTTCTCTTGCTCACGGGCGCGAGCCTCTTCTATAGTTGATCGAGTTAGCGCTCTTGAGTCGCCCAAAGTGGGTGGTAGGCGACGGACTTTCTTCCTGTTCCTTTCGCTTCTGAGCTGCGGCCAGACCGTCACGGAAGCTCTTCTGCTTCTCATTGAAGCTAGCAGCACTATCAGGCGTGATGTCTGCCAGAGTAGGAGCTCTGACTGGGCTCTGTGTCGGAGGCCCGGTACCGAATGCCTGAGACCGGACAGCTGTGGCACATAGCGGGGAGAGGATGCCGCCGCGCACGCTGGCACAAACACGACGTGTGAGCATGATGGTGGTGTCAGAATTCGAGCTCGGGGCCGAGGTCAACTTGAGTATTGCTTCTGACAGCGTGTGCAGAGCGGAGTAATGGTGGTGAGGGTCGTGTTTGGCTCGGTCTGGGTGGGTGGCTTGGAAGCTTCCCCTCAATCAACTGCAGCTCTCCCTGTCAAGCCGCTAGCGTGCCGCTGTGTAGATGGGGCTCTGGGGTAAGCGCGACCCACACTGCAAGCTTTCCCCACTACAGTACCCAAGACGATTCATACCTACAAACACGGTGCCTTAGCAGGTTACTGCAAAGCATCACGGCTGCTACCACTAACTTTGGTCATGCAATTCAAGTCCCGAGTCTTGAACTTTCTTTTACAGTCAATTCATATAGCTCTAAAGGTCAAAGATGTGTGCACGAACTCAGCACGAGAGTCGTTGCATCTTACTTCCAATCATAACAATCGTACTTGCCACAGCCAATGCTTCCAGAATTACAGCAACTGCCATATTCTCTTACCACATCGTCTTTGACATACCCATGCTCTACTACGACCGTATGTGGAATGCCACTTATGAATACGATAACCGTCCCGCAAAGATAAAGACCACAATATGCTACGCACTGCACACCTCGAGATTGAATGAGAATGTGATAGGTACCAAGGCATCGTGGCAGAAAAAAACTTGTGTCCCTGGGAACATGAATGTTTAATCCTCGTCGAATATCTGGAGTACGTTATCCAGAATAGTTATGATAACGCGGGCTTGGAGGCCGGCGTCGGCCATGTTGTTGCCTTTGTGAGGTCCCATTATGGATGGCCTAGATAACGTCAGTTGATGCACGTAAATCTCGATGGGCGACAACTTACGCCCAGCAGATGCCCAAGTTTGCAGTGCTCATACGATTAACTTCAGAAGATTGCTGCACACGATGTAAATGCAGAACCAGGGCACGAAGCGTCGCATAGTTCGGATCAGGCAAGGCATTGATCAACGCATGCATGGAGTCTCGGCGCATGGTCTCGTCATCGATACGTGCAGCATCGATATACTTGCCGTAGAATTCGCGAGTAAGCAAAGGGTCAGGAAGCTCGCGGAAGAATTGTTTCAGCAATCCAGCCACACTGTTCACGTCGTGTTGGAACGCTTCTGGGTTACGGAAATCCACCTGGGAAGCATCTGCACAGCATTAGTTAAAATCGCCAATAGATCTTCACCATAACGTACCACTATCGAAAAGAGCTTTCATCTGCTGAATGTGTGACGAAGTCCCAGGGATACGATAGATACCCTCTACCTCTAATCCGTATAGATCCACGGCCTGTATACACTGGTAAACCACCATGGGTACAGGGGAGCCATCTCGGTGGAAAAGGTCTTCCAAAGTCACGCCAAAGACAGGATTCACTGGGGGTTGAGCATTATTGTAGAGAACGCCACTGGTTTGCTGTGCGGTAGCCTGGCCAACGGGTCCACGAGGATAGTCTGGCTGGGAGTATGGGTTCTGCGTGACAGGTGAGTAGGGCGAGCTAGTGAAGTGTGGTATTGGGGGCTGCGATGGTTGCGTTTGCAGTGACGAAGACGGCGGCTGTGAGGTAGTTCCAAATGAGGGTTGCTGTAATGGCTCATGAGGAGGAGGGCCCTGGGGCGACAGAGGATTCGCGTCCGGTTGTGGCATGGAGAATGAGGGCGGCGGCTGACTCTGCAGCTGCTGCATAGAGGCACGACGGTTACCAATTGAAGCCGCTGGTGGTGTTGGATGTGACCGTGTCGCCGCCTGTGTTGGGTGCTTCACATACTGTAGCTCCGATCTGGCCATAGGTGCTTTAGATGCATGGCTCAAGATGTACTCGTCAAAGTCCCGCTCGCTGTTGATCTGGTAGATTAACTGGTTGATGCTGGGTGGAGTTTGAGCGGTTGAGCCTTTCAGCGGCTGTGGGCTGACAACCTGGCCGTTGTTGACGACGAGCTTTTCGTTGAACGAGGCTGCCGCAGTGTTAGTGACGATTTACGTAGGGGTACAACAGACTTACCGTATTTCTGCATCTCCATTGTGAGCGCGGCATCGGTTTCCTTGATAAGATCCAGCAGTGCAGTGACGGCCTGGGGACGCAGAGTCGCGACGAGCTCTTTACGAGAAACCTGGGCCGTCTGCACCTTGCTGGCATAGTCCTGGTCTGCCGCCTGTGTCTTGCGCTGCAGGTCCTCCTCGTGCTGAGCGGCCGACTTGGGTCCTTTCAAGCCAAACTTTCTGCCTGCGCCAGTATCGCCTGTCTTGACGCGATCAAGGTCTTCAGCGAGCTGGTCGTACTTGGCCTTGGCCTTCTCGGCCAGCCGTTCGGCGTCTTGCACCTTGTTCTCTGCGGAGAGACCCTGCTGCTTCCACGTCTTGCGGCTCGCATCCATCTTGTTGGATAGTTGCAGCAGATTCTCATGCATGGCGTGCAGAGCAAGGCCGAACTGGGTGCCATTGTCGGCGATGCGCTCGTTCGCATGGAGAACCTGCTCGAACTGCGTCTGGTAGCTCTCGTGCCGCGTATCGGGCTTTCGTACGCCATCGAGGGTCAAGCGGCTCAACTTCTTGAGGCTGCCGGCATGCTCCTCTTCTAAGGCTCCTCGGCGCTTGAGGAAGCTGGCGAAGTCCTGCCGGGCGTGTTAGCGCATCCGAGTGCAGTCGAGTCGATTAGGCCGTCACTGACTCTGGCGCTCGCGATGCTAGCCTTTAGGCGGTTGAGAAGGGTCGCAACGCCCACATCAGAGTGCAGGATATCGTGGACGCGCTGCTGCGTTTGCGCATCGTGAGGCGCAGTCCGTTGTTCGGGCGAAGCGGGAGTTGCATCTTCAATGGGCGAATGTTGGGCACCGTCCTGGGTAGGGGACGATGCGTTGTTTAGATCGGGGTTGAAGCTATCGGTGCTTTCCATAGGCGGAATTGTGGGCGGGGCAGCCATTGTAGGCGTAGATATCGTAGTGGCCGTTGTCTACGTAGTCAGTCGTGTTGTGGTCGGACTGCGCAATGCCGGGTGGTTCGGTGGAGATGCTGCACGGGGCAAGCATGCAACGTCATCCTTCCCGCCGTCAAGTTCTGCCTACCATCTACACGCGACCCATCAAGCACTGCAGCACTGTCGACCTCTGGCAGCGCCCTTTTCTTCATTTACCACTGCCGTCCATCCATTGCTCACCTTCGCAATGTCCAACGGCTTGCCAGATGAGGTGGTTACCTGCCTCCAGAACGCCCGCTTTGTGAGTCCTCTCCAAAGACATTCATCTCATCTTCATGTTCCCATCTTGGAAATTACTTTCAACGCCATGTCTCATCTCTGCATACTGCTACTTTTCTTTGTTTGCCTGTTTAATTCCTCTGAGACCTATGCAATCAAGTCTTGTTTGTCATATCCGCTATGCAGGCACGTGCTTCATCTTCACAACGCATCCCTAGCGCATCCTATACGTACGTGCCCAGTTCTAACAGACTTGGACAGCTCCATCTTGCAACATGTTCGGACAACATTCCTCATGTCTCGTTGATGAATTATACCTACCTACCTAACACCCCTTATTCTCAAACTCCCATCATTATCATGACAACACCTAAAACGTCTCGCAAGACACAGAATCTCGAGGCGAATACCGTAGTTTCTCTTCTGGTACACGATTGGATATCTCATCGGCCTCCAACGTTAAACCAGTCAGGTCGTTCACCCTCACCATCGGGTCCTGCGCCACGTTCTGGATCATTGGCTGAGCTCCTCCTTGGCATGAACACTGCGTCCCTAAGTCGTATAAGTGCCACCATCAATGGAATTGCTGAGCTTGTACCTTCTGGTTCTGAAGAAGAGACATGGTACAAAGCCCAGCACCTAGCCAACAATACCTTCGGTCAGGGTGGTGAGGATACGTACTCAAGTTCTCCCGTTGGAGAGGGACTGTGGGGTGGTGGTGGGTTAGGCTCGCAAACAGCTGCAGCAGATGAAACTTTAAGAGAGGGTGACGGAGGCACCAAATGCTACGTCGAAGGAGGAGAGGTCAGGGTTGTTGTGGTCAAGGTTCGTGACGGACGCATCGCAGATTGGAAAGGTCAAGTCAGAGATTGGAGTCTCTCAGATAACACGCAAGATTCTAGGCCCAACGGCGTGTCATCATGATCATTGTTGTGGGTATCGCTCGGGACACGAAGGTAAGAAGCCGCTCCAATGTTGGTCGGCAGTGCTTCATACCAGAACATGGACCCGGAGTTCTTCGAGACAATTAATGACTGTCACCTGCATATAGTGGGGCAATGAGACAACGCAAGTTGCGATCTTTTTTCTTCTTCTAGAGGTGAAGGTGAACACTGACGCTCTGGCCGGCTGCCTGTCTCGCCAAGCCCTTAAGCCCCTACTGCTGTCTTTGTTCTCTCAATCACTCACCAACACCAACCATTCAATTTTCTTTTCTGAATAATTTATTTACAATACCCTTACAACAGTACCCCACGCATCCATGGACACTGCAGGTTTCGTTTCACGGCTCTTGCGCAACCCTGCTGAGGCGGAGGTCGACAGATTTCTCCAAACTCGCAGTGGCAAGCAGATGGTTCAGTTGTTCCGTTTGATACCAGAGCCCGCAGCACAGGCTGCGCTTACAGCGAGGCTGCTGCTGCTTGCTCCCCAAGTCATGAGCGGTCGCCATCGCTTCGTTGCCCCAGAGAAAGCTAAGAAAGCTCTTAATGCCTTTGTTGGATTTCGGTGTAAGTACACTACTCCCCACCGCAGCGAAATCAATTGACCTTTACAGGTTACTACATCTCAATCCCTCATTTCAAGTCATGGCCCATGAAGAAGCTCTCCAACCTCATCGGACTCCTATGGGAGACCGATCCAAACAAGTCACTATGGTCGTTGATGACGAAAGCCTGGTCCGCCATTCGCGACCAAATCGGCAAGGACAGAGCTCCGCTTGACCAGTTCTTCTCACTCATCTGCCCTCACCTCAACATGCCTGCGCCAGAGTCATACCTTGCGGTTCTTGGATGGTCTGTCTCAATCAACGAAGAGGGCGATCCCACGATCTCCCATGATGGCTCTTCCAGGTCTGCCTGCGTCGGTGCTGGACTTTCGGACACTGCGCTATCTGTTCAAGACATTATTGCCTATGTTCAGTCAATGGGATACGCATCTACCTATGTCGCTGATGTCAACACCACATCACCAACTTTCCTCGGACATTCGGTCACCTCCACTGCGGAGAAGAGTAATCTCGCCGGGGCAGCGACACCCGCCGTAGCGCCTGCAACTGACCGTCGCATAACTGCACGCAATAAGCGCCGCGCGAAGCGAGAGCTCGCTAAGGTTACTGGCTTGAGGGCAAACCTTGAACAAGATATCCTCAACGCGCATAGGGTTGACCCTGGCCGCGCAGGCGAGTACATGCCTGACCATTACCCCACTCCTGCCGCTGTCAACTACGACCCCATTCCATTCTACGATCAGCTTGTCGGTTACTTTGACAGCCCGATTCCCAACTTCCAAGACGATGCAGCCATGTCTTCTGGCGCAACTTTGATCGACGCTACACCTGTCTCTGACGACACCCTTCATGGCGAGATGGACGACATCGTCTCAAACGCGGCTTTCTTTCAAAGCGACTTCGATGCTTTCCGCCCCGGCGCCAACGAGGATGCAACCCTTCCCACCTTCGACGATGTTTTCAACGCTTAACATCTCCGTCACCTGAACTGTGTCTTCATAAATTATCTATCAAGAGCACGCACATCATTCCATCAATGACTCGAGCTTCTTGAGAGACTAGTGAACTCCACACGTCGTCACTCATTTCCCGTCCACATATTGCGTATAGTTCTCGCTTCTCGATGTTCCCAGAGGCTGATGACTTAAATTCGGCAACGCATTCGACTCGCCTACATACCTTGCAACTATTCTACGGATCGGGCAACTCCCTTGCTTTGATAGCACCCCTTGGTTTCGCCCCAACCAAAAGTTCTTGTCTGCCACTGATCTACCTTCGTACAAACTTGGTTCCAGTCGATCTAGAACACTCGTTCATGATGGATCCTGCTAGACTCTCAATGGGAGACTACGAAGCAGTACCAACTATCAAGCGCGCTTTCCCCCTTTCCCCGTTCACGATCACGACTCACGACCTGTACTACCCCGCATTGTGCACACGGCTGCACGATACCACAAGAAGAGGCTTATGGGTCTCAATGATGGAACAACGGGCATGGAACATACGATTTCTTGACCAAAGTCCTCCATGCGGTTGACGGTCACTATTTCCTTTCCCCCAACGACCTTTTTAGATACCCCTTGGACGTATATTTCGTCAAACGATGTACTTTAGATAGCAGTCGGTTATGCAGCGCAAGTGCCTGGCAACCGGCAAACATATCACTCTCCAAAAGAGACAAATGGAAACTAGATAAAATTCACGAACCTTCCCCTCACCTGCTTGCCCTTGCTTGATCATGACGTGATGTGATGTGGTGTGACTCGCTTACTTGCTTTGATCTACTTGATCACTTGAACATGTGTTGAACTGTAAGGAGGTCTACGTGATATGTGATGGTAACGTATGTGGCTGCATGGAAGGATGTGATAGGCTTGCATGGCGGTGGCGTTTAAGCAAGGAGAGTTTTTGACCCTGCCCCTGAGATTATTCCGAAATAGCCCTTCGTGAGACTGAGGGATTTGTTAGATGCAAAGAGATTACATGTATATCTCCCTGTGGCCATGAATCTTGATATCAAGTGCTTTGTGGCCGCGCATTAGTGTCTCGAGTCCTTGAATGGTCTCGCTACTTGCCAGAGGCGACGCATACCTAGGTATGTTGAGCAGCATCTCTGTGCGCAGATACGCACGTGAACCGCTCATAAGATACTAACAGATACTCTGAAACTCTGAGGTAGTCTTATGAGACCTATGGATCATACAACATAGCTTGGTGTTAGGTTGGGTGCTCAGAAAGGGGGTTCGTTCGCTGACCAGAGCATTGTCAGCGCAACATTGTGTCAAGCCTGGCAAGCGTTTCTCAAGATGATTTTAAAGACATCAAAAAGGATTTGCGAGCGTTCGAAAAGATTTTGCAAGATGACAATTGAAATAGAATGTTTTCTGTGACAGGTAACACATCATCCTCAATATGGCCACAAGCGTGATAACGCTTCTGACATCTCTCAATGATAATTTCAGCAAGTATATCTCACTAACTCGAGCATCTTCATGTAGTATTGGTGTTGGTGAAGCCTTATGGCGATATATGTCCATTTCCCTACGCCCACCTAATACCACTCAGGACCGGACAATACAGCTCACATCGCAGCATTTCTAGTTTTACTGTGTCTGGGTAGAATGCATATATGTGAGGAGACAAGAATAAGAACCAAAGTGGAGTATGCGTGGCTGGACATGTTCTTCCTATTTCCTATATTCATGTATAATTCCTTGATACGACATAATGAGCAGTCGTCTGACTTCCAGCCTATTTCTTTTCGCCCCATACGTGACCCCCATACCCATCTTTATACCATATACGCGATGCCTATCCGTGTCTCCGGCTCTGCCTGTCCTTCTCACAGCAACCTCCGGCCCTTGCAAGTGCCCTTAGGGTTCTCGTATCGCCCTCCTGGCAGGAATTCCCGTGACCCGCATGCCAACATATCTCAAATTTAAGTGTTTATCCTTCATGTCCATGTATCATTCTCGACATCAGCTACCCTTCCAATCACTACACCATATGAACGTGCCACACCGCCACTGCGTACCCACCTCCTTGTGCCCTGTCGGCCCAATTGGTCTAGGGCACATCCAAAATTGCCTTCCACGATTCATACCAGGTTTCTTTGTCGTCATCGAGATGCAAGGTTCACCGTGTTCGCACCGCGGTACCGGTTTCTTAGAGAAGAGTTTTGTCCAATCTTCTTTTGACGCTTCTTGGGAGGCGCGCGGATCGGCGTCAAAGGAGTCAGAGAGTATGGGCGATTGGGGAGGAGGCATTTCCGTGCTGGATTGGCTAGGTGCATCGTTAGTTGCAGCCGGAGAGGCAGGTGCTACTGAGTCTTTGGGTGGCTCTGCATCTGTAGGTTTACTCTGCGGTTGGAAGAAGCCCTTCAGCGACTGCTGGCCCTTAGAAACTTTGGTAGTAGTGGCTGGGGCACTGGATTTGCCTCTCTTGATTGGCTTCTTGGGTGATGCGGATGCTGAAGCGCGTCGCTTTTCAGCCGACTTGAGCGGGCTCTGGCTTGATATGGGGTTGCCGTTGACTGACGAGGACATGTCTGCCATAGAGGCTGCGATCGCTAGTTCCAGGTCTCTGTCCGATTCATCGACGGTCGTACTAGTGAACGACGTAACATCCGTCTTTGGTGGACTTTCCTTGTCGACAGCCGTCGGCGTCGGTGCTGGCGTAGATTTCGGTAAAGCGGGCTTTTTGCTGAACATGTCTCGGATATTCCTTCTCTTCGTAAACTCAGCTAGTAGCTTTCCGCTGAGAGGTGGAACGTCATTGACCGTATCGTACTCTCGTTGTCGTACACCATCTTTAAACATGCCTGCTGGATTCATCAAGTCCAAGATATGAACCTCTTCCTTAACCTCTTCCTCTCCTGTTGTTGGTCCGAGTGACACTGGCACCACGTCTTTTGTGACAGCGTACACCGGGCAATGATCCGACCCCATGAGTCCCTCCTGGATGTTCGCCTCCTTGAACCAGTCCTTGATGGCGATACTGCACAATATGAAGTCGATGCGCGACCCAAAATTGCCTGGTCTAGCATTGATTTTCTGCTCCCAGTGGGTAAACATGCCTTCACGGTCGGGGTGGAATTCTCGACATAGATCATATAGTACTGGCTCTTCCCGCCCCTCATCTCGCTGGCCCGGCACCACTCCATTTAGCAACAGCTGATTGAAGATTCGACGATTCGGCGTACTCAGATATTCCTCATGCGTCATTCCCTCTGCCAGCATGTTATCCTGTGCTCTAGCGGTATCGATAAGATCTCTGGAGACGTTGAGATCGCCCGTGAGTATCACGTTCTTGCCCATCTTCGTCAAGTTCCGTATTCGTGTCTCTAGCGCTGTAAGGAAGCCGATTCGGAAGCCGTCTCGTAGGCCATTGCTGTTCGCTGGACTATAGACGCCGAAAAGGACAAAGGCTGGAAACTCGAGCACCAGGCACCGTCCTTCTGAATCGAGACTATCAGCGTCGAGATCGGGAGGGAGGCAGGCGAGTTGTGATGAGCTGAGGTAGCCGCCAATGCTGGCAGATTCTGGGAGGTCGCGGTACGACGTCGTCGAGCCAGGAGGGCAGAGGGCGCCTAGGACGCCTTCTTCTGCGCGTACAGGCGCACATACGGACTGGCGCGTGTAGATACCAACGCCCGAGTATCCTCACTCGCGTTAGCAGGAGGTCGCAGCGCGAGCGTCTCGTAGTATGGGGAAGTACCCTTTTTGTGCTTTGGCAGACTGAAATAACAGTCCCAGCCGGGTACAAGCACCATGTCATCTGTCAGATCTTTGCGCTGGATCTTCAGCTCTTGCATGATGACGATGTCCGTCTCCAGGATATCGAACATGGCATTGAATGTCCGGTTCGTACTCCATGGCTTGTAGCCAAAGGGATTGCGAATGCCGTTGACATTCCAGGTGGTGATGCGAACCATGGTGGCGTGTATTTCTATGGAGGGCGACAACGAATGTAAACGAAGACCGTCATCACTTCACAATCTCAACTCACACGGAATCCCATCGGGGCATGCAAGCCACAGAACGCGACTTCGCGCGACCGACACGACGTCACATTACCCGGCAACCGAGCTCGCCCACGCTAACACAGCAATCGGGAAACTCCGCATCAGCCCATCCGCCAAGCCTCTGTTTCGTCAATTCGAGCTCCCTCCGTCACACCTCACGCCAACACCAATTGCACCCCATCTCCACTCTACCACGCCGGACAATCGTCGCCATGTTCGCCGCTCGATCCTTCGCCCGTGCCGCGCCTCGTCAGGCTCTCGCCCGCGCCCCTGCCCGCGCCGGCCGCCGCAACTACAGCTCCGAGAGCCCCAAGCAGTTTGCCGGAGCCGAGGACAACGAGTTCAACCGCGAGCGTGCCCACATTGCTCAGCACGCTGCCGAGTCTGGCGAGTTCTGGCGCAAGTTGTCGCTCTAGTAAGTACACGATTACTTGAGGCGGGTGTGGACTCAGAGGAGGGGGGAACGTGGGAGAGACGGAGGATTGTGGACGAAGGGAGACACGCGGGAAGACCACGCCATTGGAATTACCCCTTGAAACGAGAAATTGATGGAGCAAGGAAACATGCTAATTCTACGATAGCGTTGCCATCCCCTGCATCATCGTCGCCAGTGTCAACGCCAAGGTCAGGTGGGATGCTCACTGGGAGCACGTAGCCCACGAGGAGCACGAGAACCCTCGCGCAGAGAGGCCCGAGTACGCGTACCAGAACATCCGTACCAAGAACTACTTCTGGGGAGACGGTGACAAGGTAACATGTCCTTGGCACAGGATGACATATATATGTACTGACATGCAAATAGACCCTCTTCTGGAACGACAAGGTCAACTACCACAAGAAGGACGAGTAAACGCTTACTCGGCACGCTTTCAAACATTGATATCAAGAAACAGTCGAGCCAGCATCTAGACCAAGTGTGGGGTTGGATGTGTATATAGCACAACGAGCGCAAGCTGAGAGTAGACCAGCAATACATTTCCTTTGTGTCTGCATTGTTGACTGTGACACAAATTCTACTGGTAGTCAATCTCACATCTCTTGCGATCCATAACCCTCATCCCAAACGAGGTTATGTCTCATAGCCCATTCCTCTGCCACTTTTTCATCACCCCTCAACTTTGCAATAATCGCCTTTTTCATCAACTGATCGCACTCCCCGTCCAAATATGCCGCTTTCTTGAAGCATTCCGTCGCCCGATCGACGTAGAGTTCCGCTTTGGTAATATTGCCAGAACAAGTGCGATTTGATGCTTGCTCGCCTGCTTTGGGTGTCGAGGGGCGTTGGGATCCAGTATTAGAAGTTGGCGGCGACGCGTCGGGATTACCAAGGCCCATACACGAGTCTGCTAGGTGTGAATAGAGAGTGCCTGTAAGCATAGTATCTGCGCCTTCCAATGCCTATCATAGACGTCAGTGTAAGTAACTGCACGGTGTCTGGAAATGAGAAATCAACATACCTGCGGCAACACAGCCTCGATCAATCTCTTCGCTTCTCGATACTCTCCCAACGTATTCAATATTGCACCTAGACATCCCACCGCAGTCCACAGCGAGCTTGCAAGTCGTGTCCTGAAACTAACACTCGCCGCTCGGAGCGCTACACTGAAGCCCCTCTCTGGTCTACCCACTCTTCTCCACAGCTCTGCTTGCATTAGAAGAACCGAGATACGCTGCTGAACATCTGCGTTGTCTTCTTTGAGAGATTGAGCAAGTGAAGAAATACATTGGTAGGCGAGAGGAAACTGCGATGTGGAAATAAGGTAGTCGATATAGGTTTCGTGTTGAAGAAAGGAGAGTTCCGGGTCGAGAGAGGGCATGGAGGGTGTGGCTGAAGGCTTGAGTGTCTCAAGCAGATGGGAAGCGGTTGACCAGTCGGATCTGCTTCAAAGGTTAGAGTTGTTAACTGGGACTTGAATCTATGTAGAGAGGACGTTACCTTCGGATAGCTCTCCTGAGCTTGATAAGACCAATGCAAAGTACCAGGAATTGATGGAATTTTAGTGATTTGTACACTGAGGGGTCGACAGCTTCGAGCATCTTGATGGCCTCATCATAGCGGCCGCTCTGGCTTATGACGAAAGCTCGGCGACCAATAGCACGGAGACGTTCTTCGATCGGACAGGAGTGTGAGTAACAATCGAGAAGAAGATCACAATGGATGTTGGCGAGATGCGGGATGCCGAGTCGCTGATAAAGGGTCGCTGTCAGCAGCATCTGACTACCGTAACTGTTGACATTCTCCTTGATGTTAAGGTGTGAGGACTGGTAGATGTGTTCTAGTGCTCGGGGTATAGAATCGCCCTATTGATGTTAGCTCCGATGATCCATTCATTCGAAGGAGAACCACGTACCATTGTTAGAGATAACTTTGCCTCGTTTAGTAAAGTTGCACTGAGCAGACTGTACATTCTGGCCTCCTTGGCTTTGGTTTTCAGAAATGTCAACGCATCCCTTTCAGTTCCCAGCATACTCATGTAACCAACACCCTTCATCTGTTTGGGGTAGGCCTTTGCCATATGATTCAGCCAGCTAAGACTGAAGCTCAGGCAAGTCATGTCCTGATTCTCTCGTGCTGTGGCGATTGTCTCATTGATGGTAGCAATTGCTTCACCAAAACAGCCAAAGTCGGCTTGTAGGATAGCCATGTGTAGCAGCGCATACTGGTAGTGAATTTTCTCTCGCGTCTGCATGGCATAGTCGTAGTATCGGTGTAGGTTGTCAAACGCAGACGTGTAGTCTCCTGCTTTCCAGGCATCGAAGAACTGCACGAGATGCGCTTGCCGATGCACTATGCCCGACGAGCTGACCATACTACGGAGCTGGCCCTTCATCTCGTCAGGAACGCGGTCTCCAAATCTCTGAAGTCGGTCGAGTTGGAAATCCAGTATCCGGTCCAGATCATTCAGACTCATACCCGCACCCTGCTCTTGATCCTCCTCCAGATGTCCGTACGCGATCTCATACACATCATCGCCACCTTGCAGGCCCATCTCAGACACCACCATGTCCACGCCACCTGACGCGAGGCCAGCCAACCTCTTTGTCCATTGGGCTGTTGGGGCCCTGTACCTGATGAACGAAGACCAGAGCTTCATCGAATCATCAAACTGTAGCCTTGTAAACTCCAGATGTGCCCTACGGACGAACGCTCCAAGAGGAGATGTCTTGGAAAGATAGATCCGATCTAGCGACTCTTCGTCTTGTGAGCCGGGTGGCGGTGGAGTAACCAGATCCAGGATACTGTCGAACAGCGCGTGGAGGGCATCGAAGGAGTTCATTTCCCACATGTGCTTGAGAAAGAGATCGAGAAGAGTTCTGCCCGGCATGTTTGACGCATGTTCCGACAGCACATCTTCAAAGGCATCGATTGAGAAAGATGTATCTTGTTGATTGGAAGTGGCAGAGCGCTGTGGCCGAGCGCTGGATTGTGCTGGGGGTAGATTGTTTGACAAGATGAAGGAAAGTATGGGTATCGTAGCGGAATAAGGAAGACTTGAACTGCAGTAAAGACGAGTCAGAACAAGAAGGCTGATCTTCTGCGCTGTGAGGTAGCGCGGGGTAGCCATCTTTGGTGGGTGAGGCTTGAAGTTCGTAGCAGAACAAAGCGTTGGGCGCAGAAGATGTGAGTATTCGCACTTATCGGCGACACGAAAACTGTTGTTGTGTTGGTTCGCGCGACATCTGCACTGCACTCAAGCAAAGCGATAGCTGGTCTATTTGTCGAGGCTGCAAGGTTTAAGATGGAGTGTTTGTTGGAAGTCGTGGGAGGGTGTCAACAGCCGAGGCGCGCAGCGCGTACCTGTCGCGAAGTCATGCGCCTCAAATATAGTCCCATTTACAGCTCTGTCTAGGATGCTGTTGCCAAACAATCATACTACATAGAAGTCGATAGCGCAGAATTACCAGGAGGTTGTGCAAAAGACTGTGCAAGTTCGTATTCAATATATACATCTATGTAATCTTCTGTCTTGACCCCTCACCAAATCCAGAGTCTTTCCTCGTAATGTTCTTGAGATCGTTTTGACTAGACTGCAGTTGCGGCACTGGAGCGCTGTTCAAGAACTCATCCTCGCTAGTTGCGTTGGTTGCCCAAATCTTGCTGATGCTCAGATCGTATGGTCCGGGTATCCGGTCTATCAATGAGATACCCACTGTCCTTACCTTTTGTGTCAACATCTCCCTCTGTGGCTCTACAACCTGCCCATGGTTCGTCCGCACAAACTCGTTCCACTTTATCAGAATCGTCTCCCACTCGCCAGGTGTCTTGGAGTGCAGCAAATGCTGGTGAATATCCGTGGGCACAATGGACTCGGTCTGCACGTTCACAAAGTACTTGCGACCGTCTGACTTGAACTGAATTGCAAGGAAGTTGTACATGGTCACGTCCCACAATGACTTGCCGAAGATAGTTGAGCCTCGGTCAAGTGTTCTCCATCCCGCATAGCCTGTTCTTTGAATGTGTGGTTGGTTGTGTGGTAGTTGTGTGGATATGGTACCGTGGAAGCGGACGTGTGAGGGCTCGGTTTGGGTGACAGGATGGTAGTCGAAGTTCGCGGTGGAATAGCCGCCGATGTCTTTGTCGCTCATGCGCTTGCATCGTTCCAGGTCCTCAGGCTGGTTGAAGTGGATCAGAGGGAAGGGCTTGGACGGTGACCTAATGCCTTCGAGCTTGAGTGCTGCGGAGATTAGTGGCGGCGCATCCAGCACATGCAACTGCAGAGCTCACCAAAGTTGGAGAGGCGCTTGAATTCGTCCAGACTCCGCTTCAGGAAGCCTGGCGCGAGGCAGGCCGAGGTTGGTCGCATGATGGCGTGAAAGGTGTGGGGAATCTAAAGGGACAGTCCGTGAAAGCTGCGGGCGCAATGGCAGTTGGACTTCGATGAGCGCACGACGCACTGCAAATGACGCCGCGGTAGTCTCGCCAGAGGCTAGCCGCTTTGGTTGACCATACCAAAAATCTGGGGACAGCTGCATGGGCAAATACATCCCACCACCTCTGCTGACTGACGAGACAAACCCCTCCAATGATACACGATTAACCCGGCGTTTCTGACACTTCCAACTATTCATCTGCGCGTGCCTCCCTCAACCCACACTGCCATACTTCGCCACGCGCCTTCTCTGCCTCGATGACACTGCAAGAAGCCTCCAGGCCTCGAAGTATTCGAGACGACACAACCCAACCGCTGCAGCCCCTCCCCCCGTCGTCGCGAGAGTTGGGAGAAGTCACTCCCCCCAAACAGCCAGATGGCGCACCGGTAGCGAAACAAGATCCCAAGTCTGGAAAGTCATGGGCGCATTTTGTCGCTGGAGGGTAATATCACCTCCGACTCTCGATCATGACTCTAGGACTAACATTTGAGCAGCCTCGGTGGCATGGCCTCGGCGACTTTGACAGCCCCGCTGGATGTCCTGAAGACTCGTCTGCAATCTACTTTCTACCAACAGCATCTCGCCGCAATGCGTTCCGCCCGTGGCCTACCCCCAATCGAAACCATGTCCTTCGGTCGCAGCTCGCTCCTCCACATCCGAGAAACTGGAGAGATATTATGGCAGGTTCCCAAGGCAGAGGGATGGCGGGCACTTTTCAAAGGGTTGGGTCCCAATCTTATCGGCGTAGTCCCCGCACGCGCAATCAACTTCTTCGCATATGGAAACGGCAAGCGGCTGATCAGCACACACTTCAACAATGGCCAGGAGGCAGCATGGGTGCATCTCTGCAGTGCGGCTGCCGCCGGTATTGTGACTGGAACCGCCACCAACCCCATTTGGCTTGTCAAGACGAGATTGCAACTTGACAAGAACACACACGCGGATGGCCGCGGGCGCCAATACAAGAACGCATTCGACTGCACCATGCAAACTGTACGGAAAGAGGGTGTTCGCGGTCTGTATCGCGGATTGACTGCCAGTTACCTGGGTGTTACTGAGAGCACATTGCAATGGATGCTGTACGAGCAGATGAAGCTATCGCTGGCACGGAGAGAAGAACGTGTCATCGCTAGCGGAAAACCACCAACTGTTTGGGACCAGACTGTGGCGTGGACTGGCAAATTGACGGCTGCCGGATCAGCCAAGTTCGTCGCTGCGCTCATCACATATCCACATGAGGTCGTCCGAACACGTCTAAGGCAGGCACCAATGGAAGACGGCCGACAGAAGTACACAGGCCTCGTTCAATGCTTCCGATTGATCTGGAAAGAAGAAGGCATGGCGGCGCTCTACGGCGGTCTGGTGCCTCACATGTTCCGTGTGGTACCCAGTGCCGCTATTATGTTCGGTACCTACGAAGGTGTACTGAAGTTCCTTGGAGAGAGCAGTAACATGTGATGAGTTGACGTTTTTGGCATACAGGTGTAGATGAGTACAGGTTTTGATGCATAGAAACGGCGTTATGAAAAGTTGGGACCTTGGGACGCATATATGGCGTCTTGTATCACCACTCAGCTCTGATTGAGCATGTACTTGTATAATGTTGGTTACACGGGAGCATATACGACGACATGAAATCTGTGGATACGGTTTGTGGTAGACATTTGAGACCAGTAGCAAACGTGCGCAGCTCTTCTCTGGAAGAATATCTCTTGTAATTACAACGAACATGTTGCATTGCACATTATTGTTCTTCTTCCAATCTGCGGCTTGCAGTAAATACGTAGTTTCAAAAGGCACCAGCGCAGGGCCAATCGTACTATGTGCCTCACTAGCGCGGACTTCCCGCCCGAACATCGACTTTGACATATTGAACATCCTCATCGCGAACGCCCGACGCTCGCCCCGAGCACAAGTCCCGCCCACGATGTCTTCACAACTACCGCTTCGGAGTATACGAATACCAGCGCTGCAACGGCAATGCCTCTTTCAACGCCACCAAATCCTCCTCCGCTCCGCCCAACCCGCCATAACCCATCCATCATCTCGCCGTACTTTCTCCAGCACTCCCTCACGCCCGAACAAGCGTAGCCAATTCGGCCAGGACAAGGCGCAAACAAGATCTGCTGCTGAGGCCCAAGTTGCGCCTTCCCCGAAGGTCAACTTTGACCGTGCGCAACGGGATGCAGATGCCATGGCGGAGGATATTGGTATCTTGCAGAATACAATTGTGAGAGCATCTTTTAAGGACGTGTGGGAAGAGACAGACCATGTTAGAGAAGTCATGGGATATTACTGGAACATGGTCAAGCACAAGGCAACGGCTCTTTATTCGTAAGTTGGACTTTCTTTGGGCTGAATCCTGAGTGAGAGCCTCAGCGAAGGGAATAGAGGGGCAACAGGTTCAGACTTGGTTGGGGAGCTGCACAGGAACTTTGATGTTGAGAGCTGACATGATTACCCAGACGATACTATTACCGCGCGTGCATTCAAAAATCCGGCTGGACAAAATACCTACCCGTCGATCCATTCAACAACACACAATACAAAGTCCTAGCGCAGAGACACTACAAGCGAATCCAGCAATGCTTTGCCAAGTACGTCTCTGCACTTTCCCTCCAGTCCCGATAATGCCCCATATATACACGACGGACTAACAAATCCAACAGAGGCAACATAGGCCCCCTCGAGCAAATATGCCTACCTCCCCTCGTCAAGAAGCTCAAACAGCGTGTCGCCGCCCGCGGAGGCAAACTCAACATGTCCTGGCACCTCCACAAAGTCAAATCCATGCGCGTAGTCTCGCACCGCGCCGCACCTCTGGGCGAAGAACAACCAGATTCAGCTTACAGACAAGTCGTTGTACGAATCGAATCCGTTCAGTCGCTCAAACGATCCGATTCTTCTTCGTCTAAATCCGCTTCTTCTTCGTCTAGATCTGCAAAGCCATCCTCTTCGCCACGCGCTGTCGCTCCTCCTCTCCCCTGGGTCCCGGATTCCGTACGCCAACGAGCTGAAAAGGCCCGCCAACGGATCCAGAAACTAGAGGACGAGGGTGAGAATGTGAACCAGATTGTCAAGAGCGGCGACAAGTATGCGGATAATGGAGTGCCCAAGACAGTGGTGGAGTATCTCGTATTGCAGAAGAGGGTTGTCAGAGGGGTAGAGGAGGATTGGAAGGTTTGGGGCTTTGCCAAGGAGTCGACGCCGAGTGTGGTTGCGAGCGACGAGAAGTATTGGGCTAAGATGTTGGATACACAGCTTGGCCCTGCTTAATTTCGACACCCGTGGTGTGGGAGAGAACGAGAAACGAAAGAGAGACTGTAACCATATTTGTATATATGATGGATGTGATGAGAGCGTGTGGTCGCGCTCCAGAAACTTCAGGTGTAATCATACGTGGTATGGGGACGCGACATCGAAGTTGCAAGTGTGAATAAACTTGACATCACGTTGTGTGTATCATACAGGAAAAGTGTTCACTGAAGAAGTGCGGTGGATAGAGGATAGTCATGTCATTTGAGCTCTAGTTGCTAGTAGCAATAACGACAACCCAGATACATGCAATCGTTCGGCGCCCAGCATTCTACTGTCGCGCACATGCTCGATTCGACCTCGAAATCCGTCCTTCTCTTCATACTTGAATCAGGGCGTATGACTCAAGCTTACGAAAAGCTGTGCCGCTTTAGCCGTGCTGCAGACGAAGGAAGCCGGCATAACGAAGAGGCACAAGGCAGCAGTCATAGAAGACTAGAAACCGTGGACCTGATTTATTGTCAGTTGGTGTCTTGATACGAAACTCATGCTGCTGTGTGACTCACCTTGATCGTCTTAGCATCGAGACCGAGTCCCTCCTTCTTGTCGGTCAAGAAGTCCTGGACGTCTTTGCGCTGATCGCCTTGGAGCTGGACGACTTCGCCCATCTCGGCGTCGCTTACGATGGTGCCATTGCAGGCAAACTTCTTTTTGATCACTTTGAGGATCTTCTTCTGGTCAAACTTCTTAGGAAGACCTTGGACGGTCGTCAGGGTCTTGCGGCCATTGCGCTCTGTGTTGTGTTAGCCGGGGGATCTTTAGAAAATGTCACACAACACGCGTGAGCCTTTGGGGACATGTTGGCAAGTGCGCAAGTGGGTTGGGTGCGTGGTGAGGACTTTGCATCAGTGTGCAAGGGCGGTGAGGGACGTACGTTGGATACGAATATGAATGTAGTCCTGCTGAGTCTGCTTGACCTGGCCGGTATCTTCATCCGCTTCCGCGAACGGGTCTGCAAACACTTGGTCAGTAGCTGCCTCGCATGCGCTTCAGGTGTGACGTCTTACCGAAGGTCTTAAGGTTCTCGATGGACATACGACAGTCGGTGAGCGCGCGTGTAGGTGGGGGGTTGTTGGGGTGTGACTGCCGTGGGTAGCGGGCGAGTTACTTGCGTGTGCTGAGAGTGGAGTTTGGGTGGTTTGGTCGTGGTGGTGCACAAGTCGGGAGGCTGCAAGTGTGTGTTTGGAGGGTCGAGCAGGCTGAGAGAAAGAGGTGGGGAATGCGGCGGGAGAGGAAGGCGAGCCCCGCCGTGGTCTGTGCATGGCGAAGGGTGCTGGGTGGTGCTCGCCGTTTCAAAGCTGATCGGTATGGCGAGCGTAAGGCGCGAATGAAAAGGGACGAGGATGACATGGTGACACATGGGGCGAGCAAGTGATATGGGCATTACGAGCTAGCCGACAAGTATCGTCGCTTGCTCGGTGAGGATGTCGAATTATACAATTACATGGTACAGTGGCTACCTGACTACCAGCTACACACCATTTTCTCGCACGGCAGCCTACGATGGCGGAGCAGCAGGGAACGCTTCCGTTCCAGATGCTTGCCCAGGCCTGACCGGCGGGGGCGGAAGGAACATGGACGAGTAACTCTGTAGCACAGCATCAATAAGAGGAACCAGTCACAGTCAGAGTCAGGTCCGGGGGCCAAACTTACAACTAGAAGCGACATGACTGTATCTTGGTTAGCTTGATGATTAAGCATCAGGTAGTGGTAATACATACTGGACATGCCCACCTGGAAGTAGGCGGGTGTAGACGATGTTCTCTTCTGCTCGGGTGTCTCAGCGAGCCACGACTGGATAGCGAATACTACAGCAACCCTGCATCGAGTCAATAAGGGACGTGGCACAAGATGAGGGAACTTACCAGCCGATCATTCTGTGCAGCACGCGTGATGTCAGTTATTGATATTGGGCACGGCTAGACACGTATCTGGGTAGTGCCTACTTGTTTCGCGTGAAGATCTGGGACACGATATCAGCCGTGTAACGTGGGATTGGGACAGCGGAGGGCACTCACGGCAGCCATGGGCAGTGTGCTCGAGAGCGTGCTCGCCATGTCGTTGTCATCCTTGCCCTTCTCTGGCTCGGCGTAGGGCACGACTGCAGGTGAAAGCGCGTTAGACACGTGACTAGAGGCATTGCAGGTGGAAGGTTAAACCGTTGGAACCCCTATGACGGACGTGTCTTGCGGGAAAGTTCCGCGGCATCACGTACTGAGGTCGGCGCGGCGCATGTCCTTCTTGGAAGCCATCGTGGAGCTGGTGGTCGGGCGGTGTGTCGTCGGTGGCCGAGATATCTACCGTAGGCTGGCGGAGTGGAGATTGATGGAGTGATCTTTGTTGCAGCGTGAGGCGTGAGCGGCGGCTGGCTCTCTATGGTACCGGTCCGGGATGTCGTTGGCCCCGTCTTAGTGTGGAACCCATGTCGCTCTGTCGTATTACCGGGTGATCGTCTCCGCTGTTCGCAATCCAAGATAACCTCAGACCTCACGTCAATCCCTCTGCGTCGGCCCCCATTGCCCTCATCCGAGCAACACATTAGTCCCTCCCTTCCATCCCCGAGTGTGTTGCTCGCACATGCTGCCGCCCCAACATCGGCGCCTCCTGACCTCGCCCAGCCCTCGCTCGCTCCCTTGGCCCAACAACTGCATGCGCCTGATACAACGATGAAGTCGCTGTGTGTGCGATGACTTCTCGACCTGGCCCGGGGATTCACGAATCTCTACAGAATCGTGGCAGCGCTCTGCCTCCTCGGTCCCAGGTGCAGCGCCGGCCCTCGAAGCCTGCCCATACGCTCCTTCAGCCGGACTGCATCGATCCGGCCCTAGAGGACGAACGCCCCCCGTCTGTACACAGCGCTGCCCACGATGCCGCGAGACCTCCCCCGCGAGGACGCCCGCCGCTCTTCTACACCACCATCCCCCCGATCCACCCCGTCGAGCTGCCCCTACACTCCTTCCCGTATCAGCCGACCGCGAACCTGCCCCAGCCCCCACGCCCGGGCTCCCTGCACCTGAGAGATGCTCCGCACCAGCGTCGCATACTGCCCGGTGGCACAGGAGTCAAAGACGCGCCCAAACCCGGTGGCCCTGAAGCTGTCGTTCCACCCGTCCATTTTCCCGGTGGGAAGGCCGCCGATCTGTTTCCATGGACCGGCAACAATCCCGAGGACAACCTGTCTGAAGCGCTAATCAAGGCAGGCGTCAGTAACAAGCCGCAGATTATGAATGAGTCCAACACTGCCCGCCCGTCGCTCATCAACAACCTCAAGAACAAGTCTGGGCTCAGCACGCTGTCGACCCTGTTCGTCGCCGTACTAGAGAAGAGACAACAGACCGGTCGCCTGCAAACACCCAATACCTTCAAGCCCCCACCACGATTGACGCTGAGAGACTCGACCCGCGAGCAGTGGCTGCACGACTTGGCAAATCCAACGACAGGCCTCCGCCGACTCAGCCGCACCATCCCCCACGGACTCACAGGCAAAGTGCTGCTGGAACAATGTCTCAACAAGAACATCCCCCTTCCGAGAGCCCTGTGGTTGGCCAAGTGCGTGGGTATCAACGAACTGCGCGCCCACAAGAGAAAGGGCCAGGCCGGCACTGTGACATGGGGCAGAGGCTGGACCAGTTCGGTCGAGCAGTTTATAGACGGTGTCATTGGCAGTATTGGGCAGGGTGACTGGAAACCTCGAATCACGTATGCCCTGCAGCTTGCGACCCACCTCTACAAAGAGCACCTCCTCGACGATGACCACTTCCTGGATTGGATAGTTAATGGCCTGGACACATGTCCCTCCGAACGCCTGTTTATCTGGCTGCTGGTTGTGTCCATCTCTCACTACTGGACAGCCGTAACCTGCTGTCGACGCCGCGGCAAATCTCTTGCTGAGTCACTGCTCAATCAGCTTGATAAGATCTATCGACTTGAGGATCTGAGGCCTTACTTGGCCGTCTTACAATATCTAGAGAACACTGTCATTCGACTGCTCGCGACACGACCTGCCTGTCTGCTGCTTCCGACTGCGTGGGCCAGATATGGCCCCCTTCTGCAGAAACTTGCCGACAGGAAGAACCATGCACATGTAACGCAAGCCGTCCGGAGGCTCGAGCTGAGAAATGCTAGGCTCCTGCAATCCCCAAAGAAAGCTCCCTCCGCCTCGCAGACACCGGCTGGCCGCGTCTACCGGATACTGGACTCTGTAGACTACAGCAAGCCAGTGCGCATCGAGGACCTGTCGTGTGATTGTATGGAGATCGTCGCCGACGCTCCACGGTTGATCAGCATGCTTCTTCAGTGGGCATGTACGTGTTACCGAGATGGAGCGCACAGGATCTATCTGGCGACCCGACTACTCCGCAGGTGGAACCATCTTGGCGCAGATGTGTACGACGGGATCGTTTCGTATCTTCGTGACATGGCCTGGGTGGCTACCGGCGACCCGAATATTCTCTTTAGAATCGTTGCCGAGTTGGTTCGCTCAAAGACTTTCGCTACTGGACGTTATCTACAGTGGCTCATCGCTACAGGGTCTACCGGACACAGCACGGATCTATCTTCACCACATTCCTGGCCGTTGCGCCTGGTCACTGAAATACCCCTCAGTGGACTAACAGACCAAATCCGTACGTTACGAAATACACTCCTACGTGGAACTATGCATTCAGCCGAGCTAGAGCAAAGAGCACTTAGCTACGCCGAGCACATAATATCCCAGACGTTACCTACCTTGTTCGGTATCTACACCGACACAGCTAAGCCAAACGACGTAGAGCTAGACAAGCTTAGTTCGACAGTAAAGCTTGAGCTGGGTATCTGGCTACGTCAACACGTCGCTCAGTATGCTGAGGTCAGCACGCAGTAAGTTCTTCCAGCACACTGGCCGCGACTCCGCTTACATTGTATAGCATACCTACCAAGGACTCGTCTGTCGAAGAAACCGCTGCGGTATCTCTATTGTCGCCATGGGACTTCCACATTGTAAGATCCTATCTTGAGCGCTTTGGAGACCTTGCTATACTTGCGGACATTGTCGGCGTGGCAACTACATCTTTGGACCCTAGTGTTCTTGCTTCTGCTGCGGATACGATCAACTACCATGCCAAAGCATTTCGTGCTATAGGTGCTTTTGACCCTTTGTTTGGTAGGATCGCAACGAGATATGCTGCCCTGCGAACGGTCCGATTACCCGATCGAGAACTATTGCTCAGTCTTGCCAGCCTGGCTCGTACGGCGCATGCTGATGGCCAACTTCCACAGTTCCTCAACTATGATCTGAGTCAACTGAACCAGCGGAACTCACTTGTGGCCTGTTCGCCAGCCTCTGACAACATGGGTGAGGTCATGCAAACAGGATCATCTTCGGATGACGATATTGAGCGCGTTCTTTCGAGTGGTACCAACATGGATCAGCAAATGATGGGACGAGTACTTCGCAAGATTGTTAGTAACCTAGAAGAACATCTAGCCAAGGGCTCGTTCCACTTGAACAGCCACCATGCCTGGTTCCATCGGCTACGCTGCTTCGACGAACCGACCTTCGACATGGTCGTGAACGAATGGCTGATCTTAAGCCTGATGGCTCAAAGGACCGACACGCTGCGGGTAGCCTTGCCCACTCTTGTTGGTTCCGGCTGTGTTCCTTTGACAGCTTTCTTGGACACTCTTCGAGCTTGTATCGCTAAGTTCAAGACTAATCCTTCTGAAGGTGGTTTCCAGAGCGCCCTCAAGGGCATGCTGATTACTTTGCCTTCTGATACACTGGTTCAGTCTTGCTCGCCACAAGATGCATATCGATATCGCCTGGAGCAACGAAAGCTCTGCCTAGAAACTGAAGGTCGCTTTACGCAATGTATTGGTGAGGTAATTGGGCTTGGCTCCATGATTCCATCTCAGAAGACCCAAGCGCAGCTTTCAGACTTTCTGCGTAGCAAGCCAATGCTGCATGTCCTGAAACATCGCCTCGTCAGCGATCCGGGATGCTTGTCCAAGCTGAATAAGGAGGGTTCAAGTCATTACTTCAAGCCATCACTAGATAACCTCCTGGATCCCAGAGGCCACATGAAACTACCGGAGAAGAGCCCTGGACAGCAAGTACTCGCAGTTTTTGCACTTGCCAGCGAGTTGTCGTTGCCGATCTGCCAAGCGACCATCGAGCAGCTGTTCTCGTCAAGCGCAGCCTCGTTGGGAGACTCTGGTGAGGCACTCTCTGCGTCTCTCTTGAGCGCTATCAAGACAGCGGTAGAAGAGGATCAACCTTCAGGATTAGAGCTTCTCGCAAGCTTGGATGCTGCTCTCACTGACCAGATACGACAACATGCTGAACGCGAGATCATCAATGCCTCTGCCTTCTTGTGCATGTCACCTGCAATCAAAGCAGAAGAGGCCGAAAAGGTCTCGCCAGCAGTAGTTCAAAAATATCTTACGGTTATTGACCTGACTTCAAGTAAGCGCTCGGAGACCACGGAACAGACTGCTCTGCTTCAAGCTTTGATCGAGAGATTCAAAGGCATAAGCCAGGCTCTTGAAGACAGCAGACTCTCGGTTCTAGAGGTATATTCTTGGTTGAATGCCCTCCTCCGTCTGGTAGTGTCTCACGCATCGGCCATGCTGAGCGACGCGACCCATCCACACCAGACCGCTATGATGAGTGCCATGGCTGCTCTACTCATTCATCCGTCTCTGGAACTATACCCTACAATCACTGAGCATGTCTTCGACGTTACAGTATTCCTCTCGGACTATATCTCGGATGACGTCCGGTTTCACGTTACTCGGTTGGAAGGTGCCAGGCTTGCAAGCGATGCACGCTGTGTCTTCATCCTGGGAGTGACAGCGCCAGTCGACGGCTGGCTTGTTCTGGCCAAACCAGTCAACACCCCCCTGAACCAAGCGTCCTCGCAACCACCAACGCCAACACCCCTTCAAAATCAGCAATCGCCATATCAGAGCCCACAGGTACCCGCCAATAGTTCTGCCACGCCACAGCAACGCTACTTTCAGCAGCAACAACAGCAAAGACAGCAGCAAATGCAGGCAGCTCAACAAGCGCAGCAGATGCGCGCACAGCAGCAGCAGCAATACCACCAGCATCCGCAGAACAAGATGCTGCCTGCTCAGCTTCAACGAACACCGTCGGGCCAAGCCTCTCCTTCTCCACTCCAGCAAATGTCGCAAATGCAGCAGATGCAGCAAATGCAACAGCGCGCCATGCAACCCTCGCCTGTCTACTCGCAGCGTTCGACTCCTGCAGCGAGTCAGAGCCAAACCAGTAGCCAAGGCCAGACAGGTACGCAGGCGCCAGGCAAGCTGCAAATCAGGCAAGACAGGGAGATTCGGCACTACCCATTCGTGCAGCCGAGGTGGGAGATTCTAGCTGAGTCCTCTGGAAACCCGAATGGCAATGAGACTGCAATCAACTTGAGTCTCTTTGGTGCGCGGAAGGTATGAGTCTGCATGCGCTGTACTACTTCTATTTCGCATTCACATCCACCAGTTTTGTGGACCACCTTCGTTTCGTTTATGTATTTTCTTCCACTCGTTATCTCATATGTTTTTGGGTCCCACATAAGCTTCTATTCCTATTCTAAAGCATGAAGCGAGGCGTTTTCCCGGGTTACTGCTATGATCTGTTCATGACATTGCATCACACCGGAGTTTCTAGTGGGAAGGGTTTATCTGCATATAGCGTTATGGGACTACATAGGGTATTGTTTGGAATTTGCATTGCTGTGAGATGTATACAGCATGGCGTTAAGAACGGAAACGCGATATGCTGGGATTAGTGCTTAGCCTGAATGTGTCGTTGAGAAGGCTAGAATGAGGTATATAGATTAACTGAATGAAGAAATACTTTGATGATTGGTCTTCATGCAGCATATGTTGGAAGTGACTTCGATGGTACTTGGATATGCCTTATCTTCAAGTCTGGCATTACCAAGGCTTCATACCAGCTACGCCTTACGCATCGTATTCTTCAACCCTCCCATCCTCAGCACAATCTTACGCACTCTTGCCTGTAAGCTTCTCACAAGCCTCCCTGTACTTCGCGGCTGTCTTCTCCACAATTTCCGCCGGCACTGCGACTCCCTCCTTGCCCTTCAGCCCGTTACTTGTCAGCCAGTCCCTGAGGAACTGCTTGTCATAGCTAGGTTGCGCCTTTCCCAAATTCTTCTCCCATGACTCCTTTGGCCAAAACCTTGAGCTATCCGGTGTCAAAACCTCATCAACGAGCACCACTTCGCCCTTCTCATCAACTCCAAACTCGAACTTGGTGTCAGCGAGGATAATACCGACCTCCTCTGCGCGGTCCGCAGCAGCACTGTAGATAGCCAGTGAAAGCTCCTCCACGCGCTTCGCAATCTTCTCATCACCAATCAGACGTCTAGCTTCCTCGGGGCTGATATTCTCGTCTTTGCCGCCTACTTCCGCCTTGGTACTCGGTGTCCACAATGGTTGTGGTAGCTTCTGACCTTCAATCAATCCCTTGGGCATACTAATTCCGTTGACGGTTCCGGACTTGGTGTACTCGGACCAGCCTGATCCGGTGATGTAGCCGCGGACTATAGATTCAATGGGCAGGATGCACAGACGACGAACTTGCATGCTGCGGTCCTTGAGGGAAGTTTGGTCCTGGATGGCGGCTGGGAGGTCTTGGGAAAGGAAATGGGTTTTGAGGCCGGGAACTTTAGTGGGGAGGTAGTGGAACCAGTAGATTGACATGGCAGTTAGAAGAGCGCCTTTTCCTGGGATGCCCTAGCATTTTTGTCAAAGGGAGGTTTTGGGATTTGTTGATTATACTACTTACATTCTCCATGATGACGTCGTATGCTGATATACGGTCGCTGGCGACGAACAACAGTGTGTCATCGTCAATTGCGTACAGGTCGCGCACTTTTCCAGAGGCGACCTTAGGCAACTTGCCTTGAATGTCAATGTTGGTAATTGCTTGAGTCGACATCTTGTTCCAGTGAGTTAATTTTCTGGAGTTGATGTTGGTGGAATGACTGTGTTTGGTGGAGATTTATGCATGCGCCTGTGTCGAGTATTTTATGCCCTGTAGCGGGGCCGCTGTGGCTTTCACGGGGAAAGTGTGGCGGTGCGGAGTTCGCGTCGTCAAGGGTGCACGCGACCTTGGCCTACGAGTAGTCCTGAACAACACAGTACCGATCGCGAAGTTGTATGACATGAACACAGGATAGACCTGAGTCAAATAAAGTAACCTTCGACTCGCGCTCTATTCAAAAGCTTGCTGCTCCTGTCTGACCAGCCACATGCGTACATCAGTTCACGCCTTACTTCATTCGACAGCCTAGTCGCATCACCACACCTCCGTTGACCATCTCTCCATCAAACTACACCTTTGTATCTACATCAGATCATCTCTAAATGTCTTCAGTCCAGTTCACAGCACTGATACGTCTCCCGTTCATCCGCGGTGACTTTGAGGATCCTCCACAGGTAAAGTGACCTATGTCTGCGTCTTGGGCGTTCATCTGACCATCGCCCAGGCACAATGGGATGCCGAGAGGGACCGCCAATTATGGAAGGTTATATCAAAGTCCTCAAAGACTAGTGATTTAAACTGTAAGCTTTCTTCTATGTAACGCGATGTCAATGGTACTGACATATTATAGGGGTCGAGCTGTATGTACATGCGATCCAGCCATGTATCAGCCTTGCTGACCATAACAGAGCCGACAAGTTTCAAGTTCCTCCGACCTTTCTTCTTCAGCAAGCAGCGTGGTTGTACGAGCGGCATCTCGATCATGTTCGCAATCAGATGAAGAAGGTCAGCATTTCGAACGCTGTTCCATCATCATCGCCGACTGGTGGAAGCACTATGACTGGTGTTGGTGGTGTTGCGATGCGGAGGGGTGGCAGTGCCGGATCTGGAGGTAGGAGAAGTGTTCACTATCATTTGGTATTGCTAATAAAGAGTAGCTGGTAGAACCACGTCTGCGTTGGCTGGACGATCGAAGGACAGTCCAAGTCTACGTGGTGCAGAGGTAACGACGCCAGGTGAGTACTTCAACGAACATGGTGGATTCGATGGTAAGTACATCTTCTGATATTGTCTAGCGCCTCCCCTCTCCAGGACGCCATCTACGACCACAATAACCCAATCTCGAGCAGATACTCAGGCGCCAGCTCGAACTCTGTCAACACGCTCCACCCGACGCCCCAACTTGACCAGTCGGAAGTCTGATGATCGCGCAAATCCCCCAGCCGCACCACCCAGCTATCGTAATGACGAAGCTGCTTCTCCAGAGATTCCAGATTCCTCGTCTTCGAGCTCATCATCGTTGTCGGATACTGATCATCCAGCCCATCGAAGCCAGCTGTTTAAGCGTCCTCCACGTTTTCAACAGAAGAAACCTCGAGAACTTTCCACGTTCGAGGAGGGTGATGGAACTCAAGAGACTGATGATTTGGGCTCACATGAGACAAGTCTACCCTTTGCGACGGCAGCTAGACCACGACCCAGCAATAGCAAGTATGCACAAGATGCACGTTTTAGTGCCGGTAGTAAGCCCGGGCAAAACGTGTTCCAGGCTGACCGCACGAGAAATGCTCCGCCAACAAGACCAAAGTCCATCGACGTGCAGTCACTTGCGACCACCGAGACTGCGTCGTCAATGACTAGCTCTGGTGGACCTCCATCAGCAGCAAAAAGCCCTATGAGTCCGGCTTCGGATCATCGTGCAGCACTAGGCCGACTCGGCAGTCCACGGCGCGGAGGACCTCGATCCAGGATTGAAGGCAGCGAAGGCACACCTAGTATGGGCAGCAGCTTCAGCGATATCGATGGTGAGTCAAATTTTTGCCCTCCTTTATAATAATACGTATACTTACATTGGATAGATGCGGGCATCAGCCAATCAGCCCTAGAGGAAGCGCTGTTGAGTAACATGCAACATGGGAGAATGAGCACGCTTAGTCGCATGTCGAAGTGGTAGGAAGATTGAAGAGTATAAAAAGCAGTATCTCGGTTTTTGAATAGACTCTCGTCTATTACTATCAAGACTCTTATTGTGAGCCACTCCCAAGAAGTGTATTGTGCAAGGCTGCAGCCTTGGCATTAGTCCATTAATCTAGACTACAACTCAAACTCCACTTCAGTACCAATACTCAAACTCCAAACTGAAATTGAATCAAATAGCACCGGTTTTGAACGCCATGCTTTTTCACCCTCAAAAATCTGTCGTAGTGCCACCGCCACCCGTCATCTTCATAACTGACCACACCACGCTACCCCCAACAGCCACCCGGTACATTTGCGGTAATAACGACATCGTCTTCCCAACTGCCTACACGCAGATCAAGTCCCTTCTTTCCCATCCAGCCTGTCCGCACCGCGATAGGTCATACAGTTGGTCCTGTCACTCCTGCGAATCCACCTTTACAACCAAGTACTGGTCCTGCGCCGCGATCCTCCTCGATTACTTCGCCGATTTCTATCCCGACGATACTCCTCTCATGCAGTCGATATGGTTCCATCTCCTAGATATCTGGCAAGAAAACGCGTCACGTCTTCCGTACGAAGCGGTGCTGGAAGCAGCCGAGGCAGCTGCAGCCATTGGAGCAGAGCTTCCGGGCGCGAACCATGCTAGGGCATTTGAGAAGAGCGTTAGAGATACAATTTCCCTATTCGAGGTTACGATCTGGGGGCGGAGGGAGTCCACGGGTGATCAGGTCATTTACGACCCTAGGGGTGAGGCGTGGTGTCCTGTGGGCGAGTATGAGACGGGGCCTTGGGTCAGTGGGCTGAAGCCCTGGGCACAGTTCCTAGGGGATGGAGGCGTGGGCGTTGCGCCGCCGTCCAATGGTCGTGTAGATGTTACGAATGAGGAAGAGGATAACGGAAATGGCACTAGAGGTGTCTCCAAGCAAAGGACAACAACAAGATATATTCCCCTCCCAGCCCTCGGCCTCATACAATCACACACCGAACGCGCCCGCGACTTAGCCGTACAAATCTTCAACAAACAAGACCCCGATGTCCTTACCCCTTCTCTCACGGAATTCGACGCGCACGATCTACCGATGCCTGTCTCACGCAACGAATCTCATTCGTACATCTCGAAGATTACGGGCCTGGAAACAAGTTATACCTTGTCGAATGGCGCCCCGCCTGTAATGAGATATGAGGGGCTGGGTGATCCACAGATGGTGCTGAAAGGGGTGACGGATTGGAGTTTACTAGATGAGTGTGTGGCAAGTTGTAGAGGAGTGGACGCTTACGTGCCGTTTAGTGGTGGTAGTTGGAATGATGATATGGAGGATGGTGATGAGGAAGACCAAGAGGATGGGTTTGACATGTGGACCTTGATTGAGAGAGGGACATCGGAAGAGGGTAGTAAAGCGTTGGATTTGAGGGACATGTTTGACACATGGTGTGGAGTTGACGAGATTTGAATGTCTGTCAGAACGCAGCCCTGCACCACTACGTTATGCAACCAAAAAGGTACGTATGATCAGCGAAGCACTGATCATGTCGCAGGATAGTATATATCGCCAGCCAGGTCTGACACTGTACACTGATACAAAGATAGACAAGTAGAAAGTTCTTCGGCGTAGTCTCTTGCAGTACTTAGGCATAACCCCCTACACAACCTTTAAAATCGAAATACTATATCTAAGCAGATAAGTAATCTAAGACAAAGTAATGCATATAGCTTAAACTCAGCAGTAGTACTTTACTGACTAGCACCGAAAGCTCTTAGCAATCCTATAATCTTTTTGCTCGTTTCCAGAGAGTCCTCTAGTGCTCCCCATGCCGTATGATGCGTCATTACAGTTTTCTTTGCTACAAGATTGTCAGACAGTTTCTCGCTAGGCCTCCTTTTATATACTTACAAGTAAAAGTCGCAGTGAAGGCAAACGCCATTCGTTCTCATAGTGTAGGTTGATTGATCATTTGGACTCTCTCCGGCTTTTCTGAAATTTTGGCACTGTTTGCCACCATTGATAGCACCTGCAGTGCCAGGTCCGAGGTGATTATCATAGAAGTCACCACAATGGCCGCGCGCTTGAAGAGCTGCAGGAACTGCAACAGTAGACATGACGGATGCCAGGACCGCAAAGCCGAAGACAGAAGAGAAGTACATTTTAATGACAATGAGACTGTAGCTTGTATGTGGAGGACCGTGGAGTGTGAAAGAGTTGTGAGTATGCGAAGCAAACAGAGAACTGGGTAGACTTAATACGTGCAACATAGGTATCTGCACGTGTTAGAGCGGACAACACTAAGACGACAAAGAATCATGTTATTCGTGGTCATTATGCGAGACACAACATTGTTTTGACACAAAGCTTATCATGCTAGCATTGTGGCAGCCAAACATCGTGACTGCAGAACATGCTGATGCTCATTTACCCTGTTGTTCGAAGATTTCGTTGTCTAAACATCATCTCCACAGCATGTTATTCGTCACACTATGGTTGTAATCACAATGATCATGCTATAGGCATCGAACACGCTGTTTACTGCTCATGGAGATATAGCTCGATCAACTTTCATCCCAGCCTCAAGTATCCACAGCACGTCGAATTTGAATATAGTGACGCAACTCTCAATACACTCTATCTTGGTGCCTTCTGATTGAGTAGGTACTCAACTAGACCTAAGATGGTGAGTTGATCTCGTGCAAGAATCCTTCCCGCAATACATAATTTGATGCTAAGCTACTCGAAAAGCCACGAAAAGAAGATTGCCTCTAACCAAAAGGATAAGTATGTCGTGAGACATCTGATCTTAGATTAGTGCTGCGTGACAAGTGTATAGCATAGCAGAAAGGATTCCGGCACAGTAGGAAGAGTACATGTTTAATCACATATTCTTTAGAGGCGTTACCATGTTTATGCATGTGTAGGTGCATGGGATATTTTTCTATGTACCCTTAGCAGGCTTAAGAGATAGTCGTTGGAATGCTGTTTGTATATCAAGTTACATTTGCTATATGGCATATGTACATTGATAGCATTAACTCGCTTGTGCGCTATAACATGGTATTATGTTCGTGCATTACAAAATCAAATCGTGGATATCGTTGCGTAAAAAATCAATGTTCCTCCACATGGCCATTCTTCAGTCTCATGGTCCTCCTATACATCCGGTTCCAGTTTAAGGAGAGTAATCCCTGGTCTTGCGTTGAGATTCAGTGTCCAAGAAGCTACCTCGGCTGCGGTTTGACTTGGTAGAGCGTGTTCGGCGCATGCTGGAAGAGCGATCGCCTCCGAGACGGCCACCAAGGCAGAACATGACGGTAGCTAGGAAGTAGCAGGCAACGGCAGCCCAGGTGAAACCCATGAGGTATCTTCCGATGCGTGCTTCGAAACCAGCGGAACGGAAAGCGTCACGACCCTTGACTACCCATGCGCTGGTGAAGTTAGTATAAATGGTAAGAAGTTTCGCCATGGATATGCTTACGTCATGAGAGCTGCAGCGAGCGTCTGGAAGAACAGAGCGACAAATGTCATCAAAGAGGAGAGGTATCCTCCAAGGCGGCTGCAGAGAGCAAGTAGACCGGAGATGAGAGCGATGGCAGCGAAGAAGAGGGCGATCAAGTAGAAAGCGAACATGAAACGAGACAGATAGTAGTACTGGTGTGTACCGATGAACTGCTCGGGGATGTTTTGCTGGGTGCCAAAGTTCCTGGGCGGGTCAAATGGCAGCGCCGGGACAGGTGAGCCGCAGTTGGCATTGTTGCCGGATGATGGGTCAGAGCCGCAGATGGCAAAGAAGGTCCATCGCGATGGGTTGCGCGCGTTGGGGATGCCGTCGGTGGATGCCTCGAGGAAGTAGAATTTGTTAAGAGGACTCTTGTTGACACCACCAGTGAGGATGTTTAGGAATTGGAAGAGCAGGCCACCAGCGACCAGTATCAGCGAACTGAAGGCGAGGATAGGTCCTGAGTAGCGTGTCAGCAAGCGCGCAGCCAGAACAGGAAGCGACGGACGACGTACTAGCCACTGCCATTTTTGAAAAGTCGCCCAATGGAGAGGTTGTCGCAAGGGTGAGTGTTTATTAAGATTAGGATGCACGATAATGGTGCTATTACAGTGGGATGATTCGACGTAACTAGCTGCGTGTCCAACGCGCAGTGAAAAGAGGCCTGGCGAGCTTGTTTATGAGCGCTGGCCAGCGGTGACGTAGCCCTCGACACAAGTGAATCGGGCTCTTTATTGGCGTCGTCGACTAGCTTCATCATCGCACAGGGTTACGACACTATCGCGCGCGCTTTGCATCATCCCGAGGCTCGTCGACACACCAAAGGGTCCGCGGCTTGCCTGGAAGCATGTTGGCGGATGCGACGGATCGTGACGGTGCGAGTTAATGAGTCGGCAAGTGTCTGAGGTGTGCGGCATCACATGGTGAGATGGGTGAGGGATGCAGGGATGGCTTCCTTCCTCGGATAGTAGCGAAGATCTCCTGGGTGAGTTGTGGAGCTTGGCCATCGAGCCCGGGCAGCAGCCAACAACAACCTGCACCGTCGTGCCTTGGAAGCACATCACCATGTCCACCGCTGTATGGCCGCCCATCGATGATGCCCGCCTCGCTGATGAGCAGGCGGCGTCGCAAGCGCGAGAGCTTGAATGGCTGCTTGTGCAGCTCCGTGAGACGCTGCAGTCGCTCAAGGCAGGCCTGGAAGAGTGCGCTGCTCTGCTTGCGCCTTCAGAAAACGGCTCGACACTTGTGCTGACTTCGGTGCGCTCCGAGAGTCTCAAGGGCCTCATTACGCGCATTGGCACGCGCATCACCAAAGGCGTATGTCCTTACTTGTCTGTTCTGATGCACCAACTCACACGGCGCAGAATGTCAAGCTCCGTCTGGCAAGCCTCCCACCACCCAAAGGCTCTCTGACCTACGACCTCGCCATATCCTCTGCACCGCACGCGCCTACACTCGTCGTGCCCCAGCTTACTGCAATCCGAACGTCCATCAACAGCTGCCTCGACGTCATCGACGTGGCTACTTGGGGAGGCGATGCTACCAACGCCAATTTTGTCTCTGGCCAACTGCAGCTGCTACACGACCATATCCTGGAGGCGCAAGCCGCATTGAAAGGCTACTCAGACGTGCAGCCGCCGTGGTGGGAGAATCCTGTAGATGACAAGGTAGGCTTCACATGTAGAACACACGCGGGCGTTACTGACGACTCATAGACCTTCGATCCTCCACTGCCAGCGAACGTGTCTTTCCATCTGTTCGTCTTCGATGCCGCCCTTGTGCTCGAAATCCGCACTCTCGAACCACATAATGCTGGGGACAGCACATCGCTCACCGGCTTCAGCATTCGCAACACCTTTGCATCCGCGCTCGGCGGTGCAAGAGCACCTGCACACGATGAAGCCGATCGTACATTCAAATACAAGGACCACGACGTTCGCGTCAAGGAAAAGATCCGGGTAGAGAGCCAAGACCCCGCTCTGATCTCCGCCTCAGCAAAACTTAACGCTCTTGGACACAGTGTAATGTTGAGCCGAAAAGCGCTCAACATTGTAATGGGCCGCGACGAGCAAATAGACTAACTCCGCGCAAGTTTGACAGCAGTCAATTGCACCATCGACCATTGGGCGGGACCACCACTCACATGTCGCCTTTTTCCGCGGGGATGCCCTTAGTGCGTATCGCGCCATATCGGCTCGTCGCTATCGGAACAAATAATGTGCACTCGCATTATCAACGCCGCCGAGGAGTTACCGCATCGGCGATTGTTTCTACTCATATTATTGCCCCTCCTTTCTGGCATTCCAAGTTGTTGCGATTTATTCTACATCACACTTCAACATGGCTCCAGCACTTCTTACCGCGGTTGACGCCACATCCCACATCCACCTTGTAGTAGGGTCCAACCCACTTGCAGGCGCGCGATGCGCACGATCAATAGAGGTCGGTGCGAAACCAATACTGCTTGCGCCCGAGGACTCCACACTTCACTATGGTCTCGTCAAGCGCATTGAAGTGGGCGAAGTAAAATGGCTAAAGCGGAGTTTCGTCGAGGAAGACTTGACCACACTTGGAAGGCCAGAGGTAGACGGCGTAGTGGATGCCGTATTTGTTACCGCGGGCGGTAAACATACATCAGGTAGGCGACATACCTCTACATTCCAGGCTTCTTTCTAACTCGCCACAGCGACCCACATCTCAAGTCTTTGCCGGAGACTACGCATACCAGTCAATGTCGCCGATGCACCGAATCTCTGCTCCTTCACCCTCCTCTCAACACATTCGGATGGTCCTCTACAGATTGGTATCACAACATCTGGAAAGGGATGCAAACTTTCTGCAAGAATAAGGAGGGAGATTGCGGCGTCGCTCCCACCGCGCCTGGGTGATGCGGTTGAGAGGCTGGGGACACTGCGGAGACGCATATGGGAGGAAGATCATGCAGCGGAACTATCGCAAGACCTAGAAGCAGAGGAAGAGGACAGTGGCCAGCCAGCGACATTCAACAAATTGATCCTGGAAGAAAGCAAAGAAGCAGCACGGGGACGTCGCATGCGCTGGCTATCACAGATATGCGAATACTGGCCTCTACGCCGTCTTGCGGGTATTACGGATGCAGACGTCGATATGTTATTCCGTGAATTCGCCAGCAGTAGCCCCTCGAAAGTCGGGCCCACTGCCACGACTCCCGGAAGACGTGCAGGCCGTATTATCCTCGCAGGCTCTGGTCCTGGCAATCCCGACCTCCTTACCCGCGCAGCCCACAAAGCCATTCTCTCTGCCGATCTGATTCTCGCCGACAAACTCGTTCCCGCACCCATTCTCGACCTCGTTCCCCGCCGCGCCACCGTCCACATCGCACGAAAGTTCCCCGGAAATGCAGATAAAGCGCAGGAAGAGCTCTTGGAGCTAGGTCTGGAAGGACTCAAGGCCGGCAAAGTCGTAGTCCGGATAAAGCAGGGCGACCCATACATCTACGGTCGTGGCGGCGAAGAGTACGACTTCTTCCGCGCGCATGGTTTCATACCCAGTGTCCTACCTGGTATCACAAGTGCCCTAAGCGCACCCCTCTTCGCTGCGATACCTGCCACACACCGTGGTATCGCAGACCAAGTGCTCATTTGCACTGGCACAGGTAGAAAAGGCGCGCCCCTCGACCCACCAGAATTCGTAGCTTCCCGCACACTCGTCCTCCTCATGTCGCTTCACCGTCTATCCGCACTAGTCGAAAGTCTAGTCGGCAAAGGGTACCCTGCAGAATTGCCCGTCGCTGTACTGGAACGAGCTTCATGTCCGGATCAAAGAGTCATTAGAACGACTCTGGAACACGTTTGCGCTGCTGTAGAAGAAGAGGGCAGCAGACCTCCTGGACTCTTGGTCGTGGGTAACGCGTGTAAAGTGCTTATGAAGTACGAACAAAGATGGGTTGTCGAGGAAGGGTTCCATGGACTGGATAATTTGGGTGGGGATGGCGAATTGGAGATCAGTAGACTTACTGAGGCGGCTATTGCCGCGTAGTCGTTCGAGATACAAATATCAAAAACTTGACACTTCAGATGCATCAACTGTACAAGTGAGGCAAAAGAACTAACTTCCAATCGCATCATGATGGTGTGCATTGGTGTTGTCATTCTCCATATTCATCATCGTCCATATCTCTGCTATTCAGCTCTCATAATTACTAGGCCTATTTGCTTGCCTTTCCGTTTGCACGTCATTATCACATGGGAAGCGTAGTCTGTCTACGACTCCCACTCTATATCCAAGATTTCCTCCCACCATTACCATGTCGTACTATACAATTCCTTTTACGTTGCGTAAGATTCGTTCAATTCCAAGATCATTGCGCCAGTCGTCCCAAAATGCCGTGAGTCCCGTTAGTTCCATAATATTCCCCAAAAAACGCCGATGCTAAAAGTGTGATGGTGCTGTGAAAAACTCGATATTGCATATGCGAGTGTGGTTGTAATCGTAAAGGTACGTTGCGTTACGTTCGTGTGAGAAGCCTAAGCCTGGCTTGTCCAGCTCTTCCTCTTGCTCTTTTGCTGCTCTTCCCAGATGACGAGCTCGCGACCACTCCTTTCTCCACCACGGTGGACGCGATCGATACCGAGGTGCTCGAGGCCGTCGCGACCTACGTGGATGCCGAAGCCATAGCGAATCTTATGGGGATCGGTGTAAGAATTGTGTTTCTCGCTCTTGCGTCCTTTTCCCTTCTTCTTGTCGCCTAGGGCCGGTTCTGCAGCCTCGTCATTACGCAGGTTGTTGCGCGACGGGCGGACCAGGGAGAGGGCCGATTGCGCCCATGTGCGCTCGGCGTAGGTGGTTCCCATTAGCTTTGCTACAAGCTCGGGCTTTGTCTGTGGACGAGAGAAGGCGCGGTCAACGAGGATTGGAGACTGGTATACCCAGCTGATTATCTCAGAGAGTGTGTTGCTGCGGTGAGGAAGGGCGGCTCGGCGGCGACCTGGCAAGAGAGCGAGGAGGCTGATACCGTACAAGGCGAGGAAAAAGCAGAGGGCGTAGTATCCTGCAAGCTCTGCTGCGACACGAACGACATCTTCGCCGCCGTAGTATTGCGTCCAGAAGCAGCCTCCAGCAAGAACAGGAAGGGTGGCTGATGTCAACGAGACAAAAGAAAGAACTGCTGTTTGCCAGTGTCTGTTCTCGAGCGCTGCTAAAGTAACCGAGAGAGGTAAACGGCAGGCATAGTCGACTAGCAGGGAGGCTTCGGCGGTGGCTCCGCCCTTCGCGGACAGCGCAATGTAGGGCTGGAGTACACGGAGGGAGTAGTCCAAGGACAAGAAAGCCAGGAAGAGGAAATTGGCAATCAGTGCTGGGATGAAGGAGTAGAGGAAGTTTGAAGCCGAGAAGCCACCTGAGTCTGTACGGGCGAAGACTTGGGGCAGGAATCCAAGTCGAACAGCGTCATTTACAAAACTGACGACCAGGAAGGCGACTAGCAATACGCCGGCGATGACGATCCATGCAATAACTGAAGTGTCCTTCAGATACCATGGAAGGTATCGCAATCGCACGCTCGGGTTGCGGATGTCGGTGCGGATAGTGAAATCGTTGCCCTGGGCTAGCTCAGAACTGGTGCGCTCTGCTCCCTTCTCCATGATACGCCCTCGCTCGACTGAGAACCTCCGAATTCCAGCACCCTCCTCGCCGATGCCATAGAAGACGTCGCTGGGCCTTTTGGTGGTCGTCCAGTATCCAAGGCGATCTGCGCGGTTGCTGACAAGGTGCCAATCGCCCTTCTCAAATGTCTCGGAACCGTTGTAGTCGGTGAGGTTGTTCGAGCGCTCGAGAAGCGAGATGATATCGGCAAGCGATCGAGGATCCCACTTCAGGCCAGTCGGGTTGCGGATAAGGAAAACCAGCAGATAGACCAGGGCGATGACAAGAAGAATGTAAAGAACAACGATGGTCCAGACGATGCCTTGGACGGCTACCCATCGCCAAACACTACGTTCTAGGTCATAACGTACGTTAAAAGCAGAAGCAAGAAGGGGTATCGTCCAAGTAAACAACCATGATACGAGGAAGAAAACTCCGACGCCGGAGTGTCCAGAGTGGAAATGCTCAAAGTTGGGCAACAAGAACTGCATGGGGTACAGTCGGAGGAAGACAGCTTCAGATCGCTTGTGGAAAGAATCAGAAGCCATTGAGATGAAGGGTATGAGGCGTTGGAGAGCCGTCTGGACCTGGATGAGCCAAAGCAGCAAAAGCATTCCGAGTAGGGTTGGGAGGTATTCGAACACGAAATAGCGGTTGTCGCCAAAAGCGTTGTAGTTCCATAGGCCGCCAACGTCGTTGCGGTTGGAGTAAACCGCGGAGAAGATCAGTGCGGCGATCATAAGGATGCACAGGAAGATGAAGATACCAAGCCAAAATGGGCGAAGAATGGCTGGGAGGAAGTGGAGTGGCGCGTGCTGAGTATGAGCTACGAAAACGTCATCTTGTGACCGAGGAGGCGAGGGCGACTGCTGTTGCCTGTACTGCTGGGATTGGTAGTGCGGGTTGTAAGGTTGCGTGGTAGCCATAGGTGCTGGGGCTTCCGCAAGCGGTGTTGATGAATTCCTCAAAGGTTTCCGTGGTATCTTTTGCGACATCCTTTGCTGTGTCCTCTGTTCCTGGGCCATATATCCCAAGCCATTGTCGTGAACGATCCTATCGACGGGATAATCATCTTCATCGTCCTCTGGCCGAACCTCTGGGTATATTCTCGATCCTCTGACCTCCTCATCCCGAGTAAGCTGGTCGATAGCAAAGCGGATGTATGGCGTAGTGTCTTGGCCTGGTGTGGTTACCTGCGATTCGGCGTCCATGTTTGATAGTAACTGGGAGCGTCTCGCGTCTCGCGTGTCTGGTCTCGATTCCTCGGCAATGGTAGAGACGGCGGGTGACTGAGGGCGTTGAGGCTGCTGCCTGGGGATACCGATACCTCGTAGGGACGTTATTGGGACGTCAGTGTGTGGCACCAACTGCTCATGACTTTGCGCTGGTGTTCGGTGGGCAGAGGGCGGCGTCCGGTAGGAAGGCTGTCTTTCTTCGCTCGAACTAGACGCCTGTTCTGACGCGCTGTAGTAGCCTTCCGAAGCAGCTAATGAAGCAGCAACGCTCTGCTGTGAGGTTTGGTGGGATAGTTGAGGTTGAGAGACTGGGACCTCGGTCAGCCTGATGCGCGTCTTGAATAGCCGGTGCAGCTTACCTACCGTTGGTTTGCTTGAGTTGGAATCCAGGCTCCACATTCATATCTTCTTCGGTACACTAATCAAGTGGAGTCGTTCAAGAATGATAGCATTGTGAGGATTTTCTGTAGCTGGGCGTGGAGAAGTTTTCTACTCGAGATGGCGGGTGCTTGAAACTGTCTGCCAGCCACCCAATTACGCTGGGGAGGCTGGTCCCAATACCGCTGGGATCACATTGGCGCGACGCATGTATCAACTCATCAATGGAACCGGGAATGAACAAGTTTCTCGCGTCTACCGCTTGCCATTCGCCGGATATTGTTGCGGTATGCCTGCTGTGTTGTCACTGGAGATAGCTACGATAGCTTCCCCGCGATGATGATGTACTAGCCCCAGCCTGAGAGGCTCGTGCACACCACACGTCCATCTTCCAACGCCCTCTCCTCACGGAGAGAACCGACCATAACTATTAAAGTCACCATGCCTGCTCTTTCCAACCATGTTTCTTATCGTCTACCGTGGTTCGACGTGATGTTGGACGCTCTTGTATTCATCCCCGCCCTTATCGCTGCATCCTAGTTACGCGAACTCCTTGGCTTATGGACCCACGAACGCGTTACTTGCGACGCACATGGTAGTTTTGCAGAACGTGCAGCTCTCAGTTCAGACGTTCATGCTGAAGCGACAGCGTTGGTTTAACATCGCTCACCGCATCCGCTTCAGCAGCGTTTTTCGAGCCGTTAGTATATAGCCACAACAACACGCTCCACTTTTCCCAACGAAGGCTGTACCATTTAAGCACCGCCGCCTCGCCCTCAGGCGCTGCAATAAGGCAACCAGGCTGTACTCATGAATTTGAGCTCTAGAGCTTGGCTTTCTAAGCCTGTTCCAGTCAAGTACGGTGCGCTGTTCGTCTGTTCGGATGTCCACATATCGGTCTGAGCTCTGAACGATCCAGCCGCGTGATAGTGCTAAACATCTGGTGGCATCTGTAGCACAAATACAACCTCTTCTTGGCTTCAGCCGCGCAACAAGCGAAATCGAGAGCGGAACGCAGACGCCAAGCCAACTGCTTATGGCTGACACACCCGTACAGCCGCATCTCTTCCTCAGGTCGGCGAACACGGATTTTGTCGCACAATGTGGCGACCGGGTGTTTATAAGCACGATTTCTGAGACATACAGCCTGAGTTTACAATCCTCTCGGTGCCGGAGTAATGTTGGCTCATGCTGACATCTTGTGGGGCCGCGCGCGCTGTTGAGAAATGGCCCCATCCCTAAGCGCATCTTGGATGTCATTTCGATTAACGACGCCACCAAAGGAACGAAGTTGTGATTGACACTGCTCCACACCGCCCTATGGAGGCCTGAGGTTTGTTGTGGGTCGTTTGAAAAAGTGCAGTCAAGAGAAGGAGCACAATGGGCTTGTGTTTCGTGATGTGTTGGTAGTATGCCTAACAAGACCATCGTGGCATCGCGTCGACTTTCCGCTATACACGCCGTTGCTACCGCGATGGAAGAGGGCTGTGCTGAGGCTTTCACGCTCAGATCAAATCCCGCCACGGGGTACGGGTCGGGCTCTAGGCTCGTCAATCCTTCGCTTACTTCCTTTCAGCTACTAACGCGAATTGTACGGATAAGCTTCTGACAGTACACCAAAATACATCACACAAGGCCAGCCACCATACGGCGGAGTGGCGACTATACCACATTGGATCACGCGTGGTCCTCTATTGGCGGGTGCTATGCACAATGTCTTCCTGCAGTGCTACCGTTCAGGTAACGCCCCATTCAGGCGTTCCTCGCGCGTGCTTCGAGACATGGAGATACATGTTTGTCCGTGTGCTGTTCATCTCTGATCTAGCTGACATATGCCCCGTTCTTTATCATATCTACCGTCTTTCTACTAGGATTTGCTGTACTTACTCTCGCTTTGGTCCCATCTTTGTTTTTGCGCCGTTTGGTTTGCAACGTTATACTTCACTGTAAACTTTACCCATCTAAGACTTTTTCCTTGCTATTGGAAGTATCAACATCATGTCTAATTCATCATTCTACGACTTTCATTGCCCGCAGGGAGGCAAGTGGTAAGGCAAATCCTAGAACTCAAGAGCAACGCGGATACTAAACCAACTCCAGGTATGCCTGTGATGCTGACAGTAAGAGCAAGTTTGTTGGTTGTTGCGGGAACGATCCGTGTACCACTGGTTGCCAACAAGGAGACATCCGCCCTGGTGGATACAACGCTTCACATCACGGAGAATTCGCAGGCGCCACTTGCGGAACAGGCAGCCAGTTTTATACATGCGGCTTTGGAGACACTTTCTGGGGATGCTGCAAACATGATGCATGCAAAGCGACACCGGCGCCCTCATGTGAGGGTGGAGACTTAGTTCCTGCCTTCCTGTCTCTACCAGAGCAGTTCGACGAATACGCCCCTGATGCCGCGAGCGCAACCCCAAGCGCAAGCTCTTCATCGGGTGACGGAAAGAGCAACACTGGTGCTATTGTTGGTGGAGTAGTCGGAGGTGTCGTCGGCCTTGCTATAATTGGACTGATTATCTTCTTCGTCCTTCGCAAGAGACGCAACCAGAAGCCTGCCGAAGGCGATATGGGGGCAGCGGCCATGGTTCCAATGATGAACAATGAGAAGCACGACCACAACAGGCACTCGTCACAGTTCAACGGCCAATCACGTACGTTATCTCGTCAACTCACCTAACAGTAAGCTAACAATTATGATAGCACCACCTACGTACTCTGCGCCTATCGGGGGTTCCTACCACGACAATACCCCTACCAAGGGCCATCAATCATACCACCAATACGCCAGCCACGCAAGCGAACCCCAAGAGCTGCCGGCAGAGTTCCCTGAATCTAGCACGCAACGGTACTCCGAACTTCCTGCTGGTGCAGATAATCGACGATTTTCTGAACTTCCCGTCGAGGCTACAGGACCTGCACCCCCCTCCGAGTTGGAGTCACCGCAAGTGTCCCCTCGACCTGTACAAGCAGAATTCCAGAATGATATGGCTAAGCGAGCGAGTCAAGGACGAGGGTTGGGAGTGATGACTGAGGAGGGACCGTCACAAAGGAACTAATTGCGCAAAGATCATATCGTTTCATGGAAAACTCTTCTTTCTTTCTTCCGTTTAGGTTCTTGTATTTGGGTTGTTTCATTGGACCTCATTCTGTACTTGCATATCATACCCAGTCTATCAGCGAGCGCAAAAATGTATAATATAACAGATGAATATCGGATGTTCACATAGAATCGGGACCCTATCAGAAGATTCGGCCAGGCTGCTCCTTTTCCTCATTCTGAATACCCTCCGTTTTTCTGATGTATTGACAGTAGTTCACGACAATATTCAAACTTAACAGACTAGAATATATACTATTGGGCCATATTGTTGCGTCAGCGTCACAGATCAGAACACACGAACTTGTCCGTAATCCTGCGGGCAGTGCCACCAAAACCCGCCACCATCGACTCAAGGCCCACCCAAACGTCAGCCTTTCCACGATGCATCTTACTGCGCCGCCACGCGGCAGCCATTGGCTTATTCCGGCAATCCCTCACACCACCTCACACCCTTTGTGACAATTATTACTCCCGGGATCTGCATGTTTCTGGTCTTCCAAATGTTTTCTCTTACAGCTCCTATCGGTCAGCGTTACGCCGTGGCGCGGTGGTTAGCGGTATGGTACGAATATGTTCGTTTTTCCATGTTAGAACACAGCAAGCACATTGGGGGGATATTCATTGCATCTCAGTCGATACACTCGAATACCAGAGCATGTAAACCTTCTAGATGATGCTACTATCTAAGAAAAAATAGAGCACCGGCGTCTTCGTGGTGCTGAGAGGATATGCACAACATACGTCAGATTTCTTACTTGCAGGTAACACCCGAAAAGGCTGGCCCCCATCATGTGGCCATATACGCAGGCGTTCTTGGAATCTCTCAGCCTGAAGACTAGAGAGAAGGTGCGTCGTGAATTCGGTAGTGATGATGCACGCGCAGAGGGAAGGTTGAGCCGCAGGGTTGCCCTTTGTTCGCAGGTATATGCGCTCATCGCCCACTAGATATGCTGACCCAGGGCTGAGTTCGAGTTTCAGTTTCACTTCCCTTCGAATTTTATTATCTATCGAGGGTTGCGTTATTTGAAGGGTTCTTCTTCGATTTCAGTCCCTGCTGCTACTCGGCGTTGGTCGCACTTGCTTCATCTGCCATCCACGGGCGCACCGCAGCCTCGTCATCTCGAATGATGTCGACCAACCTCACTAGCAGACAAGCGTTCTCTCCTTCTTGCCCAGCTGGAGGTACGTGGTGGTCGTGCGGCTATGGAACGTGAGGATCCGTCTTCATTAGTATTTCCAATCGCTAACACAGCTCCAGATTCTTTGTAGGTTGCTGCGCAAGAGACCCTTGTGAGATCACTTGTGCACAAGGTAACCTATATCCGGGCGCTTTTGATCCAGCCGCGTATGGAACATTTCCTGACGCTACGTGTGGAACTGGGAGCAAGTTCTTCACGTGCACTGCTGGTGGTAAGTCACCAACCAACACTGGTCGCCCTTAGACGTGCACTGAAGGCCCTTCATTCAACTTACACCTGAATTGGGACTTCTAGAGAACTAGCTAATGAAGTGCAGAAACGTTCTGGGGATGTTGTAAAACGAACGCATGCGCCCAGTCTGGCTGTCCGGACGGCGATCTTGAGCCCGCCATCCTCAATCGCCAGGACCAGCTCAGCGCCTATCATGCCACTGGCGGATCCACCACGATATCCAGCGCTACGGCTACATCATCGCCATCTTCATCTACCAGCGATGCATCTGTCAATGTGGCAAATGCATCCTCATCTACTACTACACCTGGAACAACCACGACGTCCACATCGGCCACTGCCTCCGCTCAAGCCGGAGAGAAAACACCGGTCGCTGCTATTGCAGGTGGCGCAGCGGGTGGCGCTTTTGCACTTGCTGTGGTCGTTGGATTTGTGGTATGGTGTCTTTGTTTCAGAAGGAAGAAAGGAAAGAACGATGGGAGTGGAGAGGGAATGGAGCAGAGACAAGACATCCTACCTATCGGTGGGATGACGGAAGACCAACAATCGCAACGACATCATATACACATACGAACGAAACCAACGGACCGTAAGTCAAATTGATCTTTTTCACCGACGGCTTGAAATGTTATACTAATATAACAGATACAGCCCCGCCAACCTACACATCTCCCAACCCAGGCTTCGACAACACCTTCTACGGCCATCCATCCCCTCTCAATCAGCACTCGCAATCCCCCTATGATCCTCAAGATCCGCGTTACATAGCCTACGCCCATCACGACCCGAATTACGCCTCCGATAACCCCGCATACCATAGTCACGCACACGAATGGCACACTCCACCCCAAGAACTCCCCAACTCCACCCCTTCAAATCCTACGCCAGCACAATTTCGTGCCCACAAATCCATGTACGGACATTTGAGGGGCCCGTCTGAACTATCAGGCGACGGATTAAGGAGCGAGTTGGACAGTGGAGGAGAAGTAGAGCCGGAATCGCCAGTATTAGGTGGTATGTGGAAGAGTGACCAGGGATCTAGAGATAGACACGTCACAGGCTCAGATACTCCACCGCAAGTGTGGATGGCGCCTCAGGATTGGGCGTCTCAGGGTACCAAACCTACGGCCTCTAATCAGCAAGGACCTGAAGAACGGAGAGAAGAACGCGAGCCAGGGGGTAGAATGAGACCGTATGGCTTGGGTGTATTGGATGATGCGCCGCAAGAGAGATATAGAACGGATGGAAAAGGAACGGAGAGAAGTGATGTAGGAAGGGGGATGAGGGGTTGAACGCAAGATTTTGTGAAGAATGTAGGTTTTTTTCCTAGTCGGTCGTGTTTCTTAATGGGCCAACCTTCAATCCTACAAGTCCCTCAGAAAACTGTCCCATCACTCAAGATAACAATCGGACTGCTCTTCGTCTGAGGCCTCTTCTCTTTTGCGACCTCTCTCCCTGCTTTCCACGTTCCTGCCTCAAGCAACTGCGCCATGCTCAAATCTACCCCTTCCATCCTCTGCAAGACCAGCTTGTACAGTTTGTCTACCAGCACCAGCGTCATTGCTCGCCACTCGACAATAGCATCGTCTCCCGCGGTGAAAGAAGGAAGACCGCTTCCGTCAGAAGTAGCCTTTAGACCACGATCCAGAGACGCAGGCTTCAGAGTCAGAACGCCGAGATCGACGAATAGACCGCCGTTGCGGTATTCGGGGAGTGCGGTCATGGAGGACATGTTCTTCCATGTTAGGGAGAGGATGCGGGTGAAGGGGACGGTGAGGGAGTAAGCAAGCCACTGGGTTAGTTTGTGGAAGGGTTGGATGAAGGTGCTTTCATCAAAGGTTTCTTCTTTGGATTGCGTTTTGAGCGTAGACAAAGGCCAGGCGTCACCCAGGGCTTGGCCGTTCACCACGGTACGGTCTTGGGGCCAGATGGGGATGAGTAGGTTTTGGAGGACATCCCAGAACGTTAGGATATCCAAAGTTGAGGGGTCGGAAGTGGTGGTCTTCATGTAGTCTGTATTATGTGGTAAGTACTTGATATAGTGATTGTGTAAATGATAAACATACCAACGACGTTTCCTGGACGGCCTTCTTCGCCGAAGATAGTAGGGTGGGAAAGCAATGATTTCCCCAGACTGCGTAGCAAGTTGGCTCGAGAATCAACACCTAGCATGGGGTTGCTTTCGGAGATTTGGAAGCCTTCTGCCAGTGTTTCCGTCTTCAAATCTTGTAGTCCCTTTCCTACACGCAGCACAGTCAGCACGGTTTAATCTCAACCGCAAAGCGTATACTCACCATCAACAATCGGTCCCCCATCCTTCTTCGCAGCGAATCCCCAGCTCTTGAACATGTATAAACTCGCCACCGCAATACCCTCACTCCTCTCGTACTCCGTCTTCGTTCCTGGCTCCACATACCGCCAGTGGTCTCCCGCACCAGCATCCAACAGCACCGAAACGAAGAAGAGATCGATCAAACGACGAGTAATCTCCAAATCGTCGCATCCAGATTTCTTCCACTCATCAAGCAAGTTAGCGATGCGGGGAACGCCGCCAACTTCAAAGTGTTGCCAGCGACCATGAGGTGGGATGGTGTGGAATTTGTCTGGACCAAAGTCACGCTAGTGGATTCAAAATCAGTGTCTTCATCATCGAATAGCTTGAGAAGCTTAACAACGAACCTTGATGACAGATGTCACATAATCCGCAGCCTCGCCCAGGCGCTCCTCGTGCACATCAAAGTGACTCAGTTTGCCTGCTTCAGCGGCCTCTCCCACAATCTTAGCACGCTCTCGCACCGCGCTGAGTGAGAGAAGGTATTTGACTTTGTCGTCCATCTTTGTGTTGCTGTGTGTTTGAGAAAGGTGTATAGAGATCACAAAGCTGTACGTCGAAGAGTAGGTGTTGTCAGGTAAGCAAGTGGGGTTTAGCGCCGCACTACAACGACTGCACTGGCCCAAATTAGGTAGTTATGTGCTACAAAAACCCACTTTGCGGAGGCCGCTCGTGACCTTGATAAGGGCATCGGCGTTTGCCGACGGTCATGTTTGTAAACGAGGTTTGTATGACTGATGCTGCATTTGAAAAGTCGCTTGCTGCGAGTGAGCAGAGATTGAGAATATACATTTCATTACGGGGTTTATCATCAGTTCGCTGAGCGGCAAATGCCAAGCTTGGAGTAGTAGCCGCTGCATCCACGTCTAAAAAGGTCGGACAAGAGCCAGCTATACACTCTCTTCTCATGCCAGCTCTTCAGCCAATGTCCTCCTTGTGCGACAGCGTCATGCTTGCACCGGTCCATGCCCGACCCAGTGTCTGAATGTCCTCTTGTCGTAACAACTGCAAAGTCGCGTAAACAAATGCGTCCTCTTGGTCGCGCAAGAGACAGTAGAACTAAGCCTCCCTAACTATAGAGGCCAAAATGCATGACAAACAGCAGTTGCCCTCGGTATACACGAAGCACGCTGGATGCGCGCAACCAAGCGCCCCGCCGAGATGAAGATAACCGACAAAGGAAGAGTGAAGATG